TTTAATTTTACTTTCGGAAGATCCTATTTTTTTATCAAACGAGGTTTTTACCATGTGTTCTAACCTTCTTAAATTTTGGAATAAGTCTTCAGTTTCCTTTAAACTATTCCTATCAATTTTATCTACTATAAAATTCGGTAGTCCAGTAGCAATCAAATCAATCAAAGTTACTTTATCTATGGACTTATTTATTTCTAAAAGTAGTCTCTCTTTCTTTAACGCATATTCCAGTAATGAGCCCTGTCTGTATTTAAATAACATTGCATACCTGATTGGTGACCAACCCTTATCAGCATAAGTTTCACAAAAGTTTTTCTTCCACACTGCCCATTCTGAATTAATAGTATGCTTTATAAGCATGGAACTATACCAATCTAAACAAGAACCTTCTATAAATAACCTAAAAATTTCTATTTTCTTGACATCTTCTTCTATTCCTACACGGACACATTCTTTTTCGAAGGTAGTCATCCACTGGGTCACATTAGTTATCTTGCTATTGAATTTTTGTATAACAAATTTTTCTACCATTTTTGCCATACTAAAAGGTTTTGATGAATCTTTCTTTATGTCTGCGAAGCTTTCCATGATTCTAGTTAGAGATTCTTCCGAAATTCCTGCTGCAGAAGTTTGTGGTTTTGTTTGTTCCTCCAATAAGTATCCCTTAAATTGTTTATTTCCTTCTTCATCACAATAAACCGCCTTCATCTCCGGGTCCATGGATATCCACACCTGTCGTTTCTCGTGTCGTTTTTGCAAAGTTGCCTTTACTTTCTGAAAGATTTGTGTTTCTACTATTCCAGTATGTAATTTTGCAGGTTGTAACTTATCTGGGATCGCATAGGTTCGGCCATCTGAATCCGTAATTGTCGTTACACATATTATATTTGTTTTTACATCATCACTGGCTTTTACCATGAACTCAAACTTAAATTTTTCCATTATTCCAGGTAACTAGCTGTAGAAATGTTGTTTTATAATAAGATATTATTTATTATATTGTCCTTGGATATGATGATGATGATGATGAACAGTAAAACTATAACCAAATTTTAGTTGCTCTGAAAAGAGACAATTTTATTTTATTACCTATTTACAAAATCTAGTTTTAAAACTTTTACAAAACATTCTTTAATAATAACTATGCACTAATTTTACCTGAAAAGAGAAACAACATTTAGAGCTATTGTTTCACCAGTTCTTATCAATTATTCTAATTACATTAAAATTCTTACTTGTACATAACAATTAACCATTTTACTTTTCATATTTTTCACAGTCATTCAATATGACAGTTTACTCCACAGATTAGCTATTTCACAGATCAAAAATACCTTACACTGCAAATCCAAACTATACAAACTAAATGAAGTGTCACGCACTTTGTTTTTACATCATCACTGGCTTTTACCATGAACTCAAACTTAAATTTTTCCATTATTCCAGGTAACTAGCTGTAGAAATGTTGTTTTATAATAAGATATTATTTATTATATTGTCCTTGGATATGATGATGATGATGATGAACAGTAAAACTATAACCAAATTTTAGTTGCTCTGAAAAGAGACAGATAATGATTTTTGAGACCACAACAGTACATAATAATTTTATTATTATTTAGAAGCACTGAACAGGACGGGAATGTTAATTTTGAATCACAAAATACTTTCAACCAAACATAAATATTAACTGCTTTGTATTCTAAGTCCTTCCGCAGTTCATGCTGAACATGTTCAAGTTTTCAGAATATATTTAGTATTGTTAGTCCGTCAGACACGCAATAATAAGTAGCTACGACCTTTGACCAGCTTTCAGTCTTCTAGCTTTTACATCTTCATAAAATCTCAATTTGTCAAAAAATCTTACAAATTATTTCGTACAATAAATGTTAAATAAAATTATTGATTAACATAAATTAGATAAAAAACGAGTTTCACTCTGGAGTCAATTATTTATAAAATTCCTTTCCAAATCCAGTTACGCAAATCAAAGTTGCTAAATGTTTTTTAACATAACATTTCGACTTTTATCCATTATATAAGGTGCTCTATAATTTTTAGCCACGGCTTTAATGGGAGGTAGTGTTATGTTTACAGATTACAATTGTGAAGAAATTTCGTGCCCCGGACCAGTTAATTACATACAGTAATTAAGTAAACATTGACTACATTCTGCATAATGTGGTTCACAAATTACGCACGATGCGTCGCTTAGTCAATGAAAACAATTGCTATCTCTTTCCACGTGTACTGAGAATGAAAACGGAAATCAGCTGACTAGTTCGTCACTATCTAATCTACTAGATACTCAATAGGCAGGCTAACAAGGGTTTTAAAAGTGCAATTACTTACCAGGTACGGCATTCTTCCGAAAAGCTGATGTAGGTAAATAAGATTATAAAACTTCCCATCACACTTAAAACAGTTTTTTACACACTTTTACAGTTATTTACACACTCTCTACCTACTTATCTACAAAACTGTTGCACAAGTCCACCTTCGCGTTGCACACAAATGAAGGCACGCTTCCAAACATGTCATATCACATTATATTAAATAATGTTACCACAAGTTATTGTCTCTATCATCGTAAACTCCGGCAGTATCCCTTGTGCTCGCAAGAGGATGACACCGAAAGAACTCTAACACTTCTTCTTCGAGTTCTGATTAGAATTTCGTCGCCTGGGAGTCATTTTTACGTAGCGCGCGCGTAACCCCGACATTGAAACTAACAACGTCCGCGCAGGCAAGGGTTGACTGGGCTACTGGCGGCCGGGCGGCGCGTGCGACGAGTTCTGCTGGCTGGGGTGTGCTGTCTCGTTCTTGAACGCCCCGTCATACGCTGTTGCCATCCTTATCAGTAGCTCAACCCCCGCCTGCCCGGCGGCCGGTTGACTAGCGCGTGCGACGAGTGCAGGAGAGGATGCGGGCGCGCGGGGGTGTGCAGCGTGCTCGTAGCCGCCCGGCGCGAGCGGTCTGATAAGGATGGCAACAGCGTATGACGGGGCGTTCAAGAACGAGACAACACACCCCAGCAGAACTCGTCGCACGCGCCGCCCGGCCGCCAGTAGCCCCGTCAACCCCTGACTGCCCGCACGTTAGTTTTAATGTCGGAGATACGCGCGCGCTACGTAAAAATGACTCCCAGGCGACGAAATTCAAATCAGAACTCGAAGAGGAAGTGTTAGAGTTCTTTCGGTGTCATCTTCTTGCGTGCACAAGGGATACCGCCGGAGTTTACGATGATAGAGACAATAACTTGTGGAGTCAAACGCGAAACAAAGTAAAAGTGAAACGGACACGTTAAATAATGTGATATGACATGTTTGGAAGCGTGCCTTCATTTGTGTGCAACGCGAAGGTGGACTTGTGCAACAGTTTTGTAGATAAGTAGGTAGAGAGTGTGTAAAAAACTGTTTTAAGTGTGATGGGAAGTTTATAATGTTATTTACCTACATCAGCTTTTCGGAAGAATGCCGTACCTGGTAAGTAATTGCACTTTTAAAACCCTTGTTAGCCTGCCTATTGAGTATCTAGTAGATTAGATAGTGACGAACTAGTCAGCTGATTTCCGTTTTCATTCTCAGTACACGTGGAAAGAGATAGCAATTGTTTTCATTGACTAAGCGACGCATCGTGCGTAATTTGTGAACCACATTATGCAGAATGTAGTCAATGTTTACTTAATTACTGTATGTAATTAACTGGTCCGGGGCACGAAATTTCTTCACAATTGTAATCTGTAAACATAACACTACCTCCCATTAAAGCCGTGGCTAAAAATTATAGAGCACCTTATATATTTCTGAGTATACTTATTTATATGATAATTTAAAACCAAACGGACGGATAATGTGTCCTAAAAGAACGCAATAAAATCAGCTCAAATAAGGAGTCTGTATGACTAAATAACTTTGTTGCTTACGCGTCAACCTGTACATTATACTACTACTAAACAAAATCGTAAATATCTATTGTACTTTAAGCGCAATAAAACAAACTTATCATGTATAAGGCACTAACATATTGTAACAAATAAATAAATGACTTATTAATATGGACATTAAAAATTGATTTTACTGAACTTTGCCAAAATTTGATTAAAATTGTAAGCAATATACATATTATTCATACAAAATACTTAGGGATCGAATTACGATCATAAAATTTTAAAATTCTTAAATATGTGCAGACGATTTTTATGCTTTTCCACATAATGTTATAGAAACTATACACATGCATATGTTTCCAAACTAAGTACATACATATCTTACAGTTAAGTTATACATATGTACAGCAAATCGTATAAATTGAAATATACACCGAGAATTTGCAAAGTATAGATTAAAGTATTTGATATGAAGGAAGACGATAAAATTATATCCCTTTATTCTCGTTATAAAGAGGAATGTGGATAAAATATTCTAAAACCTATTACTATACTTTGTGAGCATTTTCAATTGTATACATAACTGTACGTCGTTACAACCGCATGTGACTTGGCAAATGATATCAAGCAGAATATATTCAAGCTTAATATAGTACTTGCCTTGCGCAAAAGATAAACAACACTGCGCAACTTAGCGCAAACAGTTTGCGCAAGTTCCACTGATCTTTATATCAATTAAAATATTTCAATGTTTCTAAACATTATGCAATTAATAATATTTTATTTTTATACATCATTTATAATAATGTGAATATTAATTCTCTACGTTAACAACTTGATATATTATGTAATAATATGTATAAAAATGCATGTTTCAATACAAGTCTTATATTCAGTCATAATGTGTATGTATGAGTGTATGGCTGTTTGTATTTAATATAATAAGTAGACTTCATTGAACACTGGCGTAATATTTAACTCAAGAAGTTAATGAGCAAGCAACTTTTGTACGATTATCATACATGAGGAGTCCATTACGCAACGGAAGTAAATCAGTTTTCTTTGTTATACTTTCCTATTATCCTGTGCAGAGGTTGTTCGTAACTTACAGTTAGAAACTCTTGAGCGTGAGTCCCCGCGCAGGCAGACTGTTGGCCTTGGCGGGCGCGTCTCTGGCCTGAGAGTGCGCCACTGCGATGCTGAGACACTGAACCCACTCCTCAGCATTCTTTCCATCTTTCGGCTTCAGTATAAGCGTCTGGTCTCCCGTGAAGATCTCGAATGCCTTGGGAATGTTCCGCGCGCCACGTGATACCTTTACCGATCGAATCTGGTTTATGTCGATACTTTCGCCGCCGCTCTGGAATTAAATATTTTAATAAGAATTTATGTCTGAACACATCTTACATACTTTATTACACTCTAATACTCTAATACACTACTATAGTACATTTTTCTTGCTAGTTTATGAGAAAAAGGTATAGGTAAACCAAGCAATTATTTAAAAGGGATCTATGAATGCAATTCGAATTGTTTTTGAAAATAAAACGAAATTATTCTGTATTTAAGGTTCAGTATTTCCCTTCAAGTGGTGTGTTTAGTGTTTTCCATTGAGACACATATGCACAGTATGTACTTACGGATCCTTTACAAGAGAGGTGTGCCCCGGAGAGTGTGAAGTACCTCGTCCTCCACCGCCGGAAGATCCTCCAGCGTCCCTTCTTCTCCTTGAGCTGTCCCTCAATAACGGGCGCGCCGTCCGCCGCCAGGAACCCCACCGCGCGCTCGGGGTGCGTGCATAGGAAGCAACCCCAGGTCGCCTGCGGAGTATCATAATATCTTTATGTCAAATAGCGGCAAACGAACAAACAAATCACCCAATTGTAAGTAAACGGACTGTGTGTGTCAATCACTGGTCTGGTTTGAATTATTTCCACTGCAACATATTAATGAACTTTTTGTATGTATACCTGAGTGGGTGGTAGTGCGGCGCCGTCGTTCCGTCGCGCCACTACTTCGAATACGTCGAAAAATCCCGCAGCGCGCAACTCATTTAGCAACATTTCTTGTTCCTGTAAAGTACAGTAAAACATTATTCAATGAATTTTTTTCCGTAAAATAACGACCCATGCTAAATCAATTAATTTATCAAATAATATCGTAGAAAGTCGAAAACTGAATAAAGAATATTTTTAAAAAATAATACTTGGGGCGTGATCTACAACGGATACCGAAGTCAAAAATATGGTTTTTAGAATTTTTGTCTGTCTGTCCGGGATGATCTCAAAAAGTACAGCATGGATTTACTTCAAATTTTGCATGAATATTACTAACAGTTCGGGTCAACATATATTATCAAGCTATCATCTACGGGGGAGGAGCCCTATACTAGGTACTGAATCAAATCCGACGACATTCGTTACCGTAGAATATCCCTTGATAAAGACAAATTCAAAAGCGTAAATTCTGCCAGAAGTCATTATTCTAGGCGGACGAAGTCGCGGGCAACAGCTAGGGTATAATACTGACCTTGATTCCGGGGAAGGCTCCAGTAACGAGCGTGAGAAAGGTCTTGTTCTCGCACTTGAGTATATCCCAGCAGTGTTTGAGCGAGGCCACGGTGGGGTCCCGCGAGGACAGCGCGGCGGGGTGGCGCGCCTGCAGCGCCAGGAACATGAGGTGGATCCACACGCGCGGCTGGCGCGTGCGCAGCGAGAACATGCCGCGCGCGTACAGGCAGTGCGCGCCGCGCCGTCCGCACACGAACATCAGCCGCGCCTGCTTCTTGGAGCGCCGCTCTGCGGACACTCAGCTCTCAACGACCCTCGCTTACAAACTTACTATTACTCATTATAACCCACACCCTCATGCATGAGAATCGAGCGTCTTAAACCTCCAGGCCACCACGATCACTCACGATCATTGTTAATGTTACAGAGGCTATAAAACACTCGATGTTAAGGAATTGAAAACGAGTTACATTACTTTACTTCTAGATTATTTTTGTTTCAAATCTATCAGAACAAGAATCCGAGTCTAAGGTCTATAATTATCATATCTACAGAAGACTATAAGACTAAAAAAAGTGATTTGCTTATACATTTTCCCTATTACACAAAACAAAAACCAATACTAACCTTCGATAGTACACTTAGCAGGCGGCGGCAGTCGTAACGACACGTTGTCCATGTACGCCTTGATCTTATCCAAGTGCTTCTCACAGAAGTGCTGCACAGTATCCCTCATGGGGTATGGCTCGAACACACTGATCCTGTGGTTGGAGGCCGATGTATTGGTCGAGCCATTGTTTGTATTGATCATAGTCACACTAGTGTTGTTGGCCCGTCGTGACGTCACTGTGACGGGCCCTGAGATTGAGATCGGGTTCGTAGGGCTGACCGATATAGGCCCGGACCCCGGCGTACTTGATGTTACAACTGATACATTCCCTAACGCTGTGTTGGAGTGCTGGATAGATACTGCGGATGTGATCGGTGTCAAACCATCTGATGATTTCCCCGGAGTGAGTGGGTTCACTGATATTGACTGTGTTGATAGAGGCGGTCCTGATACTATTGTTTGGTTGTTCTGTAACGAAAAATACCGAGGTTTATTAGGAGATAGCTGGGTATCTTGTAAACCTGTGATTAGGGGATTTAGGGATTTAGGGGCCCACCTCTAAAGCCCCTCCCCCAGGAGGGGCTTGGTTTAACAGTGGACTTAATGACATTGGCGACGAATTTTTAGGTTATTAATTGTTTCTATCTGTGTACTCACGGGTCCAGCATTGGGTCCAATGAGTATGTTATGGTGGTGGTGCGGGCGGGGCACGGGCCGGGGGGCGCGCCCCGGGCACACGCTCGTCACTGTGATGGCCCCGCTGGCCCCGTTGGCCCCGTTGGCTCCGTTGCCCCCGCTGCCCCCGTTGGACTTGCCCACTACGCCACTTGATGATGATGAGGGTTTGCTGTTTGCTACTGTACACACAATAATATTCTGATGAAATTAATGAAAACCTTTCTTTATAATAACAACTGAAAATATTGTTGAATTATAACTAAACTTATAAACTTTAAATAGCAACGGCTTCGCTAGCGATTGATATTATAATAATCCTACTTAATTTATTTCGAATTACTACCTAAATAGGTATGTAAGATCATGTTACCTGTACTAGTGGTTCCATTGGGTGGCGTGTTGATTTGTTGCGAAGATGACAACCGCGTCATACTCTTGTGGAGACCACCCACTGAACCTCCTGTAATACAGCATCGCATTGTTAATTCAATTAGATATGATTATAATAAGTTTACGTTATGATCAAGTTTGATAGAGAAAGGAATATTAGATTGCGATGAACTCAATATGGTAATGTAGTACAAAGTATAAGTAAAGTTTGGTATAAAAAGTAACTACTTAGAAATAAAAAGACAAATTACTCACCAGGTACATTGAGTCGAGTCATGCTGCGATGCGGCGCGGGCCCGGGGTGCAGACGGCCCGTGCTGCGCGAGTCGCCCAGCTTGGCCCGGCGGCCCCAGCCACTCGGCGCGGGCGCAGACCCCGCGGCCCCCGGACCGCTCGCTGCCCCCGCCACGCCCCCTGCATTACTCCCCGTCCCACTGCTAGTCCCATTCCCCCCTCCCCCCGCACTGCCACCACCAGACCCCGTATTGCCGCCCCCCGCGGGGATCTGTCCCCCGCCCAACCTCACGATAGTGACCCCTGTTGATGTTCGATTCACTTCGCTCTGACTCGACCCCGATTTAGGACGATTGCTGTTGAAAAAAGCAATTTGTTAAGTACTATTTACAGCTAGTCTCTTTATTTGTAACTCTTATCTTTGTAGCCAAACCTATTAACAAGATAAAGGAGAACAGGAAGAGACTAGAGAGTAGATTATTGAGCCCGTGCTTTAGACTACAAAATATAATATTAAGTATAGTGTACCTGGTGTTGGCTCGCACGGCGGTGAGCAAGTTATCAGTGAAGAGAGCGGGGAAGGCGCTACACAGCGAGGTGGCGTCCCTCAGTAGCGCGGCCTGCAGGGCGCGCGGCGCGGAGCCTAGGCGCTCTACAACGAAGTTTAGTGCTTCCTGGGCCAACTCCTGCATATAAAGAACTCTGTCACTACCTGTACCAAGCACCCTACGATGCTACAAAACATTTATCACCAACCCAATTATTCCTGCAAATGTCGTCTAAGGGAAGGGAAGTCGAATAGATATTTAACACGGACCAAGCAATAGTGTTCTCAAATAAACTAAAGTTTTGTAAACTAGAGGCTCAACCTGCTAGCCAAGCATGGAGATAATGGCAAACCCTCTTGTATAAAAGAGACCCACAGTGGTTCTCATGGACGCTACGTACCCTGCTGGTGTACCCGAGCTGTGTGAGTATGTTGGCGACGAGCGTGACGGCCTGCGGCGAGGCGTGCGGGCCCCGCGCCGCCCGCCGCACGGCCGGGCCTTGCTCCACCACCAACGTCACTCGACTGCGGCTCAGGCTCGCTATCACCTACATAAACATAACAATTACAATTGATCATCATACATGACCAATTTAACTTGATCTTTGTGATATCAATGTTGTCCCAACCTGCAGTATATCCACACACATGCAGCCTGGATCACTCTGGCTGGCTGTATGGGGACACAAGTAGGACAACAACTGTGGCACACATGTCTTCAGAGCCTCTGGCTTGCGAACTGCAATTTGCTCGAACAGAGCAAACAGGGAGCTCTTCTCCACCGGCTCAGCGTGCGGAAGTAACGACACCAGTGCTGGAGTGTGACCCTCGAGCGGCTCCGGAGACACCTCATACAGGTTCGTCAGGATCCGGCAGAGAGGGTAGTTACCTACCAAACCAGATAAATTCTGCAGTAAAGTAACCACTCTCATGGAACAGTGCAACATATTAAAAATAAAATTGTCAATTTCCTTACTAACCTGACATAATGGAGTCCATGATAGTCTGCACATGTGGCTTCAGCAGCACTGCATGGTGTACGGCGGCTAGAGAGAGGTACCGCGCCATGTGACGCGATATCTCTCTGTTACCTTTGTGCAGGAACTGGACAGCCACTGGCAGGAACAGCTCCATTACAGTCTTGTTGCCATAGTTCTCCTTGTCAGACTGAAGTGGGAATGATACCTGCACAAAATAATTTTAAATATGTTATTAAACTGTCAAACACCCCGAGGACACCAGTGTCCGCACACCTATTGTTCTTTAATTGTGTCTATAATGATGGTACTCAAAGGGTTAAATCAACAAATATAATTTAACTCAACTACACAAAAAATATTTATTACTAGACTTGGCAATTAACATGACAATAAAATTCAATGTTTTTAAAGTCACTTATGTGAATTATGTGAATTCATTGTTAAAATTTTAAATTTTGAACATGGTTATAGACAAATAGAAACTCTATACATACCAAAACAATGCATGCTATGATATCTGAAGCTATCTTAGCATGAGGTGGATCATCGTCCCGGAGGTGGCCGAGGGGCATCAGGTTGTGGTGCAGACAAGACTCCAGCAGGGCCACTAGAGGCCCGCAGTACTTGTCCAGGGTACCGGTCTCCTTCACACAGGATGTTACTCGCGCAACACATATTTCTATCAGAGCCTGGTCTCGGTCGTTCCGACAGTAGTCTGGTCGAGATGATATCTCAGTTATTTGTTTCAACTGAAACCACACAACATAATATTACTTTGAGCATGCACTTTAATCTTATCAATAGTGACGCACACTAGAGATTTTGACACATTCACTGTGATGATAAGGAGATTATCTTACAGTAGTATCTACAAAAATATTTGTTCTAATTCAACAGTGACCTAGTAGCTAGTAGTGAATGCAATCAACATCATTATAACTGTATCATTGGTACATGCATAGCACTGCACCACTGCTGCAGATGATTATGACACTACTACAGTAGAGAAGAGTGACAATATTTACATAATATTAATATTTACATAGGTGACTGAATAAATACATTGCAACTAGTTATATCTTACAAGCAGAATCAAACAGGAAAATTTTAGCTTATAAGACTAGCTATAGCTATAGTAGCTATATGATTTATATTTATTTTATTTATCAATAGTTAATTGAATTCTGAGAAATATGATTCATAAATTTATTACAAGTAGCCTTTCTGTCTGGTAATACAAAAAACTGCAATAGTTTGACCAACAAAAGAACTTTAGAACTATACTCTGTAGAATTAATTCGAAGCTAATTTACATACTTTTCTAATTCTTGGTACTGCATACAAACGGGCTTTACAACTTTAAACACAAGTAAAACTTACGACTTCGTTGAGATCGTCAACTATGTCCGCGTCAGGTATCGCGAAGATGTCTCCGGCGCGAGTGAGGTCCCGCTCCGTCAAAACATGCTTCAGTAGCTCGTGCATCGTGCCGCCGCCATGCACCGCCGCTAGGTCGCACCTTCACCACACCGTAAACAACATTCACCTAGAATGGCCCATCAATGGACACATCAACAGTCACCGCTACACAACAACTTTATCACCATCATTTATTACACGCAACATGCAAAACCGGATTTTTAATGTCACATGTCTAACTGGAAGATGCACGAACGTAGTAAATTAGAATACAATAATAAGAAACACCGAATTTTTAAGGTCTTTTGATGCAATGCAGCAGGCGAAATACGTTTCGTTTCGTTCGGAAATATGACTGTATTACCTGTCAATCAGTCATTGAACTTGCAGCTAGAGGTTATATTTAGGTCCACTGGAATTTCAGTAATGACAATAATGGCAATCATTCACAAAAGCAACAACTGCAGAAATGGTAATAAATACTGCTTAAAATAATATTCAAACCATAATAAGAATAGTTATATTATGTAAAGATTATTTTAAAACCTAGGAAAAACTACATAAGCGTCGGCTTTACACAATTGTACTTCATGAATAAAAACATGGATATGACTACATACTTTTACTTAACTTCACCTTAGTAAGAAACTGTAGTTTAACTTAATACTGTGCAATTGTTGAGAATTGAATTTTGTCATCAACAATTTAATTCATTTTATTTATTAAGATTTAGTAATTAATTAACAGCTCTTATTCCACCCAGCTGTCTCAAGTCCGTCACGTATGTCATGCTAAATGTCATGTCATCAGATCAAAATATTTGAGGTTATATTTTGGTGCATTACTCGCTTGATTTCAATTACTATAAAATTGAATAAAAAGTAATAGCATTCTTATTTCTCAGAACAAACAATACAATCTGTATTTGTAATAACTATGTACACTTTAATTTATTCAACCTAAAGTTGCAGAAATCTAATCTGAATATCACTTATTTTAGTTATACGCTGTATTTTCACGGTGCAATAAATTAAGTTTAAGTGTAAAATACTATCTTTAGTCTAGACAATGCCTGTACCGTGCAGAAGGGGCTGTGGCAAAAATGCTGTCTTAAAGGTATTTGTTTTATATTATAGTTTTAACTTCGACATAATGGCATTGTGAATCGAAAACATAACTTGATAAACTTTAATAATTTCAGAGACCAAAAACAGGTGATGCTCTGTGCAAAGAATGCTTTTTCTGGGCTTTCGAAACAGAAATACACTACACAATTACTAAGGCAGAATTATTTAATAAAGGAGATTCAGTTGCGATTGGGGCCTCTGGTGGAAAGGACTCAACAGTTCTTGCTTATGTACTGAAGACTTTGAATCATAGGTACAACTATGGGTTGAACCTCATGTTGCTGTCAATAGATGAAGGTATCACTGGATATAGAGATGACAGCCTTGAAACTGTGAAACAGAATCGAGACGACTATGAAATGCCTTTAAAAATATTATCATACAAAGATTTGTATGGGTGGACTATGGATGAGATTGTGGCACAAATTGGAAGGAAGAACAACTGTACCTTCTGTGGAGTATTCAGGAGACAGGCACTGGACAGGGGAGCGGCTATGCTTGATGTGAAGTGCATAGCAACAGGACATAATGCTGATGACATAGCTGAGACTGTGCTGATGAATGTACTTAGAGGGGACATTGCCAGGTTGAAGCGATGCACAGCTATTAGTACTGTAAGATCTACAATACCACAATAATAAATAAATATGCTCTAATTTGTTACTTGTACTAATCTTTATATACAATTTTTCCAGGGCAGTGAAGGCACAATACCAAGGGTAAAGCCACTTAAGTACACTTATGAGAAAGAGATAGTGATGTATGCCCATTACAAGAAATTGGTCTACTTCTCTACAGAGTGTGTGTTTGCACCCAATGCATACAGAGGGCATGCACGAGCACTGCTCAAGGATATGGAGAAAATTAGACCTGCTTGTATTATGGATATCATTTATTCAGGTGTGTAGAAAACCTATAAAAATAATTTTAATGCCCAATGATCCGAAATCATAGCTGCAAATGTTCAATGTTTGATTGTGATTATGATTGCAGGTGAAACCATGTCAGTAAAGGAACAAGTGTCACTTCCCACTCAGAGGACATGCACTCGCTGCAACTTTGTGTCATCACAGGAAGTGTGCAAGGCATGTGTACTCCTTGAAGGACTCAACAAGGGACTGCCTAAACTCGGCATAGGAAAGAGTTCCAAAGCAAAGAGGATGCTTGAAGAGTATAATGCAAAGCAGGCAGGAAATGAAGGAGCACTACAAGACGCCATAAAAGATTTAAATGACACAAACAGTATAGGAGCTAGAAATCAAAGAATCAGTAGTAAAAAGAAAAATGCAAACAAAGAAAACAATGATACATGTAATAAGAATGATTGCTGTGGGGGAGGCTGTAAAAGTAATGCAAGTAATGTTGATCCAGTAGCAAGTAACAAGAAACTTAATATGCTACTTGAACAGTTTGGGCTGGATGAGAAAGAAAGTGTGAAGAAAAAATCAAGTCTAGAAAATGGAGTATCTGACCCAAATGATGAACATTCTGATGAAGAAACTCCATTCAATGCACAGGAGGAAGATGACACATGTTCTGCAAGTTGTGGAGGATCACATATAGCATTCTGACATCAATAAAAATCATGAAAATATATACTTATTTAACTTTTATTAATTTTATAAATCACACCACTAGGCTTAATAATATTGTTATCCCTATCTGTGACTGTGAGGTTCCAATCCATCTTATTATTAATTTATTATTATATGCCACATTACCCACATGGTACATTGTACTATTACACATGAATAGCAGTCATAGCACCGGAGTATACAAAATCAGTTCAAATACTGATGTAACAAACTTACAACATGTCAATTTGCTATTAAATACATATAATTACTGATCAACATTCCTATAATACTATATTATTTATAAAATGTTAAAATACAGCTTTTATGATGGTCAATGGTCTGATATTTGTTTTAAATGTAACTAAACTATTTTAATTTGCACTGTACAAACTGTCAACACCTTTCTATGAACTATCTCTACGTAATGAAGGCAGGCGCTCTGGATTCTATCTTCTCCCGACAGATGGGGCAGTGGTCTGTGATGTTGTCTGAGCAGTCCTCACAGAGACATACATGTCCACATGGAAGTAGGATTATCTGGAAAAATGGTATAATTTCTCACTTATAGTAACCAGTAAACAATGATAAAAAAATCTATAGATTCAGTTCAGACTAATATTAATTTTGATCTTACAAGGATCAACATTATTTTGCTTTCATACTACGTGAAAACTGATTTACCTCTTTAGGGTTTTCTGTGCAAACTACACAAAGTTGTACATCAGCAAGGTTCTTCTCCCGCGCATGCGCCCTCCGCTCGCGTCGTCCGGCAGCGAGTTGCTTCTTCATGGAGTCCTCGAGAGCGCGGCGTCGGCGACGCTTCATATACTTGTACGCCACGCGACATGATGCCGCCGCCGCTACCGTGCCGAAGATTACTAGTAGCACCCTGATACAATTATTATAAGAATATTTAGAAATATTACCAGTACCAGAATTCTGGATTAGTAACTCAATCAGCATTAAACACATACCTCAAAAAGTCGCGCGAGCTAGCTAGTCGCTTCAATAAGCTTGACTTAGTAGCTGTAGTCAAATACAAGGGGAGGCCATCTTTCGGTGGCTGTATCTTCATCTCCCCAGAGCTACTTCTGCTGAGCTCCCCTATGGCCGTGATGTAAGACCCGTCGCGAAGCATCTCCTCCATGGTCTGCAGCCCTCGCTGTCGAACGCCGGAGAAGAAACCCCACACATGATCAATGACACCGGGCGACATTGGCTCAAACTTATCCGAAATGACATCCATGTCTGTGAACATAAAAGTAAATACATATGAGTAAATACATATTATTTACATATCTAATTAATGTTGTATTTAATATAATTTTTTTATTTTGGGTTTGAATCTATGAGTTCATTACTTACAAAGTTACTGTAGGGGTTTTTATTAATAAGGATACTTTCAAAAGTATTATAATCCTCCTTCTTACCAAGTAACTCGGCAGCCAGAGCATCCACCACCTCAATGCTGTGCTTTCCATTGCTAAGTACAAACGGTGTGGAGTTGCACACTTCATGTATTGTGCGAGTTTGGTCTGACCAGAAACCCGCAGATGTTCTGGCTATCACATGCTCTTTGATTGTGAGCCTGTAAAAACAAATGCAATAATACCAAAATTTGGTTTTTGGAACTTATTTAATTATCATCATCATCATCAGCTGAAAGACATCCAATGTTGGACAAAGGCCTCCACCTTATTCCTCGTTGACAAACTTATTTAGTTGCTTAAAAAGTTCCAATTGGATATTTTTTTTATTAATTAATTTTATTATTACAGTAGAATTGTACCTACCTACATAAGTAATTAACATTTTATTATCATTATTTCTAATCTACCCTCTATAATTAATCTTATTAGAACAGTCAGAAACTTATTAACTCGTCGAGTACCGGTTTTATAGACACAATTAAAGAACAATAGGTCGCGGTCACCGGTGACCGCTTGGTATTTGACAGATTAAAGAAAACTAATTAGAATTTCACAACTTAGCGCCTGCTTTTTGCAGTACTTTGCAGTACTCAATTTCGTAATCAAAAAAGTAATATTTAATTCCTCTTTACTCAACTAGGATGAATAGTGTTACCTTTGCACAACTCCAGTAACAGAGTTGTTATAGTTGCTGGTGATAGGGTTGCCCAGAGGTTTCACTAGGCCTCTGATCACCACATATGGGATGGTATTGTTCGAGTATTTGTTTATTTCCCTATTCAATGTTGAATCTATGTCTAAAACTGGTGCCGTCTGAAATAAACAAGTTAAAGACTGGATACCCACATGGCAATTATATAAAGTAGAAATGATAAGAATATTATTTACTACTACTTTAACTTCAATTAAAACTATAAAAAGATGAAATTTTCATGAATTTTAATTGCTCTTTAGCTAACCAAACTAAAACTTGGTTGGTTGATATTTCGCCTTGCAGTTAATATGAAGTTATTACTGTAGTAATAAATCGTTTTTGGCGCTTACCTGTAGGGCGTTTAGGATATGTTTACATTTACTCAGCTGTTTCACACAGAACCCCAAAATCAGGGTATCAATACCAAGAATCACTGTTTCGCCGATTATTTCCGAAAAGAAGTCCATTGTGGCTAAATTTTATTTTGTGCAGTTATACAAAATATTAACAAAGATATTACGCAACTAATTACACCGTTTCAGCTCATTTTGCCATAATTTGCTTAATTTTTATAAAATTTCCCAATCACAGATAGATTCTCACTTTGACCGTTTGACGTTTGCGTTCCGTTTATGATCTATCAATCTATCACATTATTTGAAAGCGCCTGTGTTGCAAAAATGTAAGTGGAACGATACGTAGGTTCAAAAAGGCGGTTGCATCAAACTTAAGTTATAATAATAATAATAATAATAATCAATTTTATTTCAGACTTAGTCCATATTTGTTAGTAACAATGTTCTTAATCTAGTGTTAGTAAAAATACACACAACAATCAGAGACAATAATAACATACAAATAAATAAATGAGTAATAAGTTAGTAACAATATTCTTAGCCGAGTGTTAGTAAGATACATAGATATACATATATACTTGTGATTAAGTCAGGCACTTGCTCTCACGTGTAGGCCTATCCAGTGCGCCATCAGCACCGAATCCCAGCGTCCGGCACACGCGGCCAGCATGCCGCTAGGGCTGCCGCGCACTCGCGACATCATCGATGCACAGCGCTTACGCATGATGGCATGGAAGCCATCCACATGCGCCTCCGCGAACATGCCACTCGCACTACAGTAACGCGGCAGCCCCATCAACACCCTGAACGCGTTGTTGTACTGAACCCGGAGGGCGCTGTACGTCCCCTGCGTGTATTTAGCCCACAAACTGCATGTGTAAAATGTTTGGCAGAATGCCCTAAATAGTGTTACTTTCACTTCTTGGGTACAACGAGCGAACCTTCGAGACAACATATTACAGCGGACACACAACGCCCTACGTTCTCTCGCAATGTCCATATCGTCCTTCAGGTCATCGGTAACCCAGTGGCCCAGATACTTGAAATGTGCTACTCGGTTTAAAGTTATGGATGGAGGTCTATTCGTAAAGATTGCATTTACTTACGTCATTTTTATAGCGTTTACTCATCCGGATCCGGAATAATCACTTTGCTAGGGGCCTATGGGTCAAGCTACTCTATTATTTTTACTTGGTGTTCAATCATCAGTCTATTAAGATAAAAGAGAGAGAAAGAGTAAATAAACATGTCTTTTATCTCCAAAAGTATTAAATAGAGAATGGGAAACTTGATAATAATTGGGTAGTTTCCTGGGTCAAAAATAAATTTATTTGATTTTTCAATCCAATTAAATATTGAAAAATAGTTACACTTTCATTCATTGATTTGCCGATATAGGTACTTAATTTTCGATTTATTCTTGCGTTTTCTTCAGATATAAGTGTGCTATTTGAAGCGAAAATATGATGACATCATAAGCTAGTATTTCGTACAAAATTCATAGAACAGTATCGTTTTTGACGTTTCGATAAAAGTATTGAATTTGACTAGTTGTCAACTACCGTATTTGGGCCACCCGAGACAAAGAGTATAATAAGTATAGGGGTAACCCGAGATTCTAGACCACTTGCTCAACTGTCGTACCTACGATTCTTCGACTAGAGGCAGAGAATAAAACAAATACATATATACGGTCGAATTGAGAACCTCTTCCTTTTTTTGAAGTCGGTTAAAAATACGTCATTTACACAAATTCCGTATTTTTTATTATCTCATGTAATGTAATTATAACTTTATTCAGGTAAAATAACGAAACACCATAACATTGCTTATTAATTTATTTAGAATAGAAGTAAAATAATTGATAAGTGGCAGTTTAGTTTCGTCTCCTGCGTACCCTGGATATTCTCCAGGCGTTCGGTTCTTCGTATTTATTGTAAAGAGGTTCTAGTCTCTGGTTCTTCTTGAACTTGGACAGTTTGGTCGGGTCGGAGAACTTGAAGAACGCCGGTGCGAACTCCACCAGCCATTTTGGATCGATGGTAGTCACCTCACGCATGTACTCCTTTGTCGTTTGTACGAGCTCGTGGTAGATAACCCTGTTAGAAAAATGTTGTCGTTATTAAATGGTTAAAAAGAACTTACAATAAAGGTACTATCGTTTATCACTTCAAGCTACTAAATGCCTTTAATAAATTTTAACTTTATTGTGTTGTGATAAGGTCCAAAACTATTGACATTTTGTAGACAAGTACAGAGAGGATTAAAAGATATTGCCAAAGTTATTATTCACAATAACAATGACTTACCATTCAGGTTGTCTATTGAAGAGCGCACTAGAGGGATGTATGTAGACCACTTGGCTGTCGACGAGAGTTCTATAGCCCTCCTGTGGGTCCTTCTTGGCCGCGTTCCTGAAGAAACCGGAACATATCGTCTTCTGGATGCGAACTGTGTTCTTTCCCGCTGATACCACGTCTAACTTGTGCCTATTGAGAGATTAAATAATATAGAATATTTTAAAAAAAAAGGTAAAACATGAGTATTGGCCACTTTTGCACATTTACTTCGTATATTTATTCTATTCTTATTTAAATCTTAACTTTTTTATTTTATCGGAACTGCTTCGGACAGTATTATGCACGATTAAATAAGGGATCGTAAAAAATATATAACACGCGTACTAACTGGATGGGAAGAATTTTGAGAGAGTTTAAAAATTACATGAAATAAATAAATACAAGTCTCACCTATCCATAATCCCTAACAATTGTTTCCGTACGTCCTGCGCACGTTTCAGCGTACGTATCTGTACAAAGTTCTCATAGCACCATGCGTTAGAGAACTTATTGTTTCTCCAGCTATTGTAGACTGCCAGTAGAGTGAGGTGGTCTCCCTCCGGCTGGTTGAACTTGGCTTTCTTCTGATCTGCTAATGCTTGCTTATCTTTGGGACGATAGAACACATTCTGCACGCTCAACATCGACACTATTGTTAGAATCTCATCCGAACACTGCAGTGCTACTGACATGATCAAGATTTTTGAGAGATTGGGTTCGAGCGGGAATTCTGCCATCTGTAAGAAGAAATACAAATTAATTTGAAATAAAGAGAGATACGAGATTTAGTAGATCGATTTGTCACAAGTGCCACTGTTTCGCAATGTCTGGTTTTTCGATAGTATTTGGTATTATACACTGCATGAATTTTTGTCTGACAGATTCGTTAACAGTTGAAACGCCATTTTATGTTTTGATGCAAAATGAAATTAATACAGGTTTCTTTATTTAATCCGTATTTAATATTACAATGTATAGCTACTGCAATTTATATGCTTGTTAGGCATACAATAGTTTGTGACAAAGCATATAAATTGCAGTAGCTATACATTGTAATATGGTGGAGCAGTGCCAGAACACAACAACCTTTAGACCAACCTTTGTAACCACTGTCTCACAATAAAGATCTTTGACTTTGAATAGCATAAGGGCTCACCCCTATTACATGGGGCTGTGTATTGAGCTTTTTTTATCACATCTTATATTTATTGATCGATTTGAAATATGAAATGCATACCCGTCGCCCAAGCCTAGTCAGTAATCCTTCAGAATCGAGCGCGGACAAGGAGTGCAGCTGTTCTAGCGCCATGATGAGAGACTCGACGGGCGGCGCGTCCATGAAGTCGAAGTGAAGGAGGTCGTTGATACCCATCGTCTTTAGTTGCAACACCTGAAATAGAAAAGTTATTATATTTCATTCCAAGATAAAAATGATAACTAAAAGTAACTTTTCAAGAGGTTGAATTTAAAAAGTATTGTAGATTATTTTATATTATTTTTATAGAATCAAAAACATCGTCGAAATGTATTATGACGTTATTCCTTAGTATAATGTAACGACGTAGCGAGCCCATACAACTATATTGTAATTGTCAACTAGTTAATGTACAAGTGTCATATTCCTTCTTCAATATTGAACCACCACCTTTATTACCTTAAATTTTCATACCCTGTTCAAATGTATCTTTGGTTTATTACTTGAATTACACGATTTGTTAAAACTAGATGAAAATGCGAGTAGTTAAATACGTACAGTGGTAGCAAGATTGGTGCGTTGTATCTCGGGTACTGGAGTGGGCAACATCTCGTCCCTGTACGCACGCTCGGTGTACAGCCGGTAACACTTGCCCGGGCCTGTACGACCCGCACGACCTGCTCTTGCTTGGCTGCAGCCTGGAGGAGAAAATAATATTATATTTCAGACTTATTCTGGAGGAGAAATCATTTCTAGTTTAACGAAGAGTAGAGCTCTGGTATAGTCACTCGTTTAGCGACTATGATGGTTGAATGCAAAGATCTTCGCTTCGCAATCTGTGCTCTCTGAAAATACTTAAGATCAGTGGTAGTGGAAGGAAACACAGTGATGATCAAAATTAAGTTGGGTTTATGCAACATTAAGGAAACTTCAGAATATTAGGTAAACGTTAAGTTACCTGCGAAATCGGTGTAACCACCAAGGAGTCCATACCAGTCTTCGAATTATAAACTTTTTGCTTCACAAAGCCAGGGTCGACCACGTAATAAATTCCGTCTATAGTCAACGAAGTTTCAGCAATGTTGGTAGCTATGACGACTTTCCTGGAACCTGGAGGTGCTGGTTCGAAGATACGCGTTTGCATTTCAGAGGGCAGAGCTGAATATACAGGTAGGATGATGAGTTCTGGCACATCAGGGCCTAGAGACTTCATTCTCTCGTATAAGATCTCGCAAGCAGTGTCAATCTCCTCCTGACCAGTCAAGAAGAGCAAGATATCTCCCGGAGGTTCCCTTAAATGAATTTGCATCACAGTGATCAAGGATGCATCCAGATAATCCGTTTCTGGTTCCTTGGTGTACAAAACTTCTACCGGGAAGGTACGACCAGGGATGGTGAAAATAGGAGCTTCAAAGAAGTACTGTGAGAATTTGACGGCGTCTAATGTAGCGGATGTGACAATCAACTTGAGTTCTGGTCGTTTCTGGACAGCCTGCTTGAGTAGACCGAAAAGGACGTCAGTGTGTATGGTGCGCTCGTGAGCCTCGTCCAACATGATCACTGAGTAGGTTTTCAAGTCGAGGTCCATGAGACACTCGCGGAGTAACATACCGTCTGTCATGTATCTGAGGATAAAATAAAGATATGTATTTAAAAAAGATCTTTTAAAACTATTATTAGTATTTGGCGAAATAAAATTGCTCAAAGGATAGAAGGATATTAATTTATTTGTTTCTTGAAAATTTTTATTCTTATATATTATTATATATATTCTTTTCTATAGGGTCTTCTCGTCTTTTTAAATTATTTTAACTTTTTGATTAAAAAATTAAATTCTATAAATAATAAAGAGACAGTTTATTTTGGGGATCACAAGACACTGATTTCCACAGGTGTGAGTTTGGGTGGATTTTTTAAAAGTATCAAACACTTACTTGATAACAGTCTCAGGGCTGGTGCAATCTTCGAAACGGATGGTGTACCCGACTTCCTGTCCGAGCCGGCACCCGAACTCCTCGGCGACTCGCTTGGCGACGGACATGGCGGCCACTCTCCTGGGCTGGGTGCACGCTATCTTACCGCGCGCCGTCAGGCCACACTCCGCCAGGTACTGGGTGATCTGTGTCGTCTTACCCGACCCTGTCTCTCCGATGACTATCAGGATTTGGTTGTCGGCTACAGCCTGGGTTATAAAGAAAGTTTATTATTGTTTATGTTTGAAAACAATAAAGTTTAGTAGTTGTTGTGTACGTTACTTCTTCGTTGGGTTAATTACAAAATTCAAGCAAGAAATTCGACTCGAAACCCGGGTGGACAAAATACCGATAACAAACGAGACGGGACTTATAACAAAACTAGGTAATTGGAGTTTTCCATTGAAATGTGTACCTTTGCTTACCTTGAAGGTAGAAAGCCGTGTTATTATTGTTATTAATAAATAGCTACACAAAACATGACAAACACTTATCTCATACATACCTTCGTCAATTCATCCCTCAGCTTATAAATAGGCAGTGACTGCCTCTGCTCCAATAATGACAAATTAGTTTTCTTGCCAAATGAAGACTTTTTGCCACCAATCACATGCTTCTTCCATTCAGGTAGATCCTGAGGAGTTATGCCAGTCCCTCTCATGTTAGCAGCTAGAGCTCTACCGTCGCTCTCTGGAGGGGATCTATCCAGTTCTTGTTGAGGCCCATGGGGAGGCTCTCCATCTCTTGTTCCCTCTGCAACATCTTCTGTTCTCTTCTCTCTTTAGACAGAGCTGACTGCATCATGGCAGCTTGAGCCAGAGATCCATCAGGGTTCTTGACAATCCTGACTGGAGACAGGTCGTGCAGTGCGCGGCCATGACCTTGTAGGAACGGTGGCTCTTCTTCTACCAGCTCTATTTCAATGTCAGCCTCACCATCTTCGTCTTTGGGCAACAATCCTGTCTCCTCATCGAAGTCTGGCAACTCACTCTTATCTATTACTCCTGATGATATCATCTGGAAAGAAGATGTATATTTATTATGATGAGCCTTCTGATTATACTGCCTGCTTTGTAAGTGGGAATCCAGAGAAAACGGTTTCATTGATATATTCAGTTTAAGTAAAAATCTGCATAGAATGAGTGTCAGTGCTCAAACTAAACTAAACCTAAAATGAAAGTACATTTAGTATGTGCCCTGTTAGCATCTAATTACAAAACAATAGACATTGGTAATGTGTTCTAATTTTCTTCTTACCTGTTTGATCTCCCACCTCTCAGGACTGGAGATCCTGGTCACCCTCTTCCTGCTGGAGTCCTCGTCCGGATCGAGCCCACCCTGCAGGCCTGCCAACACTGTGGCGTTTGGAGGAGGACGGTCGGGGTTACGACCTTCGCGTTCAGCCTACAATGTTAAAGAAGTATTATTATACATTTCCTAAATATTAGGTTTCCGCAGGATTCAAATCAGTCCGATGTATTTTATCTATAAATCAAAACACACACAATACTATTGATACTAATCAATAGACAAATTAACTGTCATTTAAAATAAATTATTGGTAAATTGTTTACCTCTAGATGAGCATGTGATGTCGGGTTCAGATCTTTGCCAGTGTCTTGGCACACATCCTTCATAGTGAGAGACACCTTCTGTCCAGTTACTGAGAGCACTTTCACCTGAAACAATCCATAACTTAGATCCATGAAGACAGAAAAAAGACTTGATGGTTGAGCAATTGCAGGTGCAACTTCTTACCTTGACTTTATCCCCTCTATTGACGACATCAGACACATTGGTGACGCGTCCTTCGGACCGCAGCTGAGAGATGTGCACCAGGCCCTCCCACCGCTTCCTCACTCCCTCAATTTGTACAAAACAACCAAATGGCACAATGTTTGCTACTCTGCCATTATAAATCTGAAAGAAAACAATTACATTGCAGTCAAATAAATGAAAATATGTATTACCTATAGTTTTCAGTACCAGATTCAATAAGACATATCAATTGCTATAGGTAGCAGGCAAAAAGGGCCTTATGAAAACCTTGTAAGACAACATCCAATAAAATAAAATGATAATTAACATGACTAGAAATGTAAACTTACTTTCCCAGGTTCAGGATCGTCACTCATTTCAACTTCCGGACTCCTCTTCCTCGGTTTCTTGCCATAATCATTGTATTTATGTTCTCTTTCTCTTGATGGTGACCTTCTACTTCTTGATGGAGAATTTCTTCCTCTTGATGGAGAATTTCTTCCTCTTGATGGAGAATTTCTTCCTCTAGATGGGGATTCCTTCCTCTAGATGGGGATGTCCTTCCTCGAGATTTGGATCTCCTATGCCTATCCCTTGACCTGTGACGGCTGGAAGTAGGACGGCTCCTAGATCTTCTCCTCCTATCTTATCTCTACTTCTACTCCTACGGTCTCTACTATGGCTTCTTCTGTCTCTACTTCTACTACGCCTACTTTTTCTATCCCTATCTCTCTCTCTAGATCTCTCCCTTTTTCTACTGGTTTCTTTCCTATCTCTGCTGCGACTTCTTTCACGTTTTTTTACTTCATCTTTAGTGATTTCTTTTTTTAGCGGTTCCTTTACAGAAGTTGATTGTGAAGGTGCCAGAGCCTCTAGCTCAGCCATGGCTTGATCTACCACAGCGTCATTTATCTTAGTTTTCGACTCTTCTAGAAATATATCCTTTGCAGTCAGTCTTTTGTCCTTCTTATCTTCTTCCTCTTCTTCACTTTCTTCATCGGATGAGAATTTGGGAGGTTTTTCATTAGGTATTGCAAGTCCTGGAAACTTATTAGCCAATGGGTTTGCATTCTCCTGTGGTTCGGCTTTTTGTGAAGCATTGTTTACGGGTTTCATATGCTGTATGATTCGCAGCAAGTTGGTCATAAATGAATCTGAGAATTCAGCTCCATTTTCAATCAAAGCTTTCTTGAAACCATCAAATCTGGGTTTTTATCAGCTATGTCTATTATGAACTCAGCTGTAAAGTAGAAACATACACTAATTATTACTGCTCTATTTGAATTTAATTTCTACCAATACCAATGAAAGTCCTTTTGAGAATTTGAAAAACTATTTAGATAAGTAACACACCTTACAGGAAATGACACATTCTAAATTAAGTGTCTGCTTGTGACTGATCTCAAATAGGTTGTGTACAAATGCTTATGTTTATTAGGTAAATTTAACCCCTAACAAATTTTGGTAAAATGGAGAAAAGCACAACGTGGCATGTAAAAACTCTCACATGTAACCAAATCGATGAAGAAAAGAAGAATACTAAACAAGATGATCACGAAAGATGCAACATAAATAAGAAACACACAAAACCACGCAACTAAATTTGGGTGTACTCACCTAAGTCTTTGTCATTCAATCCTAAATGATTGTCCAGCTCAGTGCACACTTTTGACACCAGTGAAAGATGCTCTAATTTAGCAACTTCATCCATTTTGATTTGATTTTATAAGAAATACACATTAAAAATATTCACCATTTCACAAAAACAAGACACCAGTTGTCCAGTTGACTTTTACTAAATGCCAAAATGACAAAAATGTTGTAACGTCAGTCAAGTGTCTCCTTTTTTGTCAAGTGTCAAATTTAGGATGAGCCAATGGCTTCTTTTTTTTTAAGGGGGTAAAAACATCCAATGACTTCTCCCGCCTGGGCACCGCCTGGGTGAGGCGAGAGGGAGCGTCAGACTCTTACTGACTAAAAACGACCCCGTTCCTTCTCCTGCCTGCACGTCGAGCCGGAGCCCCGGTAACCCGTTAGGTTCTCTGCGACAGCCAATAGCCTTATGGTTATTGTTTCTTACAAATTAAATAAATAATGCTTTTTTGTTGCATAATTTACTTTTTCAAAATTATCCTAGATATTCAGATATTATGTTTACTGAGCTAAATAGAGCTGATAGTAGATATCTGTATTTGGTTTTTGACCGCAGTCATAGCTAATACTGAAAATGACATTGACAATGACAATCATGACATAATGGATGCAAAGGTGTATGCTGATGATTTTGCCTTTGCTGTCATAGTCAATAGTTTCGAATTTATTTGGTAGCGTTTTAAAAAATTATGCATTTAGATAATTAAACATTTAGGCAAGTGCGTTTTATTAATTTGTGTTCGACTCATGCCACTCTCATAAGATGGAAAATAACACAGATCATTCTGAACAAAACAACTTTAGTCCTATAACTGTGCAGGACGTAGATGTAGATTTTTTACCGATTGTTTACGAAATCATACGAAGGTACTATATGTAGTGGTCTTATTTTTAGAAAATACGTCATTTATTTAGTCGTTTTTATATTATAGGTCGTAAATAACCTTTGTTTTGTTTAGTGTTGAGAGGGACTTCCATGACAACTCTGCAAAGGCCAGGGAGTCTCAAGACTGCAGTCAGAGGGTGCTCGAGCTGCAAAAGAAGTTCGACATAGCTCGTACGCAGGTAACAACAAAATTGTCATCTCATCATAACAATACCTTACTGTTGTTTCGTACCTATCTCTTATCAGTCAGGATTTTAGGTTAGTTTACATAACTACTGTCAAAGTTAAATAATGTGGTTTGTTACAGATAAAGCGTTTGCCCGGAATCGATTACAACAAGCAAGATCAGTTGAAACAGTTTGAAATACTGAGAACACAGCTGAGGTTGAAGCGAGAGCTTTTACAGAAGTATCGGAATATGTGTTCATTTGAAACTTCATTCAAGTGACTAATTTATTACAATGCCTATTAGAGCTTTACTAAGGTATCTCGCCAACAATGAGCACCTTGTGCAGAAGATAGCAGAGTCGTATCCCATGCGGAGAGCTGCACAACTTGCAGTGTCTGTATTTTTCAGGGGGAAGGAAAAGCTGTCTGATATGGACCCTCAACAAGCAAATAGAATCATGTCTTTCATTAAAAAGTTTAGCGAAAATTTAAGGGAAGGTATTCAGGATGCAAAGAAACAATTAAAGAAATAATGTATATAATTTAGTTTAGTCAAAATACTGTTACATACATACAACTACTAATTATGTCTTTTTCATGTGTAGGCATTAAATAATACTGCAAAGTTAATCTGAGCTAGTTTTATTTCACTCACTCGGAACAAACCATAAAAATATTCATTTACTTAAACTACAAAATCACATTATAATGGTACTGTGAAGTAATCAAATACTGAATTATGATATGGAGTAGAGCAGCTAGCCTCACTAACACTATTATAATATTGCATTATTTGTAATTTGTAATATAAAGTACAACAGATTCACTCCTCTGTCACTCACCACCTGTGCAGTGAGATACCCACTAAGCAAACAACACAACATGCCTACGGAACCTAGGCTGCTCAATGAAAATATCAACCAAATTCAAATCACTATAATATATGAAACCAACAAATAATTATAAATTCCAAAACAAAATGATTCCTTTAGGATCCTTCCATAAAATAATTTTAATTTACATAACAAAAACTGGCAACTCCAAATAAAAATATAAAAAAGAAACGAATATTTAAAACTTGCATGTCCATTACTGTTGTACTGTTACAAATGTCACATAAGCAGATATTGAAAAATATATTTATTATCTTGACAAAATTTCAAGAAAAGTTTACAAGATACGAGACCTATAGTTATAATAGTATAGTATAGTCAAAAATATGTAACTGTAGTCAGAGTGTGTACTAAACAGTAAACACACACGTAGATATAGAAAGTACCGACGTCGTTACACGGCGACGCGGCTTGTAGATGAGACCTAAGTACCTTGTACTTTGATTTAGTGCTTTTGGACCGAATTAGCTGCGCTAGGGAAGCTAATCAATGTACTAAAAATAATTTCTTAAAGCTATAAAGAAAAATATGTACAGGAGTACCTTTCAAATTTTCATCAATGAAATTCGTTACTTTGAATTTATAAAGTATACGGATATCTGGCACTACCGTAAATTAGAAAGTATTAAAAGTGTCCCTAGCGCCAGTAGCTCGTACTGTTGGAAAATATCTGTGAACCTGGGTACGTAGTCTCGTTGTATACAAAATGTGTGGCAAGGTGTCAGGTAGACAGATATTCCCGGCGAGTAAGTAGTAGACGGTATAGTATGGGTGCGAGGGTTTAGTTGGCGGCGGCGGCCAGCGCGGGCGCGTCGGGCGGCTTGTCATGGCGCTTGCGGGGGCGCCGCCCCCCGCCGCCCGCGCCACCCGCCCCGCCGCCGCCCGCCGCCGCGCCGCGCTTGTCCGCCTGCACCTCGAATGGAGAGTCTGCTGCAGTCACGTCAGTCTCTTGCTGCAAATAAAAAAGCGTAGAAAAGTTAGACAGACATGTTTCGACTCTAACCAAATAATTATACATTGATAAACAACAAAGTGTACGCACGACTTGCGCGGGCAGTGCGTCGGGCTTGTCGAGCGCGTGGTGCGCGCGGCGGTCGTGGCGCGCGGCGGCGGCGCGCGGCGCCAGCTTCACGGCGGCCGGCTCCGGACGCAGCACGTTGCCCACTGCTTTCGTACGACCTTCGCGGAACACCTGCATAATACAAAAAAAAATTAAGCAAGATATGGATATGTTATTTGTTTCTGGAGATAGATACGAAGCCTGCAGTTGTAGGTTACTTTGACTCATATTTTGAAATCTAGTATTGACACAAATATATGTATAGTGAATACTGACCATCCTCTGCCCCCTCTTGAGGTACTCTGGGTGCTTGATGAAGCGGAAGCGAACAAGTGCCTTATCGCCAGTACGGAGGCAGTCACGGGACATCGACAGGATCGACGCAGTCTGTCTGATGCTGCCACAGTGCACTGCAAACGTAGATTTAATATTAATCGCAAGATTTATTTTTGGCTCCATTCGGTGATTTTGTACATCAGACTAACATAAACGGTAAAGTTATTAACGGCTTATCGGCTTTATTAATTTTTAACAACGTCGAAAATAGATTGTCTTCATGTGCAAGACACTACAATAATATGGTGTATAACTGTATACATACCCATAGCCTGGTACCGCGAGGAGATAGTAGTCGGATGATGCAGTACGAGGATCTCTCCCTCGAACTGCCAGCACGCCTGCGGGTTCAGTGCGGGAGACACCATCACCATACCCTTGCGGATCTGAGAACGTTTAATCTGTGGAGACAAATTAGCTCATGATCAGATTAATGGTTTTTGTCAATAGTGGTATAAATATAAGGTGTCAAGGTACGCGCACCCACGACAGAGAAAATTATAATGCTCCATTGTTGTTTAAAAATAGAAAGAAAGTGAGTAGTTTACTCACTTTCTTTCTATTTTTGAAATTTCTTTATAGAAAGAAAGTGAGTAGTTTACTCACTTTCTTTCTATTTTTGCTGGAAATATTTGGAGGTTCCCAATTCTTCTCTTGACTTGGTAAAAGAGAAGAAGATCAAATTTTCTTATTGAACTACACATAAAGAAAGCCTACCATGCTACTTGATGTCCCTCAACACAGGAGAGGATGTTGGCCAAGAGCAACTTGTTATAATCTACATACCTTCTTAAGAGCAAAGCTAGCAGTCTGTCCCCCCCTGACCTCTGGTACGGGCATTCTCTTCCTGTGTATGCTCTTGACAGTGATGGGAGTGAAGCGGCCGAGTGGGTCGGGGCCCAGTAGTAGCGTGTCGTTCAACTTGATCACTCCTGCCAGCGTCGTGCCTGATACCACTGTGCCCACACCCTGGGAGAAATTACAAAATTGCATTAAGTCAAAATTAGTTAAACATTTTAATTGTTAAAATAAAACCTCGTCATTGTTAGTTTATTACTTGCGAAAATTCACTTCCATTGTGAATGAGAAATTATACTTTCGTTGAAAGAGGTCATAGAATAACATAATATTATACTTTTGAATAGGTACTCTAAAATGCAAGATAATAATATCGTAAGTAAACTAATTATCTCGACGGTATCATCGGTCTTATCACGAAGTATAGGCAAACATATCGTACCGGCACTGAGTAGGTGTCATCAATTTGAAACTCCGCGGGCTTGTCGTCCTGTGAGGGCATCCTCGTCTTCAGCAGGTTCAAAAACATCGTCAGCAGCTCCAGGTTTTCACCAGTCACATTCGACACTTGGAAGATTGGGCATAGCCTGGTGAAATATAATTAAAATCTAATTCGGAAATGTTCTAAAGATGTCGTATGTGTTGTGGATTATAGTAACTGAGATTGAAGATAGAGTTTTAATACATTTTTATATGGATTTTATATGTATGATCTAGTATCCAAATCTTTCAGTGGATACATCATAATGTACTACTGAAGACTCCTTCCATATTCAGTACAAAAAGCTAAAGAAAGCTACATAATGATATATTATGTATGAAGTGTGTACAGACGTTTACCTCTGCGATACAAAGTTAGTAGCGCTAACGATGACGTCATCTTTCGTCTTCACCATGACGGGGACTTTGCGACAGCCGGATGACTTGAGGATCCTGATCAGCAGCTTGAGGTTGTCTTGGAGGACGTTTGGAGGACACATGTCGATCTTCGTCACCACCACAAACACAGGTACTGAGAGAGCGAGAGCCAGGCCAAGGTGCTCCTTCGTCATGCCTACTATACCTGCGTTGGCGCCAATCTGAGGACATATTAATTTACTTTCAGATTTTGCAATTTAATTACAATCTATACAAAATAAAAAACCACTCTTACCATAAGCATACCGAAGTCAGGTGCATGTCCAGTCATTCCGAAGACGGTGGTCTTGAGGTATCGCTCGTGGCCAGCCAGGTCGATGAACGTGATCACCTTGGACGACTTCTCGCAGATCTTCACCCAGTCCAGCGTGCCGTGGTCCGGTTTGTTCACTACATTTCCTGTGAACAAATGTTTGAATTATTATATTATTCGATTTTGTTAGAGAACAATTTAGTTTGTAGAAACTAGAAAATCTATAAAGGAGTGCCCTATGGTGGGAAAAGATTTATTAGGGTTAAAAATCTCAAAATCGGAGTCGTAAGTTATAATGACAGAGACGTCAGGCGGTGACCAATTAGTCGGATTATCATGTACTTATAGATTAAAAGTTAAATCTCAGCCAAAGTTTCATAAAATGTCTCATGCAATAGTGACAATGCGAAAAAGAATAGAGGAAGCTATTCATATTGAAAATATCGTAAAATTCGTGTACTGCAGTTAAACTTGAGCAATATTTCAAGACGCTGTATAACAAATATTTTAAAAGTATTATTCTTTTGTTACGTAATATTTGCCTTGAAAATAACTATTGATTAAAAGTAACGTGAAGTAATGCTATAATTCCATTAATTCTACATTCAAGCGTTTCTATTCACAGAAGGCAGCTAAACAAATAAGTTGCACGTGATCATAGTGTAGATACATAGTTAGACAAAGTTATACTTATTCAGTTTTTAACTATTTCATGTATGTATATTCATACATACATGATGATAACTGATTTTACTTTGCCTTTGGTGTAGTAACCGCTTAGGGAACAAAACGTTTCTACAATTCAATTCGTACACAATAACTTCTTAAAATTGGGTTAAGATGCTTAAAACTACTTGTACTTGTCTGTCTACACTTTCAGAGTATAAGATGTATGCTTGTCTGGTAGATGTTTATCGTGTATAAAGGGCAGTAACTGTACAGTCTGTACATACATGTGTACATATAAAAAAATTGCATTATCAACCAATAAATAAGCATATATCATTATCAGTGCTCGTTCAAGTCCTATAAATAGTACCTACATTCACTACTTTAATGAACTAATTACCCACTATTACGCTCTATCAATATTCAATATGTAAATATGTAGATTGCAGTTCAATCAAGTTGCAACATCATTGATTTTTTTACATTATCACGACCTGGTTATATTTTAGTAATGCAGCATAAACTACCAATTAAAGGAAAATAAATAAATAAAAAGTGATGTTATTGCTCCTATTAAAAACACGTACCTACAGCTAAAAATTATACATAGCTTCGTTGATTTCTTCAAAGACATGTGTATTGCAGTAGTGGTTAAGTTACGACTACAAACCATTATAAACATAGTATTTATAGGGTCAAAAGTGCATGATTATACTAAAACAGTATCACTTCGAAACAAGTATCAATTTCATTCTCTGGTTCATAAAGCACGCTACGTTGAAAGGTCAGTGTCACCGATAATACAGCCATACTCCATAGCGCCTTTAATATTAAGTTTGCCATTTGTGTTTACTTTGATAACGCACATAAAGCATGCTCTACTTATTCGAGGGCAATGTAGTCCAGTGTACGTACATGTATTATACCGCATTTAAGTTATGGATCTCTGTCTAGTCCATCAGGGAATTTAGTATAATGTAAATGTAATAATAGAAAAACCCAAAGTTCAATAGAGAATCCAAACATTTGATTTTAGAATTAGAAGTTATGTTTTGTTTCTATTAAGATTTAAGAAAAACTTAAATAGATAATTTCTCAGTTGTTCAACACATTCCTATCAAAATCAGATAAAATGCAAAATTATGAAATTTTTATTGTTTACGATACAAAAACATGACTTAACGACTGCCCCCAATTATAATTGACTACGTGTTCCTGATAAATTGATAATGTCTACTAATACCAAACAGATGACTAACTTTCTCGGTACTTTTTCAAGATAAGGAACATTTCATTCGAATATAACAACATACGTGTACTTTTATAATTTCCCTATCAACATCGCTAATCCGAAGCTTCTCACGTAAATACCTTTTTTCATTTTCTAATCTAAGTTTTGTATTCTGCTTGTAAAAATTTAATCAAAACTCAATGTTTAGAAAATAAACGAAGACTTTGAGGTAGAGCGTCATGCATGAGGTCTTCAGTTTACCTAAGTGGACTATGATCATACAATAGGTATCACCTAAACCTAAATAATTAATTACCATTCGATTCTCTGCTTCGGTTTTCGCAATAGGTGGTAACATTTAATGTATAAGATTAGGGTCATTAAACCAAGCGTTCCTTAAATAATTTTATTGCAACTTCAAATAATTATAAATAAAGGAAATAAAAATGTTGAAAAAAGAAAGATACTCACGAAGTTCAGGTACAAAGTACTCTTAATCAGCATGTAATCCCAGAATCCCAGATACATTAATATGATGGAAGCTAAAGAAGCAAGCGAAGATAATCGTACCTATCTATAGAAATTCAAGACTAAACTATTCTTACCCATACTATCGAATCCGAGAATATCGTTCCCGACGGAGCTGGTCCTCCCGCTCTCCATCTCGTGCTTGTGTCGGAACAGTCGCTGGCGCGCGTACCCTCGTCCGTTGTCCAGCTCGCCGTGAGTCAGTACGCCCAGTAGAGTCGACTTGCCCGCGTCTACATTGCCCACCACTGCCACTCTGGTAGTGGACAAATTTATTTGTTAGTTTAACTATCTTAAGAAATGTTATTAAGACTATTTTAAAAAAGAGGTCTCTAGCCAGGAGAAAATGAAGAGCAAATGGCTTCTCTGAGAGTTTGACCCACAGACACTGTTATTTTTACTACTATTTTATTTATTTTGTTTAGGATGTTTCCAACTCCAGCACCTATCTTAGGTAGTTAGACTATCCTGAAGGTAGTCACAAACAAATAAGACTAGAATTAACTCTAGAAGGGTATGACCTTCATACCTGATCTCCATAAAGTCAGTATGGTCGAGCTCGGTACGTAGCAGATACTGTCCGGTGAGCCCGCTGCCGCAGTCCCAGCGTCGCAGCTCCACGCATGAGACTCGCTCCCCACTCACCAGGGACTGCAGCGTCGCCACTGATGCGCTGTACTCATCCTCTGTCAAACCGCGCCCGTCTGCACAAATGGATATCATAAAGAATTAATCCCATAAAAACGCATACATTGAGAATTATATTACAATAGTTATTAGAATATACATAATTATACATGACTTCGAATATGTCGTGCTTTATAATAGATGCGAGCTTTCGAACAACAGTTTTTGTATAAACGCCGGGAGAGATTGGTTTCAAAGTTCTGCTTTGATAAAATTGCAATAATATAGGTACGTAGCGTGGCGTTAGTATAGTAGTAGCTACGACCTAAGTACTGTATTTAAATATTAGCGTTCGAATATCTGCCAAATACTAAAACATTTTCATCGTTTCGATATTGCTCTATAAATATCTAGTACTAGGCATGTGTAAATAATACAATCACTATTATTACATTTGCAGTAACTCACGCACTATAACACTAGATCTAGATGAATATAACCACACGTCCGTTCGCACGTGACCGAGATCATAGCGATAAGATTAGGTGGTCAGCGGTCAGTTGCAATGTCTACATTCTATCAGTACACCTAATGTATGCAGCATATTATGAAATAATAACTTATCTAATCGTTGAGGAATGTGCTGTCGGTAATTATGTAGCAAGTTTTTTTTAGTTATAATAAGGAAGATCACAATAAAGTTAGATCAAGGCAAACATATTAACTGAGAATTATAAGATTGTTTTACAAATTATTGTGTATTGTTGTTACACAAGACTGTCTTCCAAAACCAATTAAAGCCTTCTTGCATCTGTTTTATCTTCAGTTTTGATGATCATCTTAATAACATGCTGTTGGGACCATAGTGCCTGAATGTGTTCTTAATTACTATCATTTTCACTAAAATTGATTAACACCCTAAAATAACTCTATTTAATTTGAAGATATTTACATGCCAATAAAATTTCAGGTACATTGTTTATTTATACTTGTATTCTTTCATATACAAAAAATATTAAAAGGTCCTGGTTACAGTATTGTTTGATAAAATTTAAGATGAAATTATGTATAAAATGTTATAATGCTGTATTAATTTATCTAACAAAAGTAATTAGCAAAAATATAATAAATACATGTCTTACCTTCTCCTTGACCAATGTCATATATGATCTCTCCATTCCCTGACTCCAGTCTCTCCAGCAGTTGCTTACGGAGCAGCTCATACTCATCTGCTGAAGGACTTACAAGCACCATCTTGGAAAATAACATATTGGAAATTAACTAATGTTGTTATTTTCACTGTACATTTGGTTGTATGAATTAAAATCTTTCTTATTATTAATTTGTATAATATTAGGTCCGCTGTATGAGGTAACTTCATATGGAATGATTTTGGTACAAAAAGTAAGTTTACATTTTAGCTCCATAATCTAAAAAATGTTTTTATGATTGTTGATAATTTTATACAATGAAGTGTCAAAAAAATTTGTCAACAACTATTTTTAAACATTTCTTAAATTGTACTTTAGGGAAAAACACAAAATTTTTGTATAAGTTTATTTAATTGATAATGATGCAACAAAAGCTTAATTCATAACACAATGACTACACTTGTGAATAAAGTGGTGCAAGACTTGATCAATAGACATGTCTATACTTGTCATATTATGTAAAATGGGCCAGCAGGTCAACCTAGTCCTTTCTGTAAGATTTCTTTATTAAATTGGAACTTTGTAATTTTGACATAGAATTGAAAATCCATTGAAAAAATATAGTTAACAATATCAATAGCTGTCCAATTGGAACTGGGTGTAATTATGAAATAATAAACTCTAAATGAAATTGTATATGTTATTTTATAAAATGTTGTTGTTATCCTATTGATTGTAATCACAGGATAAAGTTATCTCTAGGGCCAACTTGTATAATCATGAGGTATTATAAAACAAATTATAGTCAATATATATCCAGAAATGAATATAATTATGAGGGGCATCACTATTATAAAGAATTTCCGGTTTGATAAGCTAGTATTTATAACTATTAGTTATCTATCAGGCACTTTGGTAGTAGGAAATTGAACATATATATTTATAATGTTTACATTGGATACCTACATAATAAGTATCCACAAAGAGAATGATGCAATATTGTTATGGTGCAACAGATAGCTTGAAATAATTTAGTTAGGAGGTAACTATTTTTTATTTTAGTATTCTATGCATAAAAATTAAGTGCTGTTCAAGAAGAATAATTACATTAAAAATGTATGCATAAAGTGTAGTTAGGTACAACAGTTTTCCTAAATATTAAAAATAATTCATTTTCACAAAAACGCAAAATATGAAACTGTAGCACATTTTTGGGACTAATTAGAATCTTATTATAGTACTAATTAGAATTATTGTTCCATATTCATTTAAAGAGAATTATCAATAAGTTATTTTATGAGAAAATATGAGCTCTGAAATACATAATATACTCATACATCAACTTGCTAAGACTTGTGAGTAGGCGTAGTTTACGCGCGAACAATAGTGTTAGTAAACAAAGGCAGTGCGAATGCTCACCTTCCCCCTTATGCTGGAATAATCCGTCTCACTCTCTGGGAAACCTTCGGGCTCCACGAGAGGGCTCGTCTTCGAAGGTGACTCGGGAATACTATCCATGGTTAGTGACGATCGACAACAAACAGCAACAAACTATTACACCATTATGTCATCACTTCTACACAAGTATCTTGAGCTCCTCTCCTAGGTCACTGTCCCTAAAAACGAAATATTTTAAAACTAACTTTCACAAAGATCACAAAAGAAGGAAATAAATAAGAAATTGCTGCAAATTGTGATCAGTGATCACAGATGCTTTGTATTCCGCATAGAATTTAACAATAGTTTAAAACAAGAAAATTTATGTGTACAAGCAGATCCGTATAAACATATATTTTCACAATATTATTGTGTAAAATAAGCTAAAATACCCTTGTTATCCGCAGTGTAAGATATGAAAATAGATTGGCTAAATAAAACAGATGGATTATATGCCAACTTTTTGACAACTCATACGCTCTGTGTTGCTATTGTTAATTTTTGCACATTTTTTTCATTTTCCTGGCAAAATACTTTTACTTACCAAAAAAGGGAAATCCTGAATACTTATTTCAATGTGGTGTAAAAAGTATTGTAAAGGGGTATAAAAACTACAACATTGTATGACTTTATTAAAACTGAGGGCTTAGTACAAGTATGGTTCGAGCCTTGAATACTTATACGAATTTGTTTTCCGCTTAACGAGATCAAAACGTAAAACCAAAGACGTTATAATATAAAGTTTTGTTGTAAGTATTATTATAGTAGCTTACAATTACAAGGGTGTCGTAAACAAATACTAGGTAGAGGTACGCCCTCTGTGCCATTACACGCTACGCTTACAACAATATTATAATCTGTGCCTTCATCCGGATGTCACTGTCATATTATCAAGTGTCATTCAATGGTGTCATAAGTGTCATTCAGCAACAGCAGTAGCGCCGTCGTCTCATATTTTGCAGGTCTTTTGCGTACTTTATTTCGGTGAAAATTTATGTTGTTTATTCATGAACTTGTTTGTGCTAAGTGAAATCTAATAGTTCATTTATTTCATAAATTGTCGAATCCGTTATGGTATTATGGATAAGTCTATCCCTAAACAATCAATATGGGTGAATTAAATGCATCCGATTGTTCCTGGAAGAAAATTGTGATAGCGAAAGCAAATAATGAGTGGATCTCGAAGTGCTAACAAAATCTAACTATATCGAAAAATGGACAACACAATGAGCAGTACAAAATTGAATTTAGAATCTGAGCCAATATCTTATGATATGAATGTGAAAAGGGAAAACGAAGAGACAAGCAGTGATAGAAGTTATGAAACCGATGATCCGATGTTAATGACACAAAATCTAGACCCACTTGTGCTGATCACTCCTGATAAACGAAGAACTCGTAAAGATTCTGGTCGTAAATGTGAGTCACCTACTGAGCGAGCGTCGCGGTTAGCGAAGATGTCAGCATATGCGGCACAGCGACTCGCTAATGAAACGCCGGATCAACGCGCCAGCAGGCTGCGGCGTATGTCTGAATACGCGGCGAAAAGATTATCACTGGAGTCCAGTGAACAAAGAGCCAAACGCCTCTCTCGGATGTCAGCATATGCTGCCAAGAGATTGGCAAATGAATCCCCAGAGCAGAGGCAGGCGAGACTAGCTAGAATGTCTGCCTACGCTGCACGGAGACAAGCCATGAAGAAAGTGGCCAGTCCTAGCACTTCTGATGATTGTCATTCTGAAAATTCTAACTACAATAACATACAAACAATGCCTAACCAAAGCTGAGAGTAACTTTTATTTTGAGTTCATATTTTACATATATGTAAAGTCTATTTACAGAATAATATGTTTATACATACTTATTATTTTATTTTAGAGTTAATACTTATTTACGTTTCTTTTAATGGCTTGATTATTATTAATCTGCTCTAGTTTTATATTAATCAGCTTATTGTATATTGTGCAACATCACAATAAAGTTTTGTACTAAAGCATTATGCATTTTAATGACAAAATTAAAAGCCCATTTTAATATTAGTGAAGTTTATTTTAAATCAAACAATAATACACTTAAAGAAAATATTAGTTAGGCAGTAATACAAATGTGTATCAACAATTTACGACACTTATAATTTTTGAGATTCTTTGATTGAATATAAAGGAATGTTCTTAATCAGTCTATAAAAAGTGCCCTACAATACTGTTACTCAATTGGAGTAATTTTAATGCATCATGTAATACCCAGATAGACATCTTACAAGTCAATGACATTACAGTTTATACAGCAGCAATACATGGAATCAACCCATTTGAATGTGAGCCGTAATAATTTGCTTAAATCTTCAATATGAAAAATATTAACATATTTGCTAAGAAGGAAATTATAATCAAAGTCATCAATTTGTTTCATTCTTGATTGCTATAATAATGCAAAATAAGAGCTAAGTTTTAGTAAATTTGAGCATTATGTAAATGTCAAGAAAAACTCAAGACAATAGTCAATAAAATTTGCAATTCAAAGGACAAACATGGGTGGACACTGATATTAGTGCAAATATATACAAAACAAATGATCTAAATGCACCCCACATGTATTTATGAATCCACATTACTTGCTTTTGAGTAAACAGAATTTCAGCCTTACTAATGCATAATTTATAATGTCTCGTACCTTATTTGGCACTGATATTTCATAATGAATAAATATATTAGAATTTTTTATACAATTTACCATTTATACATCAAAACTCCATTTTTTATTAATACTAATATAACATAGAAATCTTGCACCATTAGTGTTCCTATACTAGAAGCTTGGGTAACCTATTTTTTACATGTCATGCGATGATCAATTTACTTATGATTAAATTTAATATAGCTGCAAAAACATTAAACCCATTATAATATTACAAAGTTTACTTGTCTTATTTTTACGGACAGTGTCGTACGTATGTATCGTACGTAATGTATTAAGGGTCGCGGGATCGTGCACCCGTTACGTTACAGTGAGCTACAAACACATTTTTATGTGGTAACATTACGCACTAGCTTATCGTAGTGTACAATAGGGATGTCACGAAGGAGGTTTAAACAGACAGTCTGAATCTAAATTAATTTCATTTACCTGCATAAAAGTTTACCAGATGGATGTGACGTCCGCCGAGCAGTTCATGCACGAAATTCTTGATTGTGGGCTTCGATGTGGCACGAAACTATTCGAGCATGCTCGTATATTTATTAAATATAAAATTGTAAATATTAGTCAAATATAGAATAAATCATGATAGTCGTAAACAAAATAGTGATCAAATTATATCAAGGGCAAGTACAAGACTTCCAATAAAATTACAGACAAATTACCTAACATCCCTAATGTACAGTAGATCTCAGTAAGGTGGTAGAGTGTATTCTACGTGGTTGTAGAGCTGTGTGGGGCGGTACGGGTGAGACTTGCGACGCGTCGGTCGCTAGCAGGCTGTGTCGGTCGCCAGCGGGGACCCCGCCACTGGCGCCAGGAGCTGACGAGTTGACGACGTCGAACTGTACGAGTCGCCCGATGAACGCACGCTAGACTGACTCAGGGGTGTTCCTATATCAAGGGTTACATACACACATAAATATCAAGGATTTTAGTCCATTTATATTCACATAGAAGTAAATAACTATTTGGTAGTTAGCTCACCAGGTAGTGATGTGACGTGATGTGGCAGGGCCCAACGCTGAGGAGTACAATCTCCATTGTTAGTTGGCTCCTGGAACAGATACTTGCTTTAGAATAATGCATTCATAACTTATTAACATTTCTAATACTAAGTGCACATAGTTGCCAGTATCGTAAATTTGGTTCCAAATAAAGTTATGAGTGCAGTTTTTAATCTGGCAACAATATGCTTGGTGCGTTTCAAAAGCCCCGCAATGCCTGGACACCTCAAGCTCCGTTACATGGTTACCGCAGTGCATCGCTCGGCTCCTGCCACGTGCCAGTGTAACATCACCTTACAACATTCATACTGATGCGTTACATGATAATGAAGGTGCAAATTAAACACGACGCGGAAAATAAAACAAAATCGCGTAAACCAAAACCGAACTAAAACGCACGCAAACAAAGCTCAATGATGACGTCACGACTACGATGACAGCTGATGCAAGATGGCGGACTTACGGCAAGTTTGTTCGTCTTAGGAACGGTCAGAATGGTCGTGTTGGTGTCTTCCGGCGTGAAATAATCAGAGTCCTCGGCCACTGCCGGCGACTCCGCATCGTTACGAGACTGTGTTCCGCTCGCTGCGTGCGATTGTACACCCAATTATATTACTGAACACGGTCCACTGCTCCACTACTCCTGCCCTATCTATACTTTACTTATACTACCTGAACTTCAACGCGCTTCTGTTTAATAGGATTATGACGACAAGCTCGTCGAATATGTGAATGATAGCTATTTGATACATTAACTAAATATTACAGATTATATTTTACTATTCAATTATTGATGAAAAATTATTTGTCCTATTATCAAAGCAGTTCTATCGATGCCTACCTAGGCGCAAAACTTAAAATGCAATGTCGTTCGCTTTGTATGAATAATGTAAAACGCACATTGCAATCGTCCTCAACCACTTAAGACGTCACAATATGAACAACCACCAACTCTATACATAATATTCAATGGGTCGGACACAAATTAGCATCCATTTGAATGTCAGCGTAATTTGACCCTTATTTCCACAAGCAAAGCTTTCACTTTATAATAAATATCTACAATTTGAATTGAAAAATAGCGGCCTACTAGCGGACGGTCCAAGGATTGACTTTACATGACTATAGGAGCATGAAAGAAATTATATTAGTATAGAATACACTAACTGTGTACACAGAGTAGTATGCAAACTGTATATAAATTACAACAAAATAGAACATTACTGAAGTCTAACTTAATCAATGTCAAATTAAATAATATTTAGGTATATTAATGATACAACTTTAAATCATTTTATACTACTCTGTGATAGTGTCTATTTCAGACACAAAATCATTTGAAAAGTCAGTTTGTAGAAGCCCAGACTGAAACAAAACTATTATTGCTGGAAGCATTAATACCAGTACCACTGTTGGAAAGTCATACTGAGATATATGACATAGGTTTTCAAAAGTTTGCATAAAAAATATGGCATTAACAATGTCTTTAATGTCATGGAACAGTTCTGTTTCTGGCTAGACTATGGTATATTGAGTAATGTTTATAGCATGTGTGTGGCTACTGACAGTTGTGCTTGGTGTCTGGTTCGTCGGTGTCGGTGTCGTCGATGTGTGCCAGCGCGGGCGTGGCCAGCCGCAGCGCGTCGCCGCCCGGGGACCCGCCACTCGCCACCGTCTGCCGACAATTCAATATTAATACTTCAACGCGGATTGTTTAAAAAGCAACCATTTACGGCCAAAATTAGTAGCCGATCTCAATCCAAGAAGTTGTCCAGTTTAAAACTACGGATTAAGTCTTAAAATACAGTTTAACCATTTTCAAGTCTTACCCCATTAGCAGTAGGATGTGTGAGTAGTGGCGAGAGTCGCTCGGCGTCACTGTCTGGCTCCGGCGCGGCGCGGGCCTCGTCGTCCGAACCCGACGCCTCTTGCACAGACTCCATGTCGCCCGGGTACTCCAGGCTTAACGACGACTACAAATGAAATAAAATCAAGTATAAATAAAATAAATATTTAAGAATAATTATATTGTTTTAAAAATCTCAGTAGTAGCACGAAGTCTGGAAATGTACCCGATATATGGCAATAGGCTCACTCCCTATTAAATGGGACTCATAACATAAATAGTGAAAAGTGGATGTTACATTGTACAGTGGCATTAAGTGCCGTAATGTGCACCTCTGCCTCCCCCTTCGGGGATAAAATGGCGTGGTGTTATGTATACTGTTTTTAAAAATAAATTTCCTTTTATAATTCTTTCCTACTACCTCGTTGATTATGTGGTCATGAGAATTGAGTTACATTTGCGAAAAATTAATGAAATTACGCATATATTTAATTTCAAATTATTTTTATTACTTATGTATTTCAACTTTCATATTTGAAATAAATATTTCAAGTCAAGGTTTAAAACAAATTCCTACCAGACTTACCTTAGAGATCTTATCTCCATTGACAATCTTATGATTGTAGAGTAGCGGACTGTTGGCTGCGGCCGCCTTCTCCTCGGCGCGCTTGGCTTCTTCTTCGCGCGCCAGTAGCACTGACATACGGAACTGTACACAACGTTACGTTATGAGTTCATAATAAGTTCTAACCACAAATCTTGTCGTGTCCTGAAGGTCGAGTAGAATATGTTGGTCAAAACCCCTTGTCTTCCCGCAAGTCTCGTAAGAACCGACAAATGGATTACGTATCAAAGCCAAAGCATTTATTTACCAACGATAGACATTTATGAGATGTCAAAAATAAATTGGTCTAGTCAGTCTGCCCTTTAGTAAAGCTAGGTGCTTGTTCAAAAATGTAGATTAGTGTGGATAAAGAAGAGGCCCTCAGTCCAGTAGCTGACTCTCATCAGCAATTGATGATGATGACGATGATAAATTAATTTAATTGTCTTGGCATTAATTTCCTCACCTCAGGAGTGACAGTTTGTGCAGCGGACCTATCTCGGACACTCTTGACATCATCCTTGGAGCCACTCTTAGCCTTTCTACTGCCACTACTGCCCAGGCTGGTGGACGAACTGCGCTCCAAGTTGCAACGGTTCAATATCTCAGCTGCCTGCAAAACGCATTATTCATTTATTTATTTACATTTACTACCATACAACTGTCTCGACAAGTTCCTTCTTAACTCTACTTCAAAGTGATAAAGTTCAAAATGTATCGAAGAACCTGGTTGTGTTACTCAGTGTACTGGTCAGTAGGTCAGTACCGGAGTACAAGGTACCTGCGAGGCGGTGTCGGTGTCTGGGCTGGCGATGGCGGGCGCGGGGCGCGGCGCGGGCAGCGCGCGCGCCGGGTGCGGACCGTTCAGGGCCTCCAGCAGGGACACTGGCTCGTAGCCTGCTGGGATGTTCTCTGTGCTACCCTGCAATGACGACATATTACTTAAATACCATTTAAACTATAAGATTTAATTCATATTTCACTCATAAAATGTCTCTTCGAAATCGAAATCTTGTTGCATGAGTGTTAGTGGCGTTAGTTTGTCGTCGGTCGTGTACAAAGGTAATGATTATTAGCCCCAGTTGTAGCTTGAAATTAGTCGAGCATTCCTGAACTTCACCTTTCTCTAGGATAAATATAATTTAAAAATCAATATTCTTAAAAATTTTCTTTTGACCAAAACTGCTTTAAAATTTATAGTTTTCGAAGAAACATCTCAATAATTTGGAATGATTACCCAACCCATTTACAATATTTATAAGACATAGTATATTAGTTTGATAGTCTGGTTTGCACAACTTACATCGGGCGCTGCAGCGGGTGCAGCAGGTGCATTATCAGGGCGTCGTTGCAGCGCGCGTATCTGCAGCAGCGCGCGGAAGGGCGCGCGACAAATGGGGCAGTTGTTGGCCTGGTAGCGCAGCGAGTCGGCGCACGAGTTGCACAGACACAGGTGGCGACACGGCAGGATCAGCGTGTCGCGCACGTCGCACATACAGATCACACACTCCGAGCCCCCGTCTTCTGTCTCCTCGTCTGAACTTGGCTGCACACAATCATCATATCTTTATTATATTGCGTCAAATCTTTTATCCTTACTAATATTATAAATCGGAAAGTGAGTTTGTGTTTGTTCCGCTTTAACGCCGTAACTACTCAACCGATTGCTTTGAATTTTTGCAGACGTAAAGTTAGAAGTCCGGATTAAATAATAGGGTACTTTTTATCTCGGAAAGATTTGATATTCCCGAGGGAAAACAAAAGTATTGGAATAGATGGCACTGTGTGTATTGGTATATGTCACATAGGCTACTTTTTATCCTTTTGTTACGCGAGCGAAGCCGCGGGTAAAAGTTAGTAAGTTTATAAAGAATAGGGATTATTGAATTTATAAGCAGTTTTCATGTAAACGGGTAAATAAATTCGTCACGATCCATGTTGTATTGTATGGATGCAAGGCAGGATTCCCTTTTCGCTAGTCAAATTGTAACTCTAGACTGGTTAATCGGTAATCAAGCTTGCCACTTTGCCAGAATACAACACACTGGACACTGGTTGGCGACATACCTTAGTGTCGAGGTTCTTGTTCTCGATGCCGTATATCTCCTGCAGTAGGTAGCACAGACCGTCCACGAACAGCTTCTGTTTCAACGCTTTCAGCACGTACGTACCGTCCGAGTGCTTCTCCACTACCGCGATGGTCGTGTGCGATTGTCTTATTTCTATTAAAAAAATAAGTAATAATAATGATTTTGAATTGGAAGCATATAGTATAATACTTTGAGAGTTAAAATACAACAAATGATAGATGAAATGTTGTGATATTCTAACTTTAAACTTTATTCCTTTGTGATTAAGTTGAAAATCGAATAAATACTGACAGACAGATATAGGTTGATGTCCTGTCTGTACAAAGAGACATAAGACTAGATAAAGGTTTTTAATTTTTTTTTTAAGTAAATAAATTAGCACACAGATATTATCTATGTTGGTGTAAAGCCTACCTTCCTGTCCCTCATCAACTACACAGTAAATAGCAATAGGTATGATCTCTCTGTCCGCATTGTATACCAAGTCTTCCTCAGGGTGCTTTGATGGGTCAAACACATGAGATATCTGACAGAACTGCTGGTTGGCACCCTTTTTATAGTGGTATGTCTGAGAACTCATTGCAGGGTCGCGTGGGTAGTACCTGTAGTAGAAAAATATTACTTAACTAAAAATACTACAGTACTTACAGCAGGCTGCGCGACATCGCCGCGACCGCGCACGCTGCTCATGAGGAAGAATACCTCTGTGATTTGGAAACTATAGACCTTTTCTCAGTATATTCATGTAGGTAACCCGAAGGGGTAGGCAGAGGCGCACATTACGGCACTTAATGCCACTATACAATGTAACGCCCACTTTTTCACTATTTATGTTATGAGTCCCATGTAATAGGGGGTGAGCCTATTGCCGTATACCGGGCACATGTCCAGACTCCATACTACTACTGAGATTTTTAAAAACCCAGTAATACTTTGATTAAATATGAGTTAATTAATATTTTTATTATAAAAATATAATTTATTCGAAACTGTCATTCAATTGCATGACATTAAGTATGCATTCTTATTGTTGCGTAGTTTTAAAGTCTAAAGGTATACAAATTAATGTAACATCAGTATCTACCATGATACTGGATATACTTTGTTCAATTAATGAAACTGGTTAATGATCTGGGTTACTTTGTATTAATATAACTACTAATTAGATTTAAACCTAGTTTATAATTGTATAACAGGTTTAAAAGTAAATAAAAAAGTATAACATACCGATTGTTTCCATGGCATGTTATTGTACAATATCAATGACCATGAGGTCACATTAGCACATTGATTATAATCAAGTATTACAATAATAAAAGGTTGAAAACATTGCATTATGGTCATTGCCTATCTGCACAAGTGCCTATACATGGTACAATGAATAATTATAACAATCACATCAGATACATGAGAAACATAACAGTACAAGAAACTTAAATAAAAACTTAGCTTAAGTACTTACACAACACCAGTTGGAGTGACTTCTTCGGTACAGAAATAGAAGATAGTAATGGCACATCTGGCGTCACAATCAAACGTAAACTCAATATTGTAGTATGTCCCCTTGCCATTATTATCTACAGACTTGTTCAAGCCATCCCCGATCTTGTTCTCTGCCAACTTGCCAACTGGTTCCGGACAACGCACAAAACGCAAAGACTCTTTACGTATGTTCACTAAGCTTTTCAATGTTTTTGTCGGTTCATTGGACTGTGGTGGAGGGTAGGGGAACTGAGAACATACCAATTGGAGTTAATTAAATTGTGATAATAATAAACATAACAATTACAATAATTCAGTAAAACTACACTCAGAAATAAAGAGAGAAAAGAACAATTCTATTGCTAATATTAACTATTAATTTCCTTAAATGTCTTATTGTGTAACTCCACTGTATTAAATAGTAAATGATTGTAGTAGTCACTTTACTTACAGGTGTGGGTCTACTGCCAAGGAAATTCAAGTCAGCATTTTCTCCAAATAAATAGGCTTCAGGCTGTGGTGTGTCAAATCTTTCACCACCCATGATAAAGTGGCTCCCGAAGTAATTACCTGCATCATCAGTTTTTAAATGTTCCTTATAGCATTGACTTACTTATAAATAGGTGTCATACAAATATAATTCATATCATTAAATTAATGAGTTAAACATTTTATATTTTTACTTTTGTGTAAACTATTACTAAATGAAAATATATACAACTATATGAGTTAAAATGAATGAAGATAGCTCTCAAGCTTGATAGTGAGCATATTATTCAATACATTTCAATTGATGACAAAAATGGATACTGCACACAATATAAGGTCATTGTGTCAAGAAATCGATATTTGAGGAAATATAGATTATGTTGCCTTAGGTAAGTAGGACAAAATTGTTTAAATGGGGCGAATTAACTTCGTAATTAATTATCTTAATGAATATGAAGAATACTTGGGTTTATAGACGGCAAACAGCACCACTATATAAATAAGTATTTACAAAAAAAGTTCCATTTACCTGATCGAGGAGGATATTTGTACGCATGATTAGATACTACATCTGCTTCTTCAACACCAGCATTTTGCCTACTTGTTAAGGCTCCCATATTCTATAATCACGAATATTAGCATTAAATTAATATTTTTACGCAAAAATACGTCTATTTTGTTCGAAACACAGCTGACATTTTAGAAATGTCTTGTCAATATATTAATCGTTCAAAAACTGTCAACCCTCTCATAGGAAATTCAGAAATAAAATAAAATCAGGAAAAATAAAACGAATAAAAACCATATTTGCATAATTTCTGATAAAATACTGATTAATAGACGTGAAAGCGATGTAATACCACTATTTTGTTCATTTATTAAACTAGTACTATTTTACTAGACCTAAACTTAAACCAAGTAGGTAGTACCAAACATGTAGGTTTGTTGAGATGGGATATCATTGGTAAATATGTCAGTAAAGGTTAGTAATTAATATTTGAAATTTTAATGACTTTCTTTCCGTTTTGCGTCTATAAAAAACTGTTTGAAATATTGAACCGTCTCATAGTATCTAAATCTAGCACAAAAGTAAAAATAAAAGATAAATATAGTTATTTTTTAGATTTCGTTACTTTGATTAAATTTCATCTCTTTGTTATTGTATATCTTAAGTTGTACATATTTATTTATTTTTCAATTTAAATCATAATTGTTCATTGTTAGTGGAAATAAAAAAAATATAAATATTTTTTGTAATAGTAACCCAGAACCAAAGTCTACGTCAATGTCAAACTAACATCCGTCTGTCTTTTCGTGGAAGTGGTGTCACTTTGTGAAGGTGCGGATAAATTTTTTGATATAAAATCTATTGTAATCTTGAATAGTGCTTGATATTTCTTGATCATATTGCTAAAGCGTGTTGTGTGAAACTAATTAGGTGAATATTTTTATTTATTTCAGATCACAATGGGGCGCCGGCCAGCGAGATGGTAAACTATTTACAACCTCTGAAAGTTGTTTTCGTAATCATTTGAACATATTTTAATGACTAAACTTATTATTTCAGTTACCGGTATTGTAAAAACAAACCATACCCTAAATCACGGTTCTGTCGTGGTGTGCCCGACCCCAAGATCCGTATCTTCGACTTGGGTAAGAAGAAGGCTACGGTGGACGACTTCCCACTATGCGTCCACTTGGTGTCTGACGAATACGAGCAGCTTAGCTCCGAGGCTCTGGAAGCAGGCCGTATTTGCTGCAACAAGTACCTTGTCAAGAACTGCGGCAAAGATCAGTTCCACATCCGCATGAGGCTGCATCCATTCCATGTCATCCGCATCAACAAAATGTTATCGTGCGCTGGAGCTGATAGGTAAGCATACTTTCATTAAATATGCCCAAGATAAACTAAAAATAACCAGCCTCTTGTTTTTTTACTTATAAGTGTACATTTCATTTCTAAAGACTTTCTAAAATGCTTTGTTTATGTGTTGAGTGTGGTTATGATGACTAGTAATTTTAATGAATTCTGTTTATGCTTTGTAAGTAATTATGGCACTTCTTAACTGATGCTGGAATGAAACAGTAATAATAATAGTTTCATGTTAACCTAACCTATAAACTTGTACATAGCAGTAATTCATAAGTGAAGCTATGCTATACCAATAACATCACATTAGACTTAAACCATCTCATATAGAATGCAAGGGATTCATAAGTTGTGTAAAATGCTTTAGAAACAAAGTATCTTGTCATAACCTCTAATTCTCATGTGTCTGTATTTATAGTTTATTTTTTCGAGTTTAATGAGAATACTTGAGAGTATCTGAATCTTGTTAAACCTACATGCATCTGCAGCATAGTGTGAGACTAAAATGGTGCCTCAACACTTGTATGTTAGAAGGTAAAAAATTATTCATTCAGAAGAAATGAATGTCGAGTCACTTTCTTCACTTTCTTGTTGGGTAGTGAATTGTTACTTCAAAGCTATTTGATACCTTTTTCATTCTATGAATATTTTTCATAGTAGCTTTTGCAAGCAGCTTTACTCGCATTCTTGTGGGATAAAAAGTGACTTCTGAGGTTTCCAGACCAGAACCAACCTCTGTTATAATTTTCATCTCTATCCCTTCAGCAGTTTTTACCTGAAAGAGTAACAAACACACACATACATCCTCACAAACTTAATATTAAGTAGGATTATTACATACAAAGGACAAAAATGTGTACAGAACAGAGTACTCAATTTTGTTATCATTCCAGTATCATGTTCATGATAAGCTGTATTTAAAGTTGCATGTCATCTCACACTGGTAAACAGTGATAAACAAAACATTGTAGTCATGGTTGCACAATATTGTGTTTATCCAATTTTTGTTATTTAGCGACTCATAGAGAATGACTTTTGAAATGAAATTATGGATATTCCTTGGTCATATTCAATACCTATTAGTTAAGACAAATCTGCTGACTCATTTAGTGCTGCTACACCCCTTCAACACTTTTTGTGTAGACTAGGCATCTGCCCTACAATCAGAGTTCCAGGCTAATTTTTGTTTTATACTCTGCATGAGTCTGCATCGGAGAGTACTATATTTGTCTAGTAAACCCCTGATTAATTATATGCAGGTTCTACTATGAACTCTTTAATAATTTGAATTGGACTGTAACTTGTAATTTTATGACAGTATGTATTATTTCAATCCAACTAAAATTTATTTCAATTGACTTATGTTAAACTTGGTACTTTTCAGGCTCCAGACTGGGATGCGTGGTGCTTTCGGTAAGCCCCAAGGTACCGTAGCGCGTGTGCGCATTGGTCAGCCCATCATGTCCGTGCGCTCCAGCGACCGTTGGAAGGCGCAGGTCATCGAGGCTCTGCGTCGTGCAAAGTTCAAGTTCCCCGGCCGTCAGAAGGTACAGTAGTAGTGATAATTCATATAGAAGCTAAGTTACTTTAAAAAAGTTAAGAGCATCTTATTCAATAAATCGCCATCTGAAGACAAACAATTTTTTTTAAATATACAATAAAAAATTCCAGATCTACGTCTCCAAGAAATGGGGCTTCACCAAGTACGAGCGTGAAGAGTTTGAGAAGCTGCGTGAGGACGGTCGTCTGGCCAATGACGGTTGCAACGTCAGGTACCGCCCTGAGCACGGACCCCTCGACGCGTGGAGGAAGATCCAAAATGAGATCTACAGCATGTAAATCTTTAACATCAATAATTATACCATGAAACAACAACCATTGTGTTTTAATTTTTATTTCCAATTATTAATATCATTTTATATCACAATATGTCATCTAAAGAATGAGTCAATTGGCCTGCATGGCATTTTATTTTTCTTTATTGGTGAATTGGATTTCCGTTTTCGTTTTACACTATTGCCAATGAACTGTGGACTGGTTTTCTTATTTAGTTCTCTACTTAGTTTTTGAGCTTCATGGAAATCTTGATGTTCTGCAAACTTATCCATAGGCACCTTTTTTCCACAGGTCGAGCATATCTCTGTTGGAATATTGTCATCAATTTTAACTAAAAAGCTAGCTATAGAAGATACAGGCACAGTATCAGGTTTTGTGGTCTGTTGTTGCTTTCTAGATTCCATGCTCAGTTTCAATTTTTCTTCTTTTCGTTCCTTTATTTCTGTGCGCACATGTTGTCTCTCCTCTTCTCTTAACTTCAATGCAAGATGAAAATCTGAATGTTCAGCAACTTCGGTGATGGGAATTGCTTTATTGCAATCAGGACATTTATAGGTCTCTTCATTTCGAGACATCATTTGCGGCACTTCATTTCGAGGCGCCATTGGCGGTATTTCATTACTTTTTTGTTCGGGTTCAGATGCGGTGTCGGAGACATCTTCATCGATAATTCGCGAGCTAGACAACAGCTCCCTAATACTTTTAACACGAGCCACTTTCGTAGGGTCCTCTTCAAACAAAGCCACACTATTGTTTATTTCCTCGTTAATTGTTGAACCTGAATAATTCGAGTCATTGCTATTTTCCCCACACGCGACTACATCGCAGACTGGCGTCGTTGGTCGTTTTTCTGAAGATCTACTTCTGATTGTTGCACTCGGCTAATGTTAGGTTGTTTGTTTTGGTTCAATATTTTAGCAAAAAAAGACTCTTGCTTGTCTAGGCTGGACTCTAGAACTGGCTTATTAGTTTGATTGACTTTTTCAACATTCTCTTTCTGTGTACTTTCACATACTTGAGGTTTTTGTGATGCATGTAAAAATTTTTGCATTATGTAGTCTTTGCCAATGTTCTTAGAGTCTGATTTAATTTTATCATTGGTGTCATTTATTGTCTTTTCTTGTTGTGTGCAATCTTTAGGTTTTACACTAACATTAGATGTTCCAGCTGCAAAATAATCTAATATTTTCTTAGTTTTCTTTATTTCTGTATTGTCTTCAAACTTTCCAACACTGATACCTAAGAATTTTATTGGAGCTTTTAACCTCATGTTACTGGTGCAATCTGTAACAATAAAGAATTGACAATAATAATAAATATGTATGCAACATTTTTCTAACTTAATAAATTGTTGGTATGCATCTTACCTTTACTCTTGATTCCTTCAGAACTTTCCAGAAGAAGTTCTAAAGCTTTGCTTGAAAATAGTTCACCACACAGTTCATCTTCAGGGGTAAAATTATATGATCGGGAACTACTTATATCTTTGTCTGATACCTGCACAGAGTAACTGACAACCATTTGTTTTGGTGTTCTATTATTTTCTATTGCATCCTGCTCTAATCTGTCTTCTATTTCGTCGCCCAGGTCTTTGAGCCACCTCTGCAAGGTCTCCAACTTAAGGAGAGCCGCCTTTCCTTTGAAATTTTTGCAGCATCCTATACTTTTAGGGTTGAATTTAGCTTGAACTGGTTCCAAATCTATTCCTCGCGCAATATTGTATAGCCATGTCCTGTAAACAATAACCATTGTATTTATTGAAATGGTGTACTTTTTAAAATTAATAATTTTCATAATTTGTTTACTTACCCATTTTTCTCATCAAACTTTGATTGCAATTGCTTTTCTGTGAACTTTTGTAGCTCTCCCATTTTGCTTATTTTCAATACTTCACAGACTGTGTAGCCAAACTTTCCTCCAAGATGTTTCACTTTCTTCAATGGCAATGTGCTGAAAATAAAATATATTGTGAAATAACACTGATGATATATTATTACTTTATCAACATTTCAATCAAAAGGCTTAGGAAAACAATTTTTAAACATACCTGTACAATAAATTAATAGAATGTTTAGGGAGAATAGTCTGTTTATTAGGTTTGTTCATTCCACATACTAGTTTCGCTAGAATTTTATTGTGAGCTATGCCTGCTGAGCATCTATAACCTGGAAGAACAAAACGTAATGTAACTACATATTTACTACTATACAACAATAACACATGTACACACAGTAATGACTTTAATACCTGTTTCTTCGTAAACGGCAGATCTAATCTCGCTGACAATAACTGCACCTACAAGCAACCGTTTGGCATGTTCATAGTCAAACTCAATATTCTCAAAGCCACATGAGTGGACATCAGCCAAGAACTCATCCACACTATCATAACCAAGGGCAAAGGTGTTGGGCATCATGTCAGTGTGTACCGAGTTAACATTCAGAGTATTCAGTCGCGCTTCCACCTGGAAATTGATGTATAATGCATATTTATAGACTAAGAAATTACTACAATTCATTTCATATGGACTTAGGCAATTTTTGGAAAAAAATTTAAAATTATCTTCTGTTGACACTTGCATAGAAGAGTAGAAGAAAATTTTGTATTTACAACAATATTCAAAATATTGTCTACAAACAGAAACTACTGTCTATTTTTATTTAAAGAGCTACTTACCGGAGCTGTGATGTCTAGGTAAGCTTCATCAATGGAAGCTCTCTCTAGAAGAGGTGTGAACTTCTGCAGTACTCTTGCTACTTCTTTACCAGCATCTCTATACCTGAGACAAATTGGAAGGAATTGTTAATTGAAAAGAAAAACTTTATTTCAGACTAAAGAGAGTCTGTGGGGGGCGAAGTTGCTCGCGTCCGTAGGAGTTACCACCTTATCCTAAGGCCCACCCTACACGTGTCCCCCGGGTGGTGCTAAACGAGCGGCTAAATAACGCCGGGTCTTGGGCGGCGGTTAATTAACCTGACATAGCTATCCTAACAAGATAGCCTTTGTGGAAGATAGGAAATGATCTTCACAACCCGCAAATCCGTCATTCTAGTGACGGAATCGGGGGCATTGACTTCATTGTCCGTGTCAAGAGGTAGACAGCCTCTATAAAAACTTACCCTAATTCTAAGGTGGGAAACGCGCCGACAGAATGCATGGCTTATAGGGAGTTAAGTCACAAGCGCCAACCTCGACGGACCCGGCAAACGTCGTTGTATACAGCCTTCTTAAGGGAATAGGCGTCACCCCTTAAGTGACCACATATTTCGACCTGACTCGTGGGAACAACATGAATGATAATATTAAAAACAAAACTAACCCCAACACTATGGTACAACAAACATTCCATAAAAGCATGTTTATAAGAAATCGGTGTAACAGTATGCCCGCCATAGAAACACTGGATCAACCAAATCTACAAAACTTAACCCAAAATCAAAAAGACAACTACACTAAAGCCACTCCTGGAACACAAGGAGACTTAATCGTGAAACACAATCAAAATCCAAATCAAGACTGGCAACAAGACAAAGTACCTGAAATAAGAAAACGGAAAAGAAACGAAAATAGTCCAACAAGTAATGATATAATTAAACCTGCAAGTAAACGAACAACTTACTCTATATCTCTACACAAAATCAGTTCGAAATTCTTAGCGATGATGATAATGTGTCAGACAAGAAACCGAAAGAGTTCATCCCAAAACCAGAACCTATTTTTGTTACTGGCATTGTCAACATAGTGCCACTCAAAGCTCTCCTAAACAGCGTAATCGAACATGAAAAATACACATTAACTACCCTAAAATCCGGTCACATCATTAAATTAATGCCAACTGACATTGAAGCATACAAAGTTATAAGAAACAACCTCATGGAAAATAACATCAATCATTATACTTATAAACTTAAGAGCGAGCGAGCATATAGAGTGGTTATAAGAGGCCTCCACTCTAGTGAAGATACTTCCTTTGTAAAAGAAGAACTAAGGGCAAACGGACACGAAGTTAGGCAAATAGTAAATGTATTACATCGCACAACCAAAGAAAAACTCCCAATGTACTTCTTAGACTTGGAACCAAGGCCCAACAATAAAGACATCTTCAATCTTAAACATATTGGTCAAGTGAAAGTCACGATCGAAGCACCTTACAAGAAGAAGGAAGTAATACAATGTAAGAGATGCCAGAGATTTGGACACTCAAAAAATCAATGTTTTCGACCATTTAGATGCGTAAAATGTGGGAATGATCATCCAACTACTACATGTACTAAAACTCTGGAGACAGAACCTACATGTGTTAACTGCCATGGCAAACATCCGGCAAGCTATAAGGGATGCTCAAAATACAGAGAATACAAAGAAAAGATACTTAAAATCAAACCTAAATCCAACAACATACAGGTGAAGAATACAAAAGAACCAGATCAAACAAATATACACAACATGAATGAAACCTTCAAAACAACTTTACCCAAGAGAAGTTATTCAGATACGCTAAAAGGTAAAAATGGAAACCATATTAACAACACCCCATACATTCCTAATGAATCAGGACATATAGCCAGCCTATTGGACACCATGTTCAATAAATTTGAAGCAATCATGAAAAACATGATGGACAGCATGATATTACACAGATAGTGACCCAGAGGGCCTAAATATCCGGTTGATTACCTGGAATGCCAACGGACTAACTGATAGGAGGCAAGAGCTTGAACTGTTTATGAATACTGAAAACATTGATATTGCTCTAATATCTGAAACGAGATTTACACGTCAATCATACATTAAAATACAAAACTACAGCATATATAGGACTGAACATCCATCTGGAAACTCGCATGGAGGGACAGCCGTTATAGTCAAAAGTAATATAAAACACCACGTCCTTGAACCATATAAAACTGATAAAATACAAGCAACCTCTATTTGTATTCAGCATAAATCGGAATTGACTACTGTGTCTGCTGTGTACTGTCCACCAAGACATGTAATATCCTCTGATGATTTCAAGATGTTTTTCAGCCAATTAGGCACACGTTTCATCTGTGGAGGGGACTGGAACTCCAAACATACTAATTGGGGTTCAAGGCTTATCAATCCTAGAGGAAGACAACTATATAGAAGTACACTAGATCTAAAACTGGAATGGATATCCCACAGTCAACCTACATACTGGCCCACAGACCAAAACAAGATACCTGACCTATTAGACTTCTATATAACAAAAAATATTGGCAGAGGTTACATAAAAATAGAAGCGTGTGATGACCTATCTTCAGATCACACCCCAGTAATCCTAAATGTGTACCAAAAAGTTATCCTGCAAGAAACTACCATCAAACTACATAATCATAAAACTAACTGGAAACAATTTCAAGAAATGGTCAGTGAAACATTAGATCTAAAAATTAAACTGAAATCGCCAGAGGACCTAGAAATAAGCATTCAAAAATTCAATACAGCTATTCTTACTGCCGCCTGTCTAACTACACCTACACAAAAAAACCCTAAATTAAAACTGAAAAACTACCCCAAACTAATAAGAGACAAAGTCCAAGAACGGCGAAAATTGAGGAAAGAATGGCAACAAACAAGGTATCCCTCAGATAAAACCAAGTTTAATAAAATTACAGAAGAAATAAAGATACTTATCAAAGATCTGGAGAATCACACAGTGCAGAGTAAATTGGCCCACTTAACTCCCCATAAAGACACCAAGTATTCACTTTGGTGCGCAACAAAGAAATTGAAACGACCGGATATCCATGTTCCACCATTAAGGAAACAGGACAGGAACTGGGCTAGATCCGATCTAGAAAAAGCAACAGTATTTGCTGAATATCTCCAGAGTGTCTTCAAACCTTTCCCCAGTAATAACCCAGAGGCTGATAAAGAAATTATAACCTACTTGAAATCTCCTTACCAGCTTTGTGCACCTATTAAACCAGTAAGTCCTAAAGAGATAGATAAGATGATTATGGCTCTGAAATCTGGAAAAGCCCCTGGATATGACCTTATCGACTCCACGCTGATGAAAAACCTGCCGAGAAAAGGAATAATCTACTTAGTAAACATTTTTAATGCCTGCCTGAGGCTCTCATATTATCCAAGCCAGTGGAAGATTGCTCAAGTTGTTATGATCCCTAAACCTGGCAAACCTGTAGAGGAAGTGTCGTCATACCGACCAATTAGTCTTCTCCCTCTTCTCAGTAAGATCTTTGAAAGGATTATCATCAATCGTCTCAATCCACACCTAGATAGAGTACTTCCAGAACATCAATTTGGTTTTCGACATAGCCATGGTACCGTCGAGCAAGTACACAGATTGGCAGATACTATCGGTCATACAATTGAAACCAAGCAATATTGTTCGGCTGCATTCCTGGATATTAGTCAGGCCTTTGACAAGGTCTGGCAAGAGGGTCTACTGTACAAAATCAAGAAGTCTCTGCCACACTCCTTTTTTCCAATACTTGAGAGTTACCTAAGCAAAAGATGTTATGAAGTCAAATTCAACGGTGAGACATCAGAATTGTACGAAATACAATCAGGAGTCCCACAGGGCAGCATACTAGGGCCTGTTTTGTATCTTTTGTTTACTGCAGATGTACCCACTCACGCACATACCACCATGGCCACCTATGCGGATGACACTGCAATTCTGGCAGTGGATAAGGATCCAGATATCGCTTCGGAAACCCTGCAAAATCACCTTAATGAAGTTGAAACATGGCTGAAACAATGGAGAATAAAGGCTAATCAAACCAAGTCAGTCCATGTCACTTTTACCTTAAGAAAAGGAAACTGCCCTCCTGTTCTACTTAATGGCGAACAAATACCGCAAGACGAAACTGCTAAATATCTTGGCATGCATCTCGACAGAAGATTAACTTGGAGGAAACACATCTGGACCAAAAGAAAACAGCTCGACACAACTCTTCGAAATATGTACTGGTTGATCGGTAAAAACTCAAAACTATCGAATGAAAGTAAAATGGCAGTATACAAGGCTATCCTGAAACCGATCTGGGCATACGGTATTGAGCTCTGGGGAACAGCAAGTACCAGCAATATAGAAATTCTGGAAAGGTTCCAAATGAAGGCAATGAGATGCATGTACAATATACCCAAAAGCATTAGCAACAAATACATTTTACAAGACCTAAGGCTAAAAACTGTTAGAGAAGAAATTTCTCAGAGAGGCTCAAACTATCAGAAAAAGCTATCTAAGCATGTCAATGCCCTTGCTTCTAAGTTATCGGGATCTGGAAGTATCCAATTTGCAAGACTGAAGAGGAGCAGTGTACCTAACCTCATAGACCGATTCAACAGCTAGTAGGAAGGGAAATTCATTGGATACTTCTCTTCAATGCAATATGCCACACTCAGACAATGAGTCAGCCAAGAAAGCGGCTAAATGTTTTATAAACAGATTGCGGTGTTGCGGGATATAAAATAGAAAAAAAAAAAAAAAAAAAAAAAAAAAAATTTCAGACTAAAAAACAATTGACATGTACAGATGTTCTATTAGTAGGTACTGTTGGATACACGTTCATGTCCCAAGTCTGCTGAGATATAGGAATAGCAAAACTCATCATATTTGTGATAGAATTATGTGTAAGAGCTAGCATATTCAACAGAGGATGAAAACTGGCAATTTTTTTTTGTAGTTTTTTTAAATGTTGCCATACACTATGATTTTCTCCTGTAGGTGCAATGAATAAACATGCAATTTCACATGCACAAGACTCTCAGACCGAAACTTTAACTTGTAGATCACATAAAGAGTTGCTCCATGTGGGAATCGAACCCACTACACATAATAGTCTGGCAGCCAGTTTCGCAGCCACCGCACCAACCGTGCAGTCTAGTCAGTAGATTATGAAGGGCTGAAAGAAATGTTAACCCTGTAAAACCATTCTAAATGAAGTCAGACATGTTGTTTATCAATTAAAATAAAACTCACTTGGATATGTCAGCCTTGCCTCTCTGACAGGGTACAGACGGCAATTCTATATCCGGGCACTTTTCCTTGGCCTCCTTCCCTCTCATGTGTCGAGTGACTCCGCGGGCTCTAGCTACATAGTTTACTGCTATGATTCTGAAACAAATTGACCATTATGTTGTGAAATATTGAAGCAGTCTGAGTACCAACTTCCATGGTGTAAAACTAGTTTATTATTTATAGTTTATATTGTTTGTATGATACGTACCCGCCGCCTTGCCAAGGATTATACTGCACTACAGCGATGGGTTTTCCACTCAATTCCGGGTTAAGTTTTTCTTCAACTTGGCAATAAAAACAGTCCATGTCAATGAGCACAACTACACGATTATCTTTATCCATTTTGTACTATGTTTTATATCTTCGAGTTAATTACTATACAGGCTATTATATCATTTTTATACAATTGTATGCAAATTCTGTCTGTTTCGCGCTAAAATTGTTATCTCAAAATCACTTATCACAGTCACATTCACAACAAGTTGACAAGTATTGACTTGACACTTGTCAAGATTTGACGTTGACAAAAATGACAAACACGATTACTGAAAGCGGATAGTTTTAAAATCTATATTTTTAGCTAACGAAGTAGAAGTTTAAATTTTGGTGTTTAATGTTACTATTTTAACATTTTAGTTTGCATTTTATTATCATTTTTGTAATCAATGATAGAATCCAGATAGGGGCACGCCGAAACAATTATGGAAAATAATTGACAGGGGGTACTCACTACAATGTTACCGTTACAAAAGAAATAACATTTATGTTTTAATTCATTACTATTTATTAAAATCCTTGACCATAAGTTGTATTCCACTTAACGTATTGACCTAGGTCGTCTTGGGACACGCTAGGCTTCACTCTTTGTAGAGCATTTAAGAAGTCTTGAATACAAACGGGCCGCACCTGAAATTAGAAATTCGATTTACACATTTGATATACCAAGTAATGGTGGCGCTAATGAAGTATAAAATCTATTTGTCCAATAACAGTAGCCGCCAAATAGTAACCCATGCTACACTAGCGCCATCTCATGAGCCAAGGTAGGTCTCATTGTTAATCATTTAATAAGTTATTTGTAACATTACCTTATTCCTATCAATGCTGACGATTTGGGATAATGGTACAGAGCGAATGGGCCCCATAGCTGCTTCGGAACAGAGTGACTTCATGTCCGCACCGGAGTACCCCTCCGTCAAGTTCGCTATTTCGGATATGTGCTGTGCTGTGAGGTCATTGGTTTCGTTCGCTAATAGATTCGTTATTATCTGCTTGCGAGCCTGTAAAATATAAATAGATCTACACTTACCAAGCTTGATCTTCAAAGACCTTTGTACTAAAAACAGGAGTAACTCAAAACAGAAATCATTTTGTGAGTTTCATCAGATACTTACGTCGGCATCAGGTAGTGGTATATACAGTCTTTTGACGAGTCGCCTGCGCGCGGCCTCGTCTAATTCCTGCGGACGATTGGTGGCGCCCACTATAAGTAAACGGTCTTCTTCACCTGTTGCGCAAATAGAAAAGTATATTTTTGATTGAGGGTTTATGCGATATTGAAAATTTGCAGAATGAGATATTTTTGTGTATGGCAGGCAAATGTACGGGCAATAGAGTTACTCCCTCCTTACTATCAAAACTGGAGAAAAGTGGTTATTGGTGATGATATTGGATTTTATACCCTATTTACGAAATCAGTTTACCAGTAGCTGCTCCATCAAACTGCACTAAGAACTCAGTCTTGATCCTCCTGGTGGCTTCATGCTCTGTGTCGCTGCGCTGGGTCAGCAGAGAGTCTATCTCGTCTATAAATATTACCTGTAACAAACCAAATCAGAAGCTATAAAATGAGAGTGCTTTGTTTGTGAGTGTAGACTCTAGAACAACCGCCGATAAAGGTTGGGGCACGGGCCGGACTGACTGTACTTGCTCTGTTAGAGATTAGAAGGTGTAATGTTATATTAAGTTTCGTTGGTACAACATTAATGTAGGCACTCACAGCAGGTTGGTGACACCTGGCGACGGCGAAGAGCGCGCGCACCATCTTCTCTCCATCACCTATCCATTTGGAAGTGAGCGATGACGCAGAGATGCTGAAGAATGTCGCATTACACTGCGCAGCTACACATTTACCTGACATACAAACAAACAATGAGCATGTTACACACTAACACTAAGCTCTAAACTTAAAGTCTAACAGCTAGACCATATTGTTCAATTCTGGCAACTATTAGTTCTCTCATGGTTATGGCTAAACTCTAGCTAACTAGAGTTTACTTGTGTTAATCATGTTGTATAAAAACATTTTTAAATGGTGGTGTTCCAACCTGTGAATATGTCACTGTTGTTGTTTCAAAACAAAAAACAGACAAATTGAGAACCTCTTCTGTTTTTCGGAATTTTTGGATGTTAAATGCTATGCTGTGCTGCATTTAACATAATTATCTATCTGTTACTGCGGACTGCCTTGTGTGTTACCAAATGCCTGTAAACCAGGTATTGGGATTGGGTAAATTGGTTGAGTAAGTTTCTGAATAATACATAAAGCATTGATGTTACCAATTAAAGTTTTCCCCGTGCCAGGTGGTCCGAATAAGAGAATCCCTTTAGGTGGCCGTCTCAACCCTGTGAAAATGTCAGGCCGGAGCAGAGGCCACACAACTGCCTCTTGTATCACTGACTTGGCTAGGTGTAGACCAGCTATGTCATCCCAACCTAGAAGAATAATTATAGAAATTTTCATTGGATTTTAGAATGCTTATTGGGCACATAAACTTCATTTTACAGTTCTTCATCATCAAATGAATGTACATTTGTGGAGGACATACATTTTATTTTATAAATACTAAATACTAATAATAAATACTCACCTATTGGAGTTCCTTTGTCAATAATTTCACTTTCAATTAGTTCAATCATTTTAGGATCAATGTGTTTGAGGCGCTCATCTGTCACCTCAGGCTCTACAGTCTCCTGCTTATCCCTACAAAGAGTAACAGAGAATAAAATATAACAAAGTAACATGTTAGATTTTTATTCAATTTAATTTGGCTAGTAAAAAATGATTATTTAAATATTACCTTATGCTTATGTTAGTAAAAACCACATGGTAAAAAAGTAAAAGGTTGACATAATTTTATACTTACTGAGCTCCAATCATAGGTGACACAAACTTAGCCTGAGCTTTTCTGGAGGTTCCCAATGTCCTCTTGGCAGCAGGGTTAGAGGCTAGCAAGGTTTCTTTAGCAGTCTTGAACATGATCTTAGCCACATTACTCTTGTGTGCCTTATTCTCTTCTTCTTCCTTTTCAAAGTCCGCTTCCTCAGCTATAGGAGTACTGGACATTGTTGGCTGCGGTTGACCAACAGTTTTACAAGGTTTTGGTCTACTAAACCTTGGCTTAAATACCTGTTTCTGATCCTCCCCAGACCTTGACTCCTGACTCGAACTGTCTACATTCAAGTTCTTAACAAAATAGGAATTACTTTTTGTTTCTGTGTTGTGTGTTTGTTTTGAAGTTTTATCTGTAGTTTCCTCTAAGCCTAAGTCACACATACATTTGTTTATTAGAAACTGATTTATGTCTCCTTTCGAACTGGAGTTGCATTGTTCGCAACTTGGTATTGTTTGTTCCATAAGAGATTGAAGATCATAATTGCTGCAATAAGATTTTAATGGTAAGTTATTGTTGATTGTGGAAAAGATAGTATACACAGATAAGCAGTTACACTTACCTTAAACTACTTTTCCATGTTTTCATCTGACTCGTATCAGCGTTTTGCACAAGTATGTTAGCAGAACTAAGAATATGATTGATAGTATCAGCAGTCATCAACTCTTGATTGCTTTTCCAAACATCGTTCAGCAGGACATTTGTTGTTATATTAGAGGCACTATTAATATAAAAATAACAAGAAATAAACTCAAAATAACTAGTTAAGTACTGTCTAATTAGTGTAGTGTAGCATACATAGGTATTAGAAGTTACCTGGGTAAAGAGAGTTGAAGTTGTTGTAACGTAGACTTATTGATGGTAGACAGATGATTTTCATATTCATCTTCAGGAAATAAACCCTCTATTTCATTTGTTTCAAACATTTTTTGTTTAATAGCATAACAACAAGTACAAGTATGAGAACGATTTTTCTATGAATTACTTTTTATTTATATCAATCTGTCAAACTTAACCAAACATCAAACATTCAAACGATTCAAGTGAACCCGCCATGCCAAACCATAAGCAACCAACATCTATATAGAGTAATCATAAAGCGAACTGAAATTCTCGCAATAGGAGTAAATACTTAGTAACTTACTTAGTGACTTACAGTGACTAAAAAAATGTGCTTAATTCTGGGCTTAGTCCTAAGTGCTGAAGATACCGCCACTACTCTAATCTAAAGGACAGCTGTCAAGAGAGTCAAGCCAAATTGTTTGTCAAAGAAAATTGTCAAGTTTGTGAATATTTCTGCTTTCTGCGATTTTTACACAAAAATCCTTATAATCCGTGTTGTAAAGATAATTAATGTAAAAAAACCAACAATATAATAGGCGTCTTAGTGAGAAGACCATGTGGCTTTGTTTAATAGAAGCACTTTGAATGGGATGTAAACGCGATGAGTTCGAAACAAACAATTTATCATGAAAAACAGGTTAAAGAGTTGTGCGCTTTACATGCGCTTAACAATTTATTCCAGGTAATTATTGAATTTTAATGAGTCCTATTGTTTTGAGTCACGTGTGACCGCCAAGCCCTATTGTTAGATACTTCAAACTTTAGACTTCTTTGATGGCTAATCTTGCTTTTTGAGTCAATACGGTGATGAAGTCTGTTATAATGGATTTTCGTATTTCCAGATGCGAGCTACATATTCGAAGTCTGAATTAGATGCAATATGCAGCAGGCTATCACCAAATGTGTGGATCAATCCTCACCGCTCCATGCTGGGGCTTGGCAACTATGATATAAATGTGATAATGGCAGCTTTACAGAAGAAAGGTTGTGAAGCTGTCTGGTTTGATAAGAGGAAGTAAGTATTTCACTGTTATATCCAAAATAACATGCAAAAATCAATTTTTTGTTTACCCTACTAATAAAAAAAAATTAAAATATTATATTCTGCTAGAATAATTATTGAAATACAATATGATATTAATTTGGGTAGAAGTATCTAAGTTTAGAGTAATAATGCTATATTTTCTTTGCCAGGGACCCTGGTTGTTTGGATTTGTCAAACATCTGTGGATTCATCCTAAATGTGCCATCAGATTATAAGCTAGGGTTTGTGATGTTACCGCTGCGGCGTCGGCACTGGATCACCATAAGACAGATACAGGGCAACTTCTACAATCTGGATTCCAAACTAGAATCACCACAGTTGATTGGAAGGGTAATTATCATTAATAACGATCTGCAATCACTTGCATTATGTGATAATATTATCAAAATATTTGTTTTCATTATACCAATTATTTATAAAAATGTACTTCGGTTGTAAAATTTTACAAGTTATCTTACATTCTTTACAGAGTAGTGATTTAATAGCGTACCTGAAAGAACAGTTGGATAGCAAAGAAAAGGAATTGTTTGTTGTGGTCAGCAAGGAAGTAGAGGAGAAGCAGCTGTGGATGCACCAGTACACCATGGACAGCAACAAGCAGTCCGCACAAAACACAGGGCTGCCACTGACTGACGGCCAGTGTGACAGCCCTGGGGACAGTATATCGTCACTGTCACAATACGACTACAGAAACCGTGACGCTGAGTGCCTCAAATTGACAGAAGTGAGTAATTGTGTCGGCAGTGCAGAGATTAATTATTAATGTGTGAATCTTAGACTTGGTAATACTTTCCTCCGACTGCTTGTGGCCGTATAGCAATTTATAATGTGTTCACAGATGTTTCACTGTATGTGTGTGGTGTATTGAAAGATACATTCATTAGTAATGGTGTTGGTTTGACAAACTGGCTGTCAAGTAATTACTGCAGTCTGTTGTCTCAGTACTTAAACAAGGTATTGTTCAGATTAATTTATTGATAATAATATATTTGTTTTTATATGCACTTTATTTTTGTTTGCACAAATAATGTTGACATTGCAACATATTGTTGATTTTATTTAATTTTATTTTGTGTTAAATGAGGCCTAAGGTTACAAATAGTAACAATCATTGTAAAACTAGATAGATCTTGCCTTAAACGATGGTCTTTGTATAGCAATATGTTAAAGACTGTAAAATTATGTAAGCCATCCGATCTTCATAGTTGTTTCAAAACTTTTAGAGGTCTTGATCTTCATAATAAATAGGAATCATAAGAAACAGCAATAATAATAGATGTGATAGTGTTTGATGCTATGTCTGTTGATGTTACAATAATATACTTCAATACTATGCCAAATATGATAACCAAACTGTTTGATTCTATATTTATGGATAACTTGGCCAAAATAATAGATTAATGTTGTTACAGATAAACTTTTGACTGTATATTTTGTTGACTATATTCTTTATTTTCTGGTTACACATTAATTTTCTTTGATAGCATAATATATTATTTATTTATTTTCTTGTTATACTTTTATTGTACTTGTCATCACATGGGCTCTGTTCACACACAACCACGTAAGTTTTATTGTAAGAAATTTCGTGGCATTTATTCTAAAGGTTTTTCTATTGAAGATACCTAAGAATATGGGCAGTGAACAGGGCCTTGTATTTTCATGTCGTTCGTGATAAATTTCTAGTGAGTGATGATTATTTCTTATTGAATCATTACTGAACTTCTCATAAGTTTTCTACTATATTAAACTTTACTGTAAATATAAGATATTTTTCCAAAAAATTTAAAGTCTGATTATTGTTTTTGTTTATTACCGTTTCCCATTCTATACCACAGGTGTAAAGAAAACATGACATACAAATATTTACTGCAAAGTTATTAGCCAGTTTTGTTAAATTTTTTGTACTCTGGATCTGAATTGCAAGGAGAAAAAAAAGTATGAACTATCCTAAACTTTATTATCAGAGATGTTGGTACAGTTGTTGTTCTTAGATATAATGAGTCTGTCGGGGTCGAGCCGCAGCTCCTCCATGATGGCGTATATCTGCGCGCGCACCGGAGCCTCGATCTCACGCCGCCGACCCAGCACCCAGATATGATCTGGAATACATTATCATCAGCATTAACGATTAGTGGACGGACCTTACAAACTGTAGTGGCTTATTGTATACTCTTAGTAGCTACTAGATATAGTTCCAACAACACCTGGGTGGTGGTGGTGCAACGACAACCTATAACTCCTTCAGTGTCGAGGATATCCAGGGGCGGCGACTATCACTTACTATCAGGCGATCCATTTGCTCGTTTGCTATAAAAAATATTCATAACTCATGAAATCTTATTGTTGACTTTTACAAATCAAAGTGCTGTAGTTACCTGAATGTGCAATACTGACGCTGGTACAGGACCACACGATGGCGAACTGGTCGTAGTCTGTGAAGAGGATGTTGTAGACGCCGGCGCCGGGCAGCAGTCGCCCGATGACGTACGGCACGCGGTTGTTCAGCTTGTAGCGGAAGATTGACGACGCGTTGTGGCTCGGGATGCCGATGCCATACGTTGTTGATGGGTTGTTGGTCCTTGGTTGGGTTACAAATAACTCATCATAATTATGAAGTTCGTATTAATTGAGGCAATGGTGGTTCCATCAAATAACTGCAGTGAACGATCGACAAACATTATATTTTTAATTTATTATTTTGTTCTTGGCCATAGTTCTAAACCACAAACTCTATTTTGTAAACGCAAAATCAAACACACATGGAACTTTAATTGCAATCAACAACTGCAGTGATTCACCCAGAAAATGTTTTGCACTTAAACTGAGCCTGCAACATGTTGCGCAACAAGATAAATATATCTATATATAATAAGATAAATATATAATATATACGTAATAACGTAGGTACGTGAAACTACTTTAATATGTAAGATCAAGTTGTGGATACCCGTTATTTTATTCAAGGGATTATTTACCATTTGTTGACCGTATTAATAGTGATGAGGAAGTATCCCCTCTCGTTGAGCGTCAGGTGAAGCTCCGTGCAGCTCGCCGTCAGTTCCACCAGGTAGAACGATCTCTCCACTTCGTACCAAGTGCCTATCATCTGGAACAGTCAACTTACTGATTAGATAATGCGTTGGTATAATAACATGACAGAAGATAAAAGTTAAAGATATTAAAAGTTATGAAAACAAACATTTGATTTATTTATTCATGGGAAATTACCGCAAGAAGACTTATTGAAACGTAATTATTGAGTGAGATACTTAAAATTAGAATCGCCAAGACTAGATCTTAGCGTAGTAACAACAATACACACTCAGTGACAGTAATCACGAGGGTAACTAACTAATTAAATTTTAAATTAATAAAGTTCATCGACCAATGTTTTATTTGTTTCTCTTAATTATTCTAACGTTGGACAAACAAAAAATGTTTTTTTTTTAAGTCAATTAAAGTCAGAGACTTTTAAAAGCAAAACAATTATGTAGTTAATCTAAGATAACTTCTGTAAGAAACCAGAGTTGTATAGGAACGATTTAGTTAACGGAACCATAAAGCAACGAGAAACCGATGTCTTGGATCTGAACACAAATTAACTCGTCGAGTACCGGTTTTATAGACACAATTAAAGAACGGTCGCGGTGACCGGTGACCGCTTGGTGTTTGACAGTTTAATCAGAATATACCTAAGTGGATAGCAGGTAGGTAAACACAATTGGAAGCGTCGCTAACAAATGATTGTCTATTTATTTTAAAATAATTTCCTAGAACGAAAACGTCGTAGGTACCTATGCAATGATTGAGCATCCACAATTTAAATTTTAAAACATTATCACCTACATTAGGTATGAGAATTGGAAATTCTGATTTGCAGAATTCATTCACAAGCACTCTGTTTTATACATGTCTACCTACTACACAAACACGTGGCTTTCTCCAAAAACACTTCAACAATGCTATTTTTCAGATACCTACCTAGCAAGCGGTTATTCAAATTGAAGAAATCTGTAGTTTGTTATACTTTTCTAAGGGATATTTAGAAACTACTGACATACGTGTACAGGAAAACATCGTGAGAAAACCTGGGCTTATAATTTCTGATTATACTGAAGTTTGTGATCGCCAACCGGCTCGAGTAAACATGGTGATTAATGCTCAAAACTCCTTCGCGTGAGAAGCCTTTGCCCAGTAGTGAACACTTATAGGCTGTTGATGATGATAATGATAATGGTAATAAGCCAAAAGCTACAGTGGCGACAACTAAACAAAACTAAATGCGCATCTCCCAAATCACAGCTTGTTAGAGCGTTGTTTTTAAACAATCGGAGAGATAGCTAGGACTAGGTTATAAGACCTAGACTAGGAGAACGCTACTCTCTGAACCAAATCAGGTATGTAGAATTTGCAAACTTCTAATACATTCTCTTATTTCGTAAATGCGTACAATAAAGTTCTGCTGCGTTTATCGCTTCCTTCCGATTTACCTACGAGCTACGAACTAGCCAGTAATGCATTATGATAAACGTATGCGGCTGTGTGTTGACCGCTTGACATTCGGACTTAAGCAGGGCGCAAGGTGACTGTTTACAACGTTCCACATCTGAATATGTAGACAGAGCGTCTGCGCATCAAACCTTGATTACAGGATTACTATGTAATTACGGGTTCCCAGTGGGTGGTGAGTTGGATACAGTCATGGCAACGACATGATAATAATGTTTGTGAGTGATTAAACTCCGCCTTCATAAGACGGTCGTGTCCAGTAGCAAAACCTTTATAGTAAAGCAAATATAAGACTACATGGTGGGCATGTAATGTCAGCCACTCAATAACAAGGAAGTAATATAAATGCGTGTTTATGTTCGCCTTCGTGTAAACTACTTCATTTACATACCGTACTCAGCTCTATATTCACTAGTCAGTAGGTATTTTTTGGTTTCAAATAAAACGAGCATTACATTACAGAAATGTGTGTGGACTTACCCGCTGAATGTCGAAGTTTGGCAGCGGCGGGTAGACGGGGCACTTGCCGAGGCCGGTGCTGATGACGGCCTTGATAATGGTGCAGAACAGTACACAGTATATCCTGGAAGGAGCCAGCCTCGAGCCCTCCATGGCACTGTCGGTACTGGCGCGTGATGTAGGACGATCAGTCGCGCAGTGCACCGCTTGTTATGTAAACACTAAACATTATTTGTACAACACGAGATTGGTCGGGCAGTCGCCGCGCCCGCGCTCGCCACTGCACGGAATACAATCGATCACTTCCATCGTTATTCATTAACGTTAGAAGCCGACTCACTCGTCACGAGACGACCACGGACACGACACGAGCTGTGACGTAACCACCGATGTTCGTAACTTAGATGAACTGTTGTGTAGTTAGACTAGTTAGGCACGGTCAGATGATCAAATACGCAAGTCAAGTCAATATTTGGTAATCGAGTTATGAAGCGTGTATTGTTGCACGTGTGCTGAACTTACATGCAAGTAATCGGTAATAGTGTTCCACCGATTATTATCTTTTGCAAAATATTATTTGATTTTAGCTAGGTATGCAATATGCAATATTTCTACCCGAGCGTGCGGCGCGCCGCGTTCCGTACGCGCCTCAGAAGAGCCTTCAGACCACCACGGATGGGGCCTAATAGGGCTGATGCCGATATGGAGCCGCGGAGGACTTAACGGGTTGCCGGGGCTCCGGCTCGAAGGGCAGGTGTAAGAACGGGGTGGTTTTTAGTCAGTAAGAGTCTGACACTCCGTCCCCCTCACCCAGGCGGGAGAAGTAATTCGATGAATTTCCCCCTTAAAAAAAAATTGGGTAATTTCTAATTTCGTTGAAACAATTAACTTTAGACAGTTTCTTTTGGCGGTGTAACCAGGATTTTTGTTAGTATTAAACAGTTGGCACCAGGGCGGCTGGGGTCTTAATTGTCTATTTAACAACTTCACTGAATAATGACTGGATATTCGCGAATTCCATCGTTCATGAGACTTTAACGATACCAAACCTCGAAAAGCCATTTTTTTTTAAATAAACATTGCCCCACACTAGGATGTCCTTCCATGTCGTGGGTGCGCTTACAAACATACAATTTCACATACACATGACACCCAGACACGAAACAACAATTTTATTTATTACAAAAAGTTGCTTCGTGCGGGAATCGAACCCGCTACGCGTTGCGCGGCAGTCGGTTGCCTAGACGCGTCTTTAACATTTTAATTTAATCAACCTACATAATATAATGGGAGAAATATTTACTTTGTCGTTTTGTCGTCAATATCATTCGAAAACTGTAACTTTTAAAGTGAACATCTCTTGAAATATAAATAAATAATTAATATGTATAGTGAATTAGTAGTAGGTACTGTAGGTTGTACGGTGCGTGCTACATACATAATGCAAATAGGTGGGCACACAAACACGAGACGTTTTCAAACGATTGTATTGTTCTTACAATTAGACCGTGATATTTACAAGTATTCGGTATTTATACGGAAATGTACATCAAACACCTTACTGCTAGACAGACAACATATACTTTAATAACTATATCTATATATAAACAACAACTTGTAACTTAACAAGAATACAACAATTATTTTCGGGAACTAAATAGTAAATATTATGTAGACATGTATTTATTACATAGGTATTGGAAACACACCACCTAAATATACAGAATTAGATTCTGAATCACAATATAGCTCAAACAAGATTTACTCCAAATTATATCTTAATAATTCACAAAATAAAGTCGACTTTCGTATAACAACAGAATATTACAAAGGTTCAATCTTAACAACATATAAAAATGAACTTTTAACAAATACTTTTAGAGTTCCTAATTAAAAAAACAACCACTACTAACCAACCATACGATTTTCAACCGTAAGATCAAACCAAAAAGGTGCAATTAATATGCAATAATAAGATAATGTATGTCATCGGCCTGACATACGAATTTAAACCGTATGCTCAAACCGAGAAGGTGCAATTTGCAATAATAAGTATAAAAATATGAATTTAACTAAAATACAACCAATCACCATTTTATATTGAGCGCTATATCAGATTTCTCTACAGCATGATAGGCAGTGTGCAGCATTGCTTTAGCCTTATCCGAGTCTCTACCGTCGAGCCAATCAGCGTACAGCTTGCGAACCAGCTTGTTCTCAGTGGGAGTAGCCAGTGGGAGCTCGGAGTACATCGCTTCTAACTGAGCGACTAACTCCCGCCCACTCTCGCCGGTCACTGGACGCACTTGAGCTCCGCCGTTTAGACATCCTAGAACATAAATATTGTGTGATGGAGATCAAATTGGAAGGGCGAAAATCCTTAAATTCTGGGTATAATTTAATTCCTAAGCTTGGTAATTTGGGTTAACAGTTATGTAGTTTCTGCCTACCCTATGAGTCAAAGGTGTGAGTGTATGTATGTATCATTTAGTGTATATTAAAGTGTTATCTATTACAATGCATTCCACTGGCCATTGCATCTTAAAATATTTCTATTCATACAACGACATATTTTGCCTATACATGTTTTTTATAAACATTGTCAACAACATATTCACTTTAACATTTTCCGTGCCCAGATTACGAAATAACTAGACAAATATTCAACTGTTTTTTTTATAAAAATATGATTGGCCCAAAACCAGCGCAAAAAGTAACTTTGTCGTAAAACAACAAGGTTGAAAGTGTTTTTATGAAAATTATCGTGAGACATACTAAATTAACTAAAAATCGTGGGTTACTCACGTGAATATACTAAGAAAAGCTCTACTAGTTTTGAACCACAGAGGGGTTCTTCCTCATGAGCAGCCTCTGTGGTTAGAAACTAGTATAGCTTTTCTCAAAAAAACCTCGGAAAAACCCGCGATTTTTAGTTAAGGTTGAAAGTTTATTTAGGAATTTGAAAGCATAGAATATAAATATGTTATTGTGCTATCTTATCTATAATAGATTGTCATCGGAAAATTAACTCTAAGTAGGACATGTAATTATGATATAGAAGGTTATTACCTGATGGGCAGGCCATGACTTCAACGTAATGGTAGGGCGACTTGCCTCGCTTGAGTTTCTGCACCAAGTTCTGAATGTTTCTAAAACCATTCGCGATGGCGAACCGCAGTACTTCCTGCCCATCCTTCTCTAGTGTCACCTCGCGGAAGTCTGGGTTCCTATATTATGTATGTAATTAGGTAAATCGTGCTATATATTTATGACAGTCTCGTAGTCACTCCTAGTCAGTTGGATGATTCATATTTCGCAAGTTTTTAATGTAAATGTTGTCCAATCTTTGCAAATTATTTGAAGTAATCAAGTACCTATTTATGGCATTTATAATGTACACATATAGGTGGTTGGAAAATACAATAATATTTTATTGACAATCGTTTAGTATGGGTTATGCTGATAGCTGACCAACTGACCATCGGTCAAATGACGCATAAAAGCAGCAATTAGCTCATCAATGTGGTAGACTTGTTGCATAATAGTTGACATATAACCATTAGCTATACTTTAAAACACTAACAACAAATGAAGTAAAGTGTAAGGATGCTCCTACAGCGACCTCACTTCCCGCCGCACTAGCAGACGGACACAAACATGCAACTTGCATCACTTTGCAAACAATGCAGCCATTGACTAATTGCTGGAACTAATGGGGTCAGGTTACACGTAGATATATCGTACGATACTTTGCGACACTGCATGGATGCTCAATGGACATTGTTCCTCATTACTTAATGAGGATTTATTTTTAAGCAGTCTAGAGACTGGGGCCGCAGTGACAATTGACAACTGTCGAGTATTAACTCCAGGTTAATAAGTTCGAGTATCATTGTTTTAATTTATGTATTATAAGTAGACTTTTTAAGCGGTATGTTGCAAGGACTGCGTTACAGCTACAAAAATAATGTGATCGCCCTTAGCAGGTTATGGAGGACAGATACACAGATACACGCTCCACATTCATTCCAATCCCGTTAGGATTTAATGTCAACTACAGAAGTCGGCCAAAACAGTTATTCCTACTTTACTTCTGGGTGCAGTAGTTAAACCTAGCCTCATAAATTACCTCAAATTTTTATACACAAGTTGGGCATTAGTCTGCCCGAATAGTTGTTCTGCGGCGTACAAGAAGACATGGTCAGCATATCCTCCGGAGCCCGAGCCGATGTGCCTGCGTAATGCTGGCGGGGCCTCCCCCAGGCCACTCCAAGGCCAGTCCAGGTCAGCACTAGGTATGTCACTCAAGGCCTTGTTGCTGACGTCCAGCATTTGTTCCAGCTCAACTAAACAAGGAATATATTTGTTTAGAAATATTATTAAGTTGCCAGATTGCTGGTTTGGTGGAGTGATAATTAGTGAGGCTGATGACTAATGAGCAAAGGGTTCGATCCCCAGGTTGAAAAAAAGTTTGATTAATTCTGGGCTTGGAATTGGGTCGTAAATCTTAATGTCGATTTAAATTAATAATAATCATACCTCTGTAAGCAAAGGGATGCCTTTTAATAAAGTGAAAATACCAACGTTAGTTATGTTATAAATTCTAAGCATGCCACACAAATGTTACAAATTGCAATGATTACATAATTCAAACTCGACAAAAACAATACGACAAAAAAATGTAACATAACATACAGGACCATTTAAAACAAATAAACAAACAACAAAACAATCAATAGTATTCTACTCAGTACTCACTAACACAATACATAGTTACCATAACTATATGTACATAATTATATTAACAACATCATTGCGTCGCGACCTTTCATTCCTTGAAGAGATAGAGCATAGAGAACAGCTACAGTAACACATCACTACTAGGGGGTGAATCTACTTCCACACATATTTCAGTCTGTATACTACTAATGTTGGATTGAAAAATCGAAAATCCCAATAATGTTCGTCCCAATAATCCCAAAGGGTCTGTGAAAATTCTGGGTGAGATATTATGCTTATTATCGTTCTTTTAATTTACTACCTCTAGATACTAAGAGATAAAATAAAAATAACTGGTACATACTGGCAGTAATAACACAGTCGACATCGTGGCAGCTAAGCATTTCGTTATAGAAGTCTTCTCTGGAGGCTTCCAGCTTCTTATCATAGCATGGCATGAAGGTAACGTGGTAGATTTCTCCGGCCGTCAGCTCCCGGCACTTTGAGAGGTACTGCTTGACCAGGGACCCCATCACTTGCTGCGGTGACTTGGACGTCGATATGTATGGGAGGATGAAGTTGCCGTGTGTTTTCTCAGCATAGCACACCCAACCTGGTGGTTGAGTTTGCTGGTTAGACTAATATTGTTAAGCTTTTGGTGCTTCCATTACAGGCGATCACGCTGCTCGTAACGTAATATGAACGTGTACGAGTACGTGTATTTTTAATATACAAACGCCGCGCGCTGATCGCAAGACGTTGGCGAGGACCAAAAACGGTGGACGCGCTGTTTATTTGTAGTTACAAAACCGAAGATGTGATGGATGGAATGGAATCTGAGTAACACTGCTTTTAGTTGAGCCAGTTCTTATTTAATGTTTTAAAATCAATTAAATACACTAATATTTATTTATTTAATTATATGTATTGATTTATGATTTACCAACATTTGATTACACCAATGCAATTGTCAAAATACAAAAATATCAGTCATGGACTGCACTGATATTTCAGTAGGTATGTTTCAGTTTCTGCAATGCCCTTGATGTCTCTCACATTTTGCTGTGTAATTATAATTATCACTTTTTATTTTAAAGATATTAACCTAACACTGTACGTACTCAATTCTCAACTTGTTTGTTTTTGTCATTAATTTTTTTCGGTATTGATACTTTGCAAGTAACTAGTGCAAGACTTTTTTATATTGTTATCTTACCTGGACAAGAGCTAGCAAGCATAGGCAGCTGTTTAGAACTAGGATCAGTTTGCTGGTTCTGGTAGCGCTGCAAGAACTCCTGCTGTGCCTCCAGCAATGACAGGTCTTCAGCTACTGTCATATCCAGCACTAAGTCTGCCCCTAAACTCTTGAAGTATCCTGTAAAAGTAAATTATAATTAAGTTTTGGAATAACTTAAACACCCTCTATTGTGTAGATGAAGTATCTATGAGGGAGAGATACTTATTGATTGTAACCATTTATTTTTAAAGTAATTATATAGGTATTGACATAGTGTGTTAAAACTTTTCATCATTCAAATTTTGTCACATGGATAAGGACTTAGCTAATATTTGTTAGACAACATGTAATAATTATAATTTATGATCCGTACATAAGTCTTAATTAAACACTAAATTAAATGTACTTCAAATGTTAGACATAGAATATAAAGGCACCTGCTAACTTGTGAGTGGCTTCCTCTGGACTCAGTTTGTAGCGGGCTGCCAGAGACAATGTAGGTTGTGGTGACAGGGACACCACTATTAAACTCACTTCTCTACTCACTCCTTTGTTATCTGTATACTTCTTCTCTGAGAACACTCTAAAACCCAGAAAAACAATAATTATAAATTTATAGAGCACAGCTAGTGATGTCCTATTGGAAAGGTCCATGTGAAGGACTATGTAAGAGGGTATGAGGGAAATGGACTAATGCTAAAGATGACATTAAATTTAAACATTTTTTTAAACCTCTAAGAGTTGTTGCTAACATTACTATTGTGCAAACAATTTAGTAACAACTCTTAGGAATAAAATGTTGGAAAATTTACACCTCAAAACTAAAAAATTTAATTCATATTGAAAATTTTCATAATAAAAATTTAATTTATATAAAGAAAGGGTTATAAAGCAAAACTAACCTTAACAGTTCTTCTTGACTTTGCTTGGTGACTAACACACTTTCAGCCGACGTGATGCACCCACTGCAAGCCAGACAGTCTGCTAATGTAATTTCAACCTTCTGGAGTTTCTGTTCTCTGCCACTTGACACATCAAAATAGCCATCTTCACCTATCTTTATCTTTGCGCCAGTTTTCGTCTTTGTTTTCTCGATTTTTACAGGCTTTATACATTCCTGTTGATAAAGGTTATACAAATAAATGTTGACGAATCTTGGTCTTATGGGATTCTATTTGTGACTGACTACAACTTCAATTACAAATAAAAGATATTAAATCCTGTACTATATAATAATAATGGCGAATCTTCCAACAATTAGCCAGGAAGAGCAGACGCAATATTGACAAAAATAATACAAAAACATTGATTGAGGTTAGAGTTGATTACTTACTTGTGAAGGTGTTATGAAATCGTCTAGATCAGTCAACTGTAACGCACCACTAAAGCGAGACGCCATAATTATATTTTTTGTGTTTAAATATCTATAATGCTAAAGGAAATTTATTAAATTTCTCCAAATAAACACTAATAGGTAATACCAATATCACGCAGCTGATTTTGACATTTGTAGATGACAATTGACTTTGACAGCTAAAAAGGGTTGAAATGAAATAAATAAGTTTTCTACCGTATCGATATTATCGGCAGCACTTCATACCAGTGCCTTTAGCCAAACGCCACTTTAGCGCTTGTCTACAGAGAGAGTAGAAAAGTAAATGTATGGGGATGACACTGACGAATGCCAAAATTTACGTAAATTCCATATAATTTAGTTTTCTACTCTACAAGTAGACAAGCGCTAAATGGCATTTGGTCTAAAATATTTTTTTATGACCAAAATATCACCTGATGGTAAGCGATCAGCGCCGCCCATGGACACCCGCAACACCAGAGAAGCCCGCGTTGCCCGGATTTTAAAAAGAAATACGCAATTTAATATTTTTTATGGCATCCTCTCTTTATATAAAAGAGGATTTCGAATATTAAATTGAATTTACGTAATGCAAGGAATTTAGTACACGAACTGGTAATATCAATTTATTTTTACATTTATAAATAATTTTATTTGAATCTCAAAACTTTTTCATTAACCAGCCTCTATGAAACTTACCTAAGAGTCGCCTAACTGGGAATGGGAAGACGACGCAAAGACAGTCTATTATGGGTATATAGCAAACAGGTAGATATCATTACTCAATATCGACCTCTTCTATGCTTTAAAATTAATCTTGAAAAAAAAACCATTAATCTTGCTAATAAGTGCATTAGGTACTTAGACGTGTACCTTTTAATATAACTATAGTACCTACTTACCTACATAAGGAAAACTAAATGTAAAGTGTGGAGTATAAAACACGAGCTTTAAAATAGAAGATATGAAACTTTATGTTATTCTTCGGCGTGTCTGTACATCAAAATGATGTCATTATAACAAAATATAGGTTCAAAAATGCTAACCATGTTAAACTATAGTCAACCGCTCCCACGCGCAGCCTTGGACATGTTTGATGCTCATTATTTACTACTATTAGTAGCTTAGTGACCAGCGAGACTGGCTGGCCACTCACAACAGAACCACAGTGCAGCGTTGAGAAAAAATCAATCAAGATCTTCCCGCCTCCCGTCCGTTTCCAAGGCAACGGATAAACAGCGGCGAGACGTTGCATCGCTCGGTCACAGAAAGACGTGTCGTGTTTCGATAATTTTGTTTTGCATGTGATTGTGTCTCGTTTTGATGGATATTTGTGAATTTTATATACAATGGGTGACGAGGCTGCTGTACCTGGTACGGCGCCTGAGAAAGTGATACACACGTATCCTCTGATAAGGGTAATTTTTTTTATTTATTTCTTTGTATAAGTACACTCTGTAAAAATGTTGATGTCATTATGTACCAAGTGTAATAACAATCGACCTACGCAAAATAATCTGTAGGTATAAGTACTTATTAAGGGAGTAGGCCTAGTTAGATAAATGATCTTGATTGAGCTGTTATCGACAGCAGGGTATGCAGAGGTCTAAGAGTAGTCTTATAGTCTAGAAATCTAGTGTAAACATGTCTAGTGCACAAATCTTTCTCTTAACTCTGTTCGTAGGACTAATGATGTTTATTCCGATAGGTAATACTTATTGGTCGATAGGTGATACATAGGCACATCAACGCCTTTACACGTTTTAAGAACTACTTACATGAGCCAAAATTCTTGAGGTTTAAAAGTTACTTCTCTCTCAAAAACATATTTTTCGAGATGAGCTTTATTTGTATTGGAAAAAAGCCGAATCATCGATTGTATTATCGGAATTTCAAATCAATTCTACGAGGGTAGGTAACAACGCAAACGGTTTTAACCCAACACATAAATTGCCTAACAACTGAGAATTAAGTTAGTTACTTACACAGATCACTTACTTTCTAAAGCATTATTTCAATGTTATTTTCATAGTAAGTACTTATAGTCATGTATTATCTAACTAACAACATTAGAACATAATTAATCGCGTTGATGAACTATAACGGAAACTAACAAATAAATCAATGAACACCCAACCCCCAAGGGTGACTTTCTAAATCGTCTCAAAGGTTTTGTTTGACATTAGATAGTTGTTAATAATTGTATTATTACTGCCGATATCGATCAAACGACGTGGATATTAAATTTCGGCGGAGTCAAGGCCCCGGAGTGGTACGACTTGGGTCGCTATAACGCATCATTCGACCGGAACTCTCGGCTATAAAGTTACATACACTCGTACATTGATCTTACAGATCGATGTGTGAATGAAAATAGAAAACGACTACAAAAATCTGTAGATTAACTTGTCATAATTTTTTAATTACCTATCCGAAAGAGACAAATGCAGGTATTTGTTTTTAACACAATATAGGTACTTTTTTCCAAAGTTATATATGTAAATAATAATTTATAGTAGTATTATTAAGTCTATCTCGAAGTATTTTGCGGTCTTAGTTCTCACTTAAAGTTCTTGTAAATATTCTGCAAGTCAACTTTCCGGTAATGAATTTCTCTCGTCCAAATATCTCCATAAATTATGTATGGCGGCAAGTAAACACATTTGTTTGCTCGCAACCACAGCTCTCCAACTAGGAGTGTTCGATCGCAATGTTTCATCTGTTTATTTTGCCAGGTGGATCCATTCTCATCTCATACTATCTCCGTATTACAGTTGTATAAATGCCTACCGTGTTTGAACAATCGGTTATGTAAAGTGTAGACATATACAATTCGACTAATGGATTCCTTTTTGAAAATTAATGAGGCGGACATTTTAAGAAAATATTTAAGTGTGCAAGCTATAGATTTTTGTTTTTTGTATCTTGTCTTAAGATGATATCGTGGTCCACACGTGATGCTACTTATATTAAGTCAGTCATGTGACGAAGGTGTAACAACGTGATTTGTCCACAGCATTCAGACATGTCAGAAGAGATGCGCGTCGAAGCTGTTGAGTTAACAGTCACAGCTTGTGAAAAACACTCCCAAAATAACGAGCTGGCTGCTCGAATGGTCAAGGAAGCTATGGACAAGAAATTCGGCCCGTCTTTCCATGTGGTTGTGGGCGAAAGTTACGGCTTCGAGGTCACCTACGAATGCACCAACATGTGCTACATGTACTTTGGAGGAAACCAAGCCATCTGCATATGGAAATGCTCTTGAAAATCTCATTAGTTTTAATTAGACTTACCAAATGATATACCGAAGAAGTACTTATTTTAGTTTCACTACTTTACGGATATGAAATAGTTTGTTTCAAGTTACAATCAAATTAAGGAATATGGGAATGGTTTCGATCTACATATTTAGATTGCTATAGAGTTTATAATAAATGTAGGGACTCGCCTAGATGTTATGCCAATGTGTCTTTAAACTTAGTCGATAGTCTGCAAAACTCTTATTGTAACTGGTTATTAGATGCCTACTCTATACTTAGACACCTAAGTACCTACTTAATAATCTTTGAAATCATGGTACCTACACACCGTAAATACTGTTTGCATTTCATGTTTTGTGTTCTGGTTTTTGCTTTACCTGTATAAATTATGTGCTTGTACATACCTAGCATTTCTTCTAATGGTTAGAACATTTAAATCCTGTTTCAGAAAGTTAAACTGGTATTTAAATGTAATAAAACAATGGACTTGACGTCGCCACGTCTCGTTTCATATGTAAAACAGTTCTCCACACGCGAGCTAAGTTTTTATTTTATAAACATTTCAAAGAAATAATTTACATACCTAAACGCGGAAAACGTTCCGTAATCGGGTTAAAGGGCTTTCTTCACGTGTGCTTGCACAAATAACTATGGTAATTAGGTAATGTATTTTCTGAAAACACCAAACAAACAATAAGTGTCGGTAGGTATTACTTACTTTCCAAAGTAAAAAAACCTCATTGCGTAAAATATATTTACCCACTAAGGATACTTAATAAGATGAACTAGGTAGTATACGAGCAGATCAACCTATGTGACATGTCTCGTACCTACTTTAATAAGGTCGAAAATGAACGAGCTAGTTAAACTGCTGGCGTCTACTAATATACGGCGAAATTATATTGGTTCAATAAATTGTAAGCACGCGTGTACATAAGTCCTCTCCGCACTCACACCCTAGCTTATACGCCCCAGGGGCTAGACGCAGAGTCTGTGTTTAGTAATTACATTCCACACAGTTGAATCGTTGGGGCAATTTTGAAGGGCGATGGACCCTAAAACCAGACGTCAGCTCGTCTCTACACACCTATAAATAAGTACCTATCTAGGTACTGACTATAACTAATGCGATTGTGATTGTAGGTAATGTTATACACATTTTTAGCTGCATATAAGAAGACAAGTAGAATATAGGTAATGGAAGATTAGCCTTATGTCCACCTGTTTTATCCTTTGAGGAACAATAAGGGCGATGTTATATTATTAAGCGATCTTCCCTCATATCACGATGGTAGCAGCATCCATTGATGCGATGCTCCTCTAATTTTAGTTCTACGTTCGCCGATAAACGATCAATAAATCTTCATGCATTTAACGGCTCGTATCGTATAGTGTTTGTAGAGATAACATAAGAAATATGCTTGGTTGTTGGTCATACACACTCGTAAAGTCATGCCAGCCAATAAGTATGTTGTGAAACAAACGGGGTCAATGAGACTTAGATTGAGAGCCAAAATACTTCAATATCAATTTTATGTTCAGATTTTACAGACTACTCAAATATATTGTATTACTTAGTATTGGCTCTAAACAAACAGTGTCAATGTTGGTTACACATATTTTTTCCTTATCTGAAAGAACTTTCTTTACCACATAACACAGAAGTAACACCCACTTTTCACTATTTATGTTATGAGTCCCGTTTAATAGGGGGTGACTCTATGCTACTACTTACTGAGATTTTTTTAAAACCTAGTAATACTTTGCCCGATCGAACCCGAGACCCCTTGACCGACAGTCGCACTCGGCCAACGAGGCAGTTTCTTTACCATAACATCATATTTATTTTATTTTTAAGTAGGTGTAATTATGTGCCTACTGTTTTCGACTTAATTCGACCCCTTCTACCTCGTCACTCGGGAATTGAAACTGAGATTCCTTGTTCGGATGTCGCGCTCTATCGAGTTGAGGTAGACGCTTTTTGTTACCAACTGTTTAAGTTTCACAATAAGCAATAAGCTCTATTTGCCCCATAATAACATTAAATTAAAATTACGCCTACGCCTACGTCTTGTGGTTTGACTGTGTGGCGTTTTATGTGTAGATATCTATTTATCTATGTAAGGCAAGTCCATTGTAGACTCAATTAAAACGTGACCGGCCGAAGAGAGTAATGTTTTTTCGCGGTTCACCACACAATAGTGTTTCTAATTAATAAGTCAAGGGCAAACATGGTATCCATTACAATAATAGTGTGTAAAAAATATTCTATCGACACAGTGGGCGATGTTATTATTATAACCGATATAGAAAAAATACGAATTATGTTATTGGCTTGAAACTTTTTGTTAATTAAGTAAGCAGTTACACTAAAACCTTGAGCATATAACATACGGAATAATATACCTACATACTTGGAAACTCCGACAGTCCTATTGTTCACTGAGCAACAACGTAATAAGCATAGCAATCGGAGAGCTGTTTTACAGAACAATTTTGTCAATTACCCACATAGGTACAATAATTATGTTTTTGCTGTAATTACAGTTTTATAACACAACATTTGAAATGTACCGTACAAAATAAAGTCGAGGTCATATTACCTACCTGCGTTGAGTATAACGTAATTATGTATGTAATGGTTATTTAAAGACACACTATTACGAGCGTGAGAAAATTTTATAATGAAATAAAGTATTTTTTACATATTTTTTGGTTTCATTTGGAGCTGATTGTGATGAAAGATTAACTTGTTTGTTGGGAAAATATGAAAGATGTGTGACCGAATTGCAGACCTTTTTATACGACCTAGATTAGTAACTAATTCTGGAATTAGATACAAAGAAAGTTAGTTTATTTTCAAGAACTTTTTTGGTACGATAGTCACCAGACGATATATTGTATGCTTATTAAGGTTGACCAGTTAAACTTCTCACATTTATTCCTATCAGCAAGTGATTTTTAACTGATATTATCACAAGTTAGTTACCTTTTTTATTACTTTGATTGTTTAATAAACCTTTATTACAGTCCTTGAGGTGCAACCAATAACCTCAATTGGTAAGTCATCCAGATAAGGGTTACACTAGTCGATATTTTTTCCATAGAAAGTTCGGGGTGGTATTACTCGACAGTGTGAATGTGTACCTACAAAATTAAACACGATATCGTTTTATCTTGTAATTACATTTGTCGGTACGGAAACAAAAAAAATAAAAAAAAAACTACTAAAAAGTTATGAGCCAACAAAGTTTTGTTTTTCTTTACAATTTTAACGCAACTTTGGGTGTTGAAAAATACCACTAATCGTGTAAAATCTCCAAACCGAAGACCGTACCGACTCAGCACAATTACCATAGAGTTCTATAAAATTTATTTGAAATTGATCTAAGCAGTGGTTTTTTCAAAAAACGCTATTTTCTAAAGCACTAAATCGTACTTTTTTACGCACTCGTTTTGTGATGGATTATCGTGCATTTCACTGGATAAAACTCCCCCGGCAGTGGCGCGGGGCGGAGGGAAGACGCACACGCGTTTTTGCACAATTTTTTGCACAATTATTATTTGCACGACACGCGCTGTCGTGCAATTGTCGTGATTTAGTGAAGTTGTTTTGGTTGATTGCATGACACTTGGAATTTCCAAGTGTCATTGGAAAATACATAATAAACAATGGGTAAGTCGTCCCTACAATTTATTATACCTTATCTAATTAGATTTTATTAGATACAGTTATCGGTGCGGATCCCAGCAGCAACCCAGCCATCGTGAAGGACACACTGGGCGTCGGGGATCGCGGGACGATATCCGGCCACTGTAAGCGCGGGCCTGCGGACGGCGAACATGGGTGGCTCCCCGTCCGACCAGAAACAAACCCGAGCGTCCGGCGCGTCGCGTTCCACGCGTGCCTCAAAGAGCCAACAGACCACCACAGATGGGGCCCAATAGGGCCGATGCCGATTCGGAGTCGCGGAGAACCTAACGGGTAACCGGGGCTCCGGCTCGACGTGCAGGAGAAGGAACGGGGTGGTTTTTAGTCAGTAAGAGTCTGACAATCCCTCCCGCCTCACCTAGGCAGGAGCAATCAATCGATGATTTTCCCACATAAAAAAAAAAATTCTACTTGTTTATAATATCAATTAGTATCTTTACTTCGGACTTCAAACCAATGACCAAACGAAAAAAAATTTCCAAAGATATAATTTCGAGTGCTATACTGAATTGCGTGTTGTAACATTTTACTTGAACTCACAAAATTAATCATATCTTCTGATAGAGTGAACCGATTTCGATGAAACAAAAACTAAGTTACACCTCGAGTTGCGTAGAATTTTTATATATTAACAATGTCTGCATTGAATTCGTAGATTTTACGTGATGCGCGCACAAACAAACAGACAAACAGACAAACAGACAAACAGACAAAAATTTCAAAAATGATGGAAATGGGTTCTGTTGGTTATCTTTTAACACACTGGCTATTTTTTTTTGTCAATTTCTTCAATGTACAAAAATTACTTTTCTACAGATTTATTATATGTATAGATATAGATATAGATAAATATTACGATTACCAATAAAGATTTTTCAGGTTCATTGTTTTTTTTTGTCTATAAATAAAAGCATAATAAATAAGCAAGTAACTAAAAGGGTGAACCCTTAGCAATTATACCCAGCCTTGCGGCGCTCTCCTGTGCTGCTAATACAGATACTATACCGGCATGAATATTGAGCGTTGACTCAGATTGCGCAGAAATCAAGTCTCTTTAGTAGTAGGTATTGTGAGAAGGATTGTTGCTACCTACAATTCTTCTCCCAAAAATCCTTTTACAGTGATTAGCTCGCCAATGTATACCTACCCACTTTGATGCCGAGCGCTCAAGATTCGAGCCGGTATCTCTACTTATGTTTGTGTCAGGGAGGTACCTAGTGCGCAGCTTTATGTTACGTTCCGAGCTGCCAAAAAGTCTGTAGGTACCTAACACGAAACTGGAGTTAGGGACCTACCTACACGATGTAGGTATGAAGTCCACAAGTTTTGTTACGGACGAAATGACGAAAATCTAATTATGTGGTATTATCACTACTTCTAGTAATCTTAGGTAGTCACCGACGTACCTAACTAGGTAAGTATATATTTAATTTTATGAAAACATAATGACAGATCAATTGTCTCGAAATTCAGGAAATAATTCAGACCAGTAAGTACCTACCTAAATAGGTAGGTAGTTCCTGAGATTATTATGTTCAACCAAACAAACTATAATATTAGTTAAACATTATAACCTGATGAAAATATGACATTTGAACTGTATTATTTAGATAGAAGATGCATCTAGCTAGTTTGTAGTAGGTACATAAAGTTATTGGTACTTAGAAAAAAAAAATATTATATAAAATTATATCCCTAGCCTTTCGTGGATTCTTCGGATCGGATGATAAGTTGATATCATAAAAAAATTGTCAGTAATTACAATGCCCTGTGACAATAATTATTAAATTCATGCGAGCATCATAAAATCGTAGCAGCGTGTACGACTTTACTACTAACGAGTAAACACACACAGCACAGATATATGCACCGTTCAGTGACGTTTTGCTGTGTTTGTGTGCGTGCGAACAATACGTCGTGCAAATAGATAGCGTCTAACTGCTCATCACTGGTACTATTTCTGTCACACACGATGTTAGATGAGACAGCGCGCTTTTTGGCCACGCCCCTGATTGAGTTCGAGCCCGCGACTAGTTTAACCTTAAGTTGTAACTTTATACGCATTTAGCGTACAGTGCAACGATTGTAATGAACCCACATCAGGTAGTCTAATCATGTCGACTTGGTGTACTTGTCACACATAGCTGTACCCAGGTAAAGCGTAGAAACTGGAAACGGTGCATTATGCAAGGTGAAGGTGAGACTAGTCGAGTACTCAAGGTGCGCAGTTGTCGCGACGTCATCGGAAGTGCAGAGGTCGCTGGTGCGCACACCCACCCGACCCGCGAATACCAACCAATAACAACGCATGATTAATTCGACGACACCAACGTTATTATAATAATATATTGTTTATCTAATTAATTTATATAATATGCATGATATTATATTAATTCATTACTACTATAAATAATTACTTACTAATATTTAGGTATATTTATTTTGATTTCGTGATCCGTTTGTGCTGTCGAATAAAAGATGTCTGATGCCCAAATACTGAAAGGCTACTTACTCAATTTGAAATTGTACTTAAATATCGCTTCATTTTACAAAGAATTTGTAGTGACACAACTTATATACATATATTATACATATACTTTATAAACGCGACTTGTAATTGTATGGCGTTTGAGTATTTGGATATTAATCTCAAATAGGTATCATTTTAATCTACTGGCTGAGATCAAGTTAAAGGCACTGTGTTGCAAATACATATTAGTAGTTGCAGGACATAAAAAACTTACATCTATAGTCACAGACGAGTGTGGATTTATTCATCAAATAAAACAAATAAGTGATTTCAAAATTAATATAATAATAATAAATTTTAATATGTTAAACGTTAAAAATTTCAATAAATTTCATACGAATCAGCTTGAGATCATGTTTCCGTAGCTAGTCTGATATCTATCCAGTGATTAAGTAGTACAAAGTTGTATATAAATACTTCTATTTTACTATTTTATAATTCCATTGTGATCCAGCGTGCTACTCAGGTGCCACTTGAGTACGTACAAAAAACGGCTCTAGTATTTCACGAAATAATTATCAAATTAGCGATACCTCCAAGGTTGTCGTGTAATTACCAGCACTAAACGAAACGAGGAAGCTATCGCCGCCGTGCTAGCTAATTACCACAGCATTAGTCGCAGTCTGTCATGGCGTCTCTCGTTTGTTGTACAACTCAAAGGCACCGTCGCAATTGTTTGAGTAAAGCTATGCAGTGTTGGTGGGATATTGTAAATATGTACAAAAATACAGAAACAGGATCCCGTCTAGTGCTTCCCCAATTACTATATACTACGTCTTTTACATAAACATTGGCACATAAAGTGATCACATAATACTCATACGTATATTAAACATACCTATAATATTAATAGTACGAAAGCTAATATTGTTATACATACAATACTAACCACAATAGTAAATCCACCTTGTTAACTATACGAATACCTATCTAACAACGTAATATAGATTATTATGAAACGCTCATATAAAATCTACCAACCAATAAACTTATCTAGGTACTTCTAACAAATGTATGAATATAAAATTTTTAGGCACAATTTGTTATCAAAGTGTACTGGGTACCAAGGAGCACTGGGAGGGAGAAACTATTACGTATCAAGCACCTCTTGTCTAGGTATGTGTGGACTGTACTACTGGGAAGTCTGTGTCTCAAGGGTAGTCACCATGGTACCCGACATACAATGTACAGCAAATTGGGGAACCCTGTCGTTTGTTGATATGATAATAAATCAGTTATTCACAAATTCAAATCCATATTGCCATCTCAAAATACAGACCTCCCATAGCACATTCACATTTGTATAGAACATAAATACTGTAATAGGATACAGATAATGTAAAGAAGTGGAAGTATTATGAATATATCTAGAAATATTACAATATATGATAGAACACATCGAATGGAATGACACAGTGTAAGAAAATGCAGATTTGTGACGTTAGAGTAACCAAGTTTGAAGAAGCTTTATTGATAGTAATTTGAAACAAGTGAAAATGTTTACTGCCCATGGGCATGGCACTTAGGTTCACCACTTAATGATCACATCGTGGTACGTTCTACAACAACCACTCGACTGCGCTATAACACACTAAGACAAAGAAACTCCAGGTCGCTAATCAGCTAATTATGCGTTTAATTATTTTAGTGCGCAATTTCAGTCGTTTCGACTAATGCATGATTGTAATTTGTCAGGTACAGACTTTAGCAAAAAAATATATTAAATATTCATAGATAGGCAACGCAGTCGAGTAAGCACGGCACAACAATATATGCGTCTAATACCTTGTCACTTATTATAACGAAATGCTATACTGACACTTATTTACTTCCTTCCTTTATGTATATCGCGATACTTACTTATTACAATACTTCACTAACACCGTTTGCTACACGCCTAGTATAATAATTAATGTCGAAATGACACATTTCCGTTGAGGATAATTTAACAAGATTGTACATATTTGAACTTAATATTTTATATATTTGTTCTAGCTAATAAGCGCCACATTGATTTATACATAAATACATACAAGATAACATCAAAAGCATAAAGCGTTTTGTAATATTCTGTCATTAAGAATTACTAATTATTATTAGTAAACATATTTGCTTTATGTCCTCTTTGCACGACTTGACGTTTCAACATTCAATAATTTGCATATTAATTGTATTTTGTCAGTTTTCGAGATCATATAATTATTTATTATAAATATACTGTCCATTTATTTGTTTTACGATTATTATAAAGCTTTATATAGTAGGTCAATCAAAGACGTGAATTATCTCATTGTTTGTGTATATGAAACACTATATAGTATCACGGGCTAGCCTCGAGTTTTGTAACTACTTATATCGACTTTAGCGTGAATATACCGGCGATCCACGCAATGATCACTATCTCTTGATCTTTACTTATTCTTAAATCATTAGTATAATTATATCTTATACATTAATTACTTTATATTGCATTATTTGTAACTCTCGCGTTACACTCCACAATAATTTTCAAGCATTTAATAATAATTTATTATTATAAACATGAAAACTCAAAAAGTTAGTCTTTTTTAATAACGAATTTGTGATTTGCCACGCATACTTACAATTACATTGTGGTTTTTCCTAGCTGCGGTGACATTGAGCTGCGATATACAACCGACTTAAAGGAAGACAACTGATCATCTAACAAATTACTTTAAACTTTCAATTTTATAACTAGAAATATTATTTATATTGTATGTAAGTCAAATACTTGACTTTGTTCTCTACAATCTAACGCAGGCATGGATTGATTCTGTCTTGAACTCTCAAAAATGCTCCAAATGCAATTTACTTTCAGAACTAATTCAGCACCTCGTACGCAAATGAACACTAGCCGACGATCCAGTGATGACGTCACACTACTAATTAATAGAATACTCTAATCACTTGTTTGTATAACTGTAGCACAAAAATAATAGCACGAACACTGAGTTCACTTATACACTATGTTGAAGAATACTGAGTCTTGAGCCCTACACGGTGGTGTAGTAGCAGAGAGGCGATCGCTATGAGTCGGGCTGGAAGTGAGTGACGAGCAGTTTGGTCGCCTTCGCCAGGTCGTACGCCGCCGCGCGCACCTCGTTCAGCGGCGACGGCGCCGAGCACGCCAGCGACACCTCCGAGCACGCCGCACGGAGCTCGCCCAGCACCAGGGACAGCTCCGCGTCCGTGTTCGTCTATACCACAAAATATTCTCGATACATTTAACTAACTGAAAGCTGTTAAGATATGTAGCGAAATCAAAAAAAGTTAATGTTAAGTCTTGGTCCCATTTGGGTGCCATAAAGTTACTTGTTCACTAATGGCCAGGTGAGACCGAGTGAACGCTCGAACAGATATTTCAGTAATTTATACAGAAAAGATAACATGACAATTTTATTCATGATAAGATTGATGATTAGACTTACCTGTGGGAAGAGTGCGAGTAGCGCCCGCACGGCGTGTCGTATGGAGTCCCCGCGCTGCTGCAGGCGCGGGTGCTGGTCGCGGGCGGCCGCCCACAGCTCCGAGATGGCGCGCGTCACGGACTCCGCGCGCCGCTGCACCAGCTCCGCCGGCGGCAGCGCGCTCGCTTCCTCCGACCCCTCCGCGCCCAGCGATAGAGGAGACAGCGACCTCTCCAGGCTTGATAGCGTCGTCAGCTGACCAAGAAACCAAACTCAGTGACAATTGTTCTTACCTTGTGTGTAAATAGAGTGAGTAAAACAGTTTATTTCAAGCCATTAGTAAACTATGTAGATATTCTAGAATTCCTGATCTAATCTAAATCCCTTTTAACAAGTTATATTAAAATCCAATGATGGCTTTCAGTTTCTATTTCATTAATAATTTTCTACAAGTTAAAAAAGTTAAGTTTATAAAGGTTATTGTAACTAGACGCTACGCTGACCACCTTAATGCTAGTGAGTTAGTGCACGCTAAGTATATTAGTGTAATTAATAAATTAGTACCTGGTGTTTAGTAACCTGCCAGTTATTCTTTGGTCCCTCTCTAGTCTCATACATACTGACCGGTCGCTGCGCAGGTTTCAACGACAACTTGCCATCGACTTCTTCCGCCCGGGTGAAATGCTCGGTCTCGAGACTTTTGCCTCTCTCTTGCGCTTTAGAAGACTCTAGAGCGTTACTAGAGCTGTCGTTTATCGACATCTGTGACGTCATACTCTGATCATCATCTACGCTACTGGTTGTTTTAAGAACACTGTTTTCCTTGGTGAGTTGTTCCACAATAGTTTGTAAGCTCTTCAGTTGGTTCTTGAGTTCGGTGATGGTGGAGTCTTTAGTGTGTATTTCCTTCTTCAATGTTTCTATTTCCGTGGTTTGTTCGGGTATGGCGGAGTGTGTGAAGTTGCTGGGAGACTGAGTGCGGCGTATGTCCATGATGGAGGAGTGCTCGAGTGGCAGGGACGGGTTGTATGTTGAGGATACTGTCTCACCCGCACGAGGCACCACGCTCGACAACTGTTGGGAATACCATCATTAAACAATTGCTGAGGAAATAGGGCCTTTTGTTCAGTGTACTGCTGATGACTGGTGGCCATCTTCTATAGATATTATGGCATTGTTTACACTTTACCTCTAGCAAACAATAAAAGGATGTGTTGCACCGGGACAATATCTGATGACATGATCTTACTGCCATTGTAAACTAAATTACAATTAGCTCAAGAAAACACTAGGCAGAGATTCTATTTTAAAACGTGGGTTTAGTAATGGGTAATAGTACTTTATACTCACATCTAAGTCTATAGGTGCTAAAGCAGCGTAGTCTTCGTCGGAGGCTACTGAGTCGTATAGAGGCTCGTCATCAGACATCTGCGAGAAGTGCTTCAAGTGGCTCGCTGACAGTAGGGGATTCATCAAGGTTGTGGGAGCTGGAATAAACAGTTAATAAAGTTATCAATCAACTATGCAGTACACCTTTGATAAGCTGATTTCTTTCAAGTTTTTGCCCACAAATAACCTTGAATACACTAATAAAACTAAAGTATTTAATATATTTAATCTCAGACTCACCTCGCGGCTGTAACGTGGCAATATGTTGTCTTCTAGTAGCGTCTACGAGTACGTCTCTTAGTAAGGTGGCCATCTCTGCAGTGGACAGTCTGGCTAGTTTCTGTCTACCCTGGTTGCGGGGCGCTGACAGGGCGGGGTTCACTGGCAGGAACACCACGCCTGACCTCTCTAAACCCGTCGCACTTGTCTGCCAGACTATAACCAGAGAATCATTTTAAAAAAAGGGATCATTTTTTAACGTAATATGGATCTTAAAGCTTTGTAATAAGGTATAAAATTAAGATAACATTTGTTTAAAAATAATATTGTTGGGTAATAAGATTGCGTAGTTTGTATGGTAGAGTAATTTAAACATAAAGGAAAATGAATATGAATGGATTATGAACCTTGTTCCTTTAGAAATAACGTACACAATTAACATTATGATGATAAGTTTCTAAATGAATATTATTATGTTAGCTAATAATGCTCATTCCGTATTTGTACTCACTGGCTTCTGTTTCTCTGCGGTCGATTTCGTCGTATATGTCCATAACAAGCTCTTCGAATAGATGATTTGGAAGCTGGAAACAAACAAAACTTATGTGCAAAACTATTTAACTACCGGCGTGAAGTGGCTGTTATGTGAAACGGGTTAAAAAGATTTTTGTTAATTTTAGGAGCATTAAACAGTATTAAGGGCGATTATAGCTAATCGATTGAAAAAAGTAAATTACATTACTGTGAAAAACAGGTAATAATTGTTTATAGTGTACAGCCGTGCAGCGTCAGATGCTGTTACTGGTACTTTATATCAAAAATATAGCCTTTCAGATTTTTTTTTAAGTCTTATTGTGGGCAAGAGAAGCTCTTTAGTAGCACCTGCATCTACAATAGAAATAAGGCAAAGATAAATTTTACACAAGTTGACTTACCAACTGCAGCTTGCCCCTCGCGGCCTTCGCGACATCAGTCATCTCATGCGTGTCATGCGCCCGTGGCACTATGTAGTGTCTCCCGGACGCATGGTCTGGTTTCTCACCCGTCAGGAAGTATATCATACGGTCGGTAGCCTCATACACTAGTTCTGTCATACGATCTGCTAGCTCTGTGTGACCGCCCTGTCTGGAGGAGTCATTAAAGGTCATATTACCGTTGGTAGGAATACTGCTCAGTCATTTAATAGAATTTGTCACACACAAACTGTTCCTGATTGAAAATCACGACCACCGTCAAGAGTGGATACATATTGTTGAACTGACTCGAGTGATAGTCACCTCGTAAGTTCAATATCGTGGTTAGATTAAATTCCTACCGATAGGAAAACGTTTACTGATGTATGGTGATAAGGATATTGCCTAGGACATAAAACTATCTCAGCTCAATTGTAAACATTCAAGCAACACCTTTTGAACCGACTTCCCAAAAAGGAGGACGTTATTTACATTAAATTACGATCCGATGATGATTAGAACTGGTGTTGAAACTTAGTAAAAACTCCTAGGGCATTAATAAAGGTTACATTATGTTTATATATTATTTATATACATATTATTTCATTATATACCTATTATTATTAATTTATTATTGAGCAGTTGTATTGTTTGCTTAATCTTTTGAATACGTGACATACTCAGGTACTTCTACGATAAATAAAATTGAAGACTTGTATATCACTAACAAATAAAACCAATACGTTCACCACTAAAAATATCGAGGATTTCCTGCCTTCTCAATATCTACTTTCAAATGCAATAACTATAGTTTACGTTCGCTCAAACATTATCTAATTCTAATATTAACTTATTATATGCACTTTTAACATTTTGAAAAATACCTCACTTCCATTTACAATGTTTCAGTAGGAGTTATACAGCTTGAAAGACCTTGAGTCTACCATATTTACAAACAAAACTAAAGGTTACCGCCATTCTGCAGTCTATGTCTAGAATAATACGTAGGAAGATTAACGACCTCCAAAATAGTAAGCACCTGCTTTGTGTTACTTTGAAGATCAGACTTAACCTTCATTATATAACTATTAAAGATGGCAATCATACGATGATTTAATAAACGGTTTGTGAATTTTATTTATTTTGTCGGATTGGTTACTTGGTTTCATTGTAGATGAGATTTGTTATTCTTTCACACAAATAAACTATTGAATGGTTTGATAAAATATAGCACAGTAAAAGATTTATACATATGCTGGAAGTGTTGGAACGTAGGTAACTAGTTAAACTAAGGGTTTTATAACCCATCAATTACAATTTATTCTGAGATATCATACAGTTTATATGTAGGTACTTTTCAAAGTAGATAATTATATGTTAACGCGAATGAAGACATGGCACAACTAGTACACTGTCGAGTATTTGAGATCAAGTAAGAATTTGCAAATTTAATCTATTCAGCAAATTTCTGTTAAGTTCGTACCTGGCGCAGTCAGCAGGCATGTTTCCAGAGTGGTCGCGTGCAGTGGGCTCAGCTCCCCAAGCTACTAGTAACTCAGCCTGGGCTGGTTGACCAGCTCGACAGGCCACATGGAGACAAGTTGTACCCTTTTCCTGTAGGACAATAATAATAACTTAAGTGCTCAATTTAGAAGGAATTGAACATCAGGAAGTTGAGTGCTCTCTGAAGAAAATAATGAAGGCTTTCCACTAGGTAGTACAAATAAATATACATAATAATATGTATATAATTTTAATGTCATATGGATAAATGAATAATTCACAGAAATATTGCTGTGACTAACAAAATATGATAAAACCTAGCAGAATGTTTTTGTTTGTTTAAATAAAGTACTTAATAATGTTATTTTAAATGTAACAATTAAGTAAACTCATACATAAAATTAAGGAAGGAAAATTGAACTCTCCTAATAAATAATGCATGTTTCATGTCATTTATTCGGTAAATAAAACCACACTTTAACATAACATATTATAAAAGCTAGATTAAACATACAGAAAAAACAAAAAAAAAGAGGTCTTAGTTAAAATTATTTTTCTTATTTTGTTGAAGGATGTTTTACTCAGTTAAAGTGTTCTTGCTACATTTAACACTAACTGCCAAGTTATCCCAGTAGCGTCAGGCACTAGCGACTGACATGGCACTCTAAGGGTTAATACCTAAAACAGGATAGATCTATAATAACTTAGTACCAACCTGATTGTAGTAGTTAGGATCAGCTCCTTGTGCCAAAAGCCTCATTGCTGTGTCTAATGAGGAGCTCCTGACAGCACTGTGCAACTGTCTGCCAAGCTCACTAGGTGGCTCATCTCTTCTAGCTCTCAGTACATATGCTAGCCTTAAGTGCTTTGCAAGAATGAACTCTGACTTTACTGGGCTAAAAGATAAAATTGTTAAATTAGGTCTTGTAAAGGTTGTTAAACTTATTATGTGGCCTTATTTAGTCTGTTTTATAGCTAAGGGAACATGCATTTAGTTGTTTACAATGATAAATTAAATCATTTATTATAATTGTTCCATTTCCAAGTCAAAGATAATTTAGCAAATCTTCATTTAGGTATCAAGACTTCATTTGTTGACATAGTTTTGTTGTAGAGATAGCTTATCAGATAATTGTGATTGATGTTATTATTGTCAAGTCAAGCAATATTGTTCTTACTGTAATGGGTCTTTAGGTTGAGGTTTCTTGCGAAGGTGTTTTGGGGCTGAAGTGTCCAGTAAGGAATGTTCCCAGATGCAGTTCACGTTCTGAGCTGTCAGTGCTTGCACCATCTGAATAGCATCACACTCTCAAAAAGTACAATTTTAAAACACATAATTTGATATTATTACGCTTGAATATTATTCTATCATGAATATTTATCCTTTATATTTTTCACTAGTTGTCCAAGAGTTTCTAAATATAGACTACATAGTCAAAGGCTTGTTGTTAAGCTCATTGTTCTATTAAACACATTATAATCCAGATGACTAAGCACTGAATTGAAACAATCATCTATTAATGAAATCTGTTAAAGTAATTAGGCCAGTGGATCTTTGCGTTTTTCAAGATGACACTGAGGATAAGTAAAATTAATGAATACGTACAGCTAACAGTGACGGTGGCCAGGACCCCTGGCGCAGGGATTTAACATGGGAGATATGTCTTCCCATACTACGGTGAACACTACAGCATTCAGCACACAGCAGCAGCCCACGGTTTATCGAAGCCCATGACGGATCTACGGCCAACAAACAACTTAGAAACCACTTCACAAATTAGTACCGGAACAATTAAATCCAAATCTAAAACTAGAACATCGCCCTGACCTGATGCACCGCAATCCGCACACACTTCCACCGAAGAGCGGTGCTTAGACCGCGATATGATCATTGTAGATACTCTTATGGAAGACTAATTAACGAAATTAATACTCCGTTCGTCTGAGTTAACTTATTTAGATAAATCGAAGAGCAGGTTTTCGATACAAAAATAAATCATTTTACGAAACGTCAATCAAAATAAATTGATGCCACAGATTGACAAATTTCCACTACTGCCAACCTTCCCCTCTTTGTGCCAACCGCATCAAACTATTTTTTTTTTCCACTATACCATAGACAATTTTTGCAAGCTAAACCACACTATTTAAAAAGACATTATTTAAAAAGTTAAAGATGTCTATTGAATTTGACGGTAACATGACGGTACAGTGTACACGTCATTGATTGGTTTTGGTTTAGTTGACTGACATTTTGTGAATTTGTAAGCCTGGTGGCCGAAATAAAAATGAAGCTATTATTGGTTTTAGGAGTTATTGCTAGCTTTTCGTTAGCTTTAGCTGACCAAGAAACTCTAGTCCTAGTTGATAATCTTAACATAAGAGAAACACACTCCCAGTTCTTTAAATCTTTGCAAGGTTAGTAGAAGTGCTATGTGGCGCCGGTATTTTATTATCATTTCATTTATAGCTAATTAATTACTATGTGTTCAGTATAATTACTTATAGGACTTATTTTCTTACTTAAAACATTACTTAGTTTCTAACTCTTATCATTTGGTATTTATTCATTATAGATAGGGGTTACACCCTGACGTACAAGTTAGCGGATGACCCAAACCTATTGCTATCTAAGTATGGAGAGTACTTGTACAAGAATCTGATTGTATTCGCCCCCTCGGTACTGGAGTTTGGAGGCCAAATCGATACTGAGGCTATCACGAAGTTCATAGACGATGGCGGTAACCTTCTCATGGCTGGCAACGCAGCCGCCGGCGACGTATACAGAGAAATTGCTTCCGAATGTGGATTTGAGGTAAATTTTAAACTTTTTAAACTTATAAATAAATTTCCCATTGTCAATAGAAGAAAATGGAAGCTCTGTATCTGTGTTGTGCCTGGTAAAACATTAAATTTTACAGTAAAATGTTACTGTCCAATACAGAAACTGGAAAAAATTGGAAACTATCTATTATTTACATACAAGTTTTACCTATTAGATTCTCATTGGATATTTTATGAATTAATGTTCTCTGTACAGATGGATGAAGAATCAGCAGCAGTTATTGACCACTTCAACTATGATGTGTCTGATGATGGTGAACACACAAGGATTGTGGTCTCTCCCAAGAACCTGATCTCTTCCCCAACCATTGTGGGAGAACAGAACACCCAGCCCTTGTTGTTTGAAGGCACTGGTCTGATTTTAGACAAGGACAACACTCTGGTTCTGCCTATTCTGACTGCTGACTCAACAGCTTACAGCTACAACCCTAAAAGCCAGGTATGAAGTTATTGCTGATTTAATCTTAACTTTAAGTTTACCTTACAGTTATCCCAACACAAGATACTTTTAGATTGAGTTACTAGGATTGTTTTTTTTTTTCAACAGAAAGGGAATAGCATCCATATCCAGACATCTTTGATTTTAATATTTATCTTAGATCTTTGATTGGCATTATGATAGCAACATTAGTACATGTTCTATTAGTGAATGTTGTGATTAATAATTTTGATTTTCCAGGTTAAGGAGTATCCTCATGCAGTAGGTCGTAAGACTGTGCTGATTGCCGCCCTGCAAGCCAGGAATAATGCTCGTATTGTGTTCAGTGGCTCTCTTTTCTTCTTCTCTGATGAGGCTTTCAACTCTGGTGTTGCTAAAGTTCATGTAAGTTTCACAATCTTTTTACAAGCTTTAATTCCACTTGACTTTTGTTATCTGTAGGTATATGTGTAAATCAATACTACAAGCTGAATTTTATCTACTTTCCAGTGTTTGTTTAAACTGAACTTTCCATTATTAAACGGTAGCCTTTTGAGCTAAGGAATTACTGGTTAGTTATAATTAAAAAAGTCAGGAATTTTTCAAAATTAAAATTCTAATAAATAATTATTTGTTTTTACATAATTATGTTTATCTGATTTTCAGGGTGACAAAGTGAGTGCAGCCCAATCAGGCAACAAAGCCCTGTCGGTGCGCCTTAGCCAATGGGCGTTCGGAGAACGCGGCCGTCTGCGCGTACGCAATGTCGACCACCACCGCGAGGGAGAGAAGGAATCCTCTAACACTTACACTATCACAGACACTGTTGTAAGTATTATTTCTAATTAATGACCATTGAATTTGGATCTGACGTTTGCTTAAGAGAAAGGTTGGCGAGAGTTCAATTTAGAACACCTGGTGAATCAGAAGCTTAAGTAAGCCTGCGTTACTTTTCTAAACTTTTTAATTAATAAAAACAGATATTGTTACATTTAAATACTCCCTAACTTGTACTTGGTATTTTTTCTCTCTGCCTTTTAACACCTTTTCATCAACTACAGGTATACAGGATTGAAATTGAAGAGCTGAAAAATGGCAAATGGCAGCCATTCGATGCCAATGATGTCCAGCTGGAGTTTGTGCGCATTGATCCCTTCATCCGCACAACTCTAAAGAAGAAACCCAATGGGGTCTATGAGGCCATATTCAAGGTCCCTGATGTTTGGGGAGTCTACCAGTTCAAGGTTGATTACGACAGAATCGGATACACAAGACTTTACCATGCGACACAGGTCAGTATAGTAGAATGTACAAAAGGATAGATATTTTAATTTGAAAAAAAAAAACTAACCGGAGATTGAGTAATTTTATTTCCTTAAAATTAATACAAAATTTATTGAAGATATAAAAAATATCATTTTAAGAGAAATTTTTGTAATTAACTATTATTATACTATTACATGTTATGTATATTACAGGTGTCAGTACGTCCTCTGCAACACACCCAGTATGAGCGGTTCATCCCAAGCGCATACCCCTACTATGTAAGCGCATTCTCCATGATGGTGGGCTTATTCCTCTTCTCCTTTGTATTCCTATACTACAAGGACGACACCAAGACTAAGAGCGAGTAATCTACAACTGTCCTATTTAGTTCTAAGTTTTATTCACAGTCACAGTGATAATGTGGGCACTAGGATGAATGGAAGTGTGCAATAGATTCTGAAATTATAATTTCAATAAATTTTTCTTAATTATATGATTGTTTTATTTACTTTTAAATCTTTTTTTGTATTATTACGTTTACGACACTTAACAGCCGAAAGTTAATAACAGAGATGTCTAGACGTTATGAAGTCTACACTGCATTTATACTGCATCAGCCAGCATAACAGAAATGGTATTGCATTTATAGAAAAAATCGGACTTTCATCAAAAACTAATGAATCCTATAAGAGTAAATGCAGTACTTGAAAAATGAAATGATCGTAAAACCGCACATTCTTACTAAGCTTTACTAGCTTCCTTGCGTCAATGGCAACACTGGCGTAAAAAACGTATGAGATTAAATAGTTACCAAAAATAATTGATTGGATATAATATTCAATAAAATGAGTTAAGTTTTGCATCAAAGGAAAACTCGCTTTCGAAATGTGTATACGAAAATGGATTTTGTTTACATAATCTTACCTGAACGCTTCCATAAAATTAACTGACATTCCAACGGGTGGTTCTCGAACGCAACGGTTTTAAAATGGCAATGGCATGCATGTCATACATGGCTTTTGTAAAATTAATTTTAGTAAAAATGGCATAATTTTCTATTACAACGACAAATAAACTTCATGACTGATCATATGAATTTATAACCGTGCCACACAATCTATAACTTTAAGTGAAAAAAGTTTATTTAGCGCGTATTCAATGTGATTCGTGTAGGCAGTGAATTGGTGTCGCCGTATTTCTTAAAATATTGCAATTTTTTTACGTTTCTTTTGCGCTTCGGAGTTGATTAGCATAATCGTGAGATCGTGTCCGGACTGATGACCGATAAGTAGGTGATAGTGAGCGTTGCAGTGATGTGTTTACATCTGTAACTGTCCCAGTAAGTATGCAATGATGTCATTGTAGTGACTACCATAAAAAACTGTGTTGGCTTTGTGCCCACCCGTTTTCCTGGTGATCGTGACTCCAATACAATTTTGGGGAAACAAGCACGCGGGATAAGCGCAATGAACCCCTTAGGTTATAGACAACCTGTTTCTAAATTTATGTTAATTAATTTGTGACTGGTCAGCCAGTGCCTGCTCTGTTTATGAATATTGGATCCTAAATACGGTGCACGTCGATTGTTTTATATGGAATATTACATTATGTGTCTGATGAGTGTAACAATATTTATAAAATTGTGTCAACACAGTAGGGTTTCCATATAAATAGAATTAGGTAAGGTATTCCATTAAGTCAGTGATTACAGTGCATGTGTTACCTGTCTCTAGTGTTATTCACACAAATGTATTGTTCCATTGTGTCTGCACATTAAACTCGTCCTGTAAGTATATTTGTAAACACATTAATCTTATCAGCAAGTACAATGTTATAATAATTGATGGCCCAAAATTACAAATTATAGTTGCTACTTGTATTTACAGTAAGCATTTGGATCAAATTGACATAAACCTGCATTAATTTCACACCAAAATAATTAACTTTTACTTTATTACTTCTTTTGAAAAATCAGAAAATAGTAATAACCATGCATATTTGTCAATAAAGTTGTTGTTCTTTTTTTGATTTCAATTAAACTGTCAAACACCAAGCGGTCACCGGTGACCGCGACCTATTGTTCTTTAATTGTGTCTATAAAACCGGTACTCGACGAGTTAAAAGGCAACACCTACACCCAAATACTGGAAGGCTAGTCAATTATAAGTTGTACTTAGATATCATACCATCTCTGCTATTTTACAACGAATTTTGACAAAGCTATTTCTGAGCTCGACTTAAAATTAAACTGTCAAACACCAAGCGGTCACCGGTGACCGCAACCTATTGTTCTTTAATTGTGTCTATAAAACCGGTACTCGACGAGTTAAGTAGCCTTTTAGTATCATAGAAACTTAAAAACCTAAAACAAATACTTCAACTTAGATATATTCTACTATGTTACGATAACAAAACTACTATTGTTTGTTACTAATCTTTCATTACATTAACATTACAAAAAACAAAGCAATAAAATAAACATACAATGTTTTAGAGCACAGAGGTTCTTCTAAGAAGGTATTAATGAGTAATTAAATTTAAAACAGTAGCGTAACAATAGTTGTCAAATGATAACCTTGTTGGAGTAAATGATAAAGTGCATCTGACACATTGGTGTCGCCTCCATACATTAATCCAAGGTCACACAACATGCAACACACATTGGCTTATCACTTGCGTACCATTACAAATTAATTTAATATGTTATTGTACATTAAAATTGGTCGTGCTTGTTTTTCTTGTAATAAGTAGGCTGGAAACTTAATTTTTCTAGTTACATTTTAATACAAAGTACAAATTTTTTGATGCCTTCTAATACCTGACGCATAAGTGGTTAGTATGTCCCATAGTTACAGAATAAAAATCGTTTTCTAATTAGAAAGTCTTTGTTGGTCTTCACAGACATTACTTCAATAATATTTGATACAGTATAAGAAAGTATGTAAAATTAAATAGCATTGAAATATTAAATATTTTTAGAACTGTAAATTATACAATAAAAGATACCTATATCCTTGTTCACAAACCTAAAAGCAGGATAAACGCAATTTGTGTAACATACCTAATAATGTAATAAATTAATGACATTGTATGTTTGTGTGCAGAGTGTGAAGTGTGTTGTGCGGGATGGATCCGTCGCGGCGCCAGCGCACGCAGACGAAGGCCACGGCGGAGGAGCAGGCCCTCGACCAGATAGCAAGAGAGGTAAGTTGTACTACATAATACTATATACATATATATTAGACTGAAGACTCAAAACAAAAAACTAACGGGAAAATAAACATCGAGAAAAAAGGAATATTTCAGGCATAAAGTATAACTAAGGTTCAGATTGGTTTAGGGCCTGAACAACAATTTCTGGGTCACATGTAATAGTTTGTTTCAAATGAAAATCTATAACATGATCACATGACTCACGAAGCTCAGTCGCCAGTTTTCGAGCCACTGCGACACTGGTCCAATCGGATTCCCACTATCCCAGTTTTTTTCTCATTTTAATTTTCTCAGTGATAGAAAACCACTGAGTCTGGTCTTTAAACTTTTTTCTTTATACCTTTCGATTTTACCACTAAACGGATTAGGTTTTGCAAAGACGAGATAATCATATTATGGACATGTGCGCCATGTGACTAGATTAATCCTTTAGACAAGTATGAGAACTCTTTGAGCCAATTACTATTGGCTAAGCCTCAGGTGCTCACGTCTAGAGGTCAAATATATGAAGACTACTTGAATTAATTACTTAATTACGAGAAACATTATTGCTATTGTTTGAATTTCAAACTACTTAACTTCCAAAACAAGTCAACAGATGGCTCTAGCGTCACTTTAAGCCCCTTTATTTACAAGCAATACAAGTTTCAAAGTACCTATATAAGTTTTGTCCAGTAGACAGAAAGAGATAACTACTTACATTTTGAGCTATTTTGTTATACTTATCTAATTCACAATTTCTACTATTAAGTATATTAAACACAACACTTAAAATATCCAGACCACTGTATAATTTAAAAAAGTACTGCAGTATAAGACAGAAATGCCAATCACTAGAACAATTAGATACCAAAACCACTTATGATTACTTGGAGATAAGGGCACGAAGCACAGATAACACACACTTCACGTGAAGTACTTAGTATTTAGAATGACGATTAATTTGTACTTTGAGATTATTATTTAGTAATTTTCCCCTCACCTGTGTCACCGGTCGAATATAATCCACTTTGTTGACTGGCAGACGAGTCGTATTCGGATCGCACACGACAAACCAAAAGGCCGCACGGTGTGCCAAATGCGTGCTACTCTTGGGTAAAATATGTACTGGCATTGTCGTATGATTATTATAATTAGGCCCGAGTTTTTAATTAGTTATATTATTCCCGACCCGGATTGGAACACCGGATAGCTGTTAACTATTAACAGTCACGTTTGCGACCATTAAATAAACGACTTAGTTCAGGCATTTAATTATAAGATAGATGATAAACAAATCAAGAAATGTGGCCAACAACTTGCGCTTATGTTTTTTCAAATTAAAATACCGTTATGTTATAGCTGACCTAGAAGTCTGGTATTAAACATCATCTTAAATTTTAGCTCAAGTCTATAAAGCTCTATTTTATGTTCTTTACGAGATTATCGCCGAGGGCTTCTTTTACATGAAAATTTCTCTCAAGTGGATCCCGATCTTGCAGGAATATTGGGATAAAACTATCACAAGTAGCTCCCTGAAGAGTAAACTTTCCAAAGGTGAAAGATTTTTCACATTGGTCTATTAGCCTTAGAGCTTATTCAATGCAACGAAAAGAAACAATCAAAACTTTCTTCTTTATAATCAGTACAGATTATAATTTTGTATAAAAGTAGTATATGGTCGTAGCAGTGTGTAATTTGCCACCTGTTAATGGTGGTAGTAAAATAAGTCGCGATCGAAATAGACTTCCGCGTGCACCTCGGCTACCGGCAGTACCGGCTCACTGCAATGATGTCGTTCTTGATTGCTATCTGTCGTAAAGGTTAAAACAGTAACGCATAGTTTGTAGAAGTCTATAAGCGTCCATATTATTGTAATATACCGGAAGAAATAGCCTGCCACGTAAGAACATTTAAAAACAATCATAACCACGTTTTCTGAAGTAAAGAGTTTGGATCTCCTACTGCTTGATTTAGTTTCAGATTGATATATCAAAGTCATAATAAATGTTTCGTAAAGTATATACACGAATTAATCACACTGTTTGAAATTCCTCTACAACCCCAGTACAGTGTATTTCCATAAACATCATAGTATGCATAGTATATCATAACCGTTGTGTGCGGTCAGTGTTCAGCAGTAAGTAAGTATGCAAAACTCAATATTATTAAAACT